GCCTCACGCTTCCAAATGGGAGGGCCAGAGTTGCCGAAGTTGCCACGGCCGCCAGCCTCGGCGTCGGCCTCGCGCTTCCAGATGGGGGGACCAGAGTTGCCGAAGTTGCCGCGGCCGCCAGCCTCCGCCTCGGCGTCGCGCTTCCAGATGGGTGGGCCAGAGTTGCCGAAGTTGCCGCGGCCGCCGGCCTCCGCGACGGCCTCAGCCTCGGCGTCGCGCTTCCAAATGGGGGGGCCCGAGTTGCCGAAGTTGCCACGACCGCCGGCCTCGGCCTCGGGGGCAGCAACAGGCGCAGCGATGGCAGCGGTCGCCAGAACGAGGAGCGTGGCGAGAGTGAACTTCATGGTTGATTAAGTTGGGTGTGGCGTCACGGGAGATTGGCAAGGTATGTGGCGCAATTGGGTGCAGGCTCGAGCCAAATCCGAGAAGAGGTACGAGTCGAAGAACGGAGAAGAAGAGATGGCCTTGCTGATGCGACAGAAGAGTGCACTGAGGTTATATAGCTTTCTCAGTCGCGTTCTCGCTCGCGCAGCGCGCGGGTCGTCAAGGAAAGGGCCAAAGTTCGTCTGGGCGTGTCGGGTCGGGTGTGACGAGGACAGAGGGAAAGCCAATGCCGAGAGTGCGAGGGCAGATTAGAATTGAGAACGACAGGCGCTCGTGGTTCCTGCCCGGCGGGTCTGCACATCTGTACGGGATGGGCCAGGCCGCCGAGCTTAACCCGCTGAACGGCGCAACGACAGTGGGTGGCCCTCGCGCCGTTGCCGGATGTTCAGAGTTTAAATCGGCGCGGCACGTGCCTGTATCATGAATGGAATCCTCAGGGTACTCTTGTGGAGGGGCCGCACGGCCAGCAAACTGGTTGCAATGTGTCCCGCCGACGTTGAGCTGTTCGACCACGCTGCACCTCGCCGTCGTTGCTAGGCGGTCAGTCGCGGATGACGACGCCAGTAGGTCATTCGGACCCCCATACCGCACGGGGGAGACTGCCGTGTCGGAGACCGATATCGGAGGTCGGAGCATCTGGCGCTGGACTCTCTGGGGGGGAAATTGAGCAGCAGACAGCTTCTTCTTCTCTTGCATTGCAGACTTACCAGCCCCCTGCCGCGTTGATTTGACCCACAAAAAGTATTCCCGCCGCAGCGTCAATCACCCGAGGGTGAGGATGAGGCGAGAAAGGCACCCCGCGCTCGACTCGACACTCCGTGAGCTGCCTCCGCTTTGTGTGAAACGCCGCTGCGGGGGGGTCGCGGCGCAGCGTGTTCCGTCCTCTTGCACCGTGACAGCGGGAAAGGCACTAATAGAGGGACTGATGAGGGAGCTGGTGGTCCACGCCAACGAGATAAAAACGGCATCACGAAACAAATCATGGGCCAGGAACGCGCGGCTTCCTCCATCAAGGGTGCTGCGACGTTAAAGTTTGGACGCCTGACCCGCGTCTCCTTGAAGAGGACGATGGCGAACTCGGTAGCGCACGCCAGACTTTGAGCAAGTCTCGAGCCGACAGGCACATATTTCCTGGGTGCGCTTTTGGACACACGAGACGGGTCTGTGACAGTGTCGGCCGTCGGAATGCAAGTTTAGATGATGATCTTTAGATCGCGGGGGATCTACCTGCTGCCCCGAAGCCCTGCCATTGTCATGTATAGACCTCCTGCTTTTAATGAAGCAGGACGATCGGCCGATTAGTACACTGCGCCAGCTGTCGAGAACAGCTCGGCTCATCGGCGTCATTAACTGCGTCATGGCCCGCTTCGGACTGCAGCATCACAGGAGCGGGAGCTAGGATGGGGGAGAGGCGGCGCTCAGTTTGGGTTTAGTGCAGGAACTGACGAATCTGCGTGGAGCACACAGCGTGAGAGGGGTAGGGGAGCACGCGTTGGGTAGCAATGGCGAGTAGGAGGTAAACGGCCCCGAGCACATCGGCGCAAAGTCGGGCCACTTCCGCGCCACACTTCCACACGGCCCCCGCGAGGAACAAGCCAAGCAGCAGTCGCGGCATCCACGGCCGAGCGGCCAAGCACAATGGTGGACCCGAGGGTTCGGCGGCCCATGCCGTAACTCAAAGAGGAGTGGGGACCCAGTGGTGTGAGTCGCTCCGAAACCCCACAGGAGCTCAGGCGAACCGGCATCATCGTCCCACGTCGAGGGGCTGCACGGATCTGCAAACCGGGAGAACGGGCAGCTTTGATGGATAAGCTCGGCGCAAGGTTGCAGGTGGGCCGGGTCCGGGTTTGCGGGAGAGGCATGTCAGCCAGCCTCGCCTGCCGACGTTCCTGATGCGGCTGCTGGCCGCAGCTTGCGTCTTCAAGGGCCAATCTGGCGCGAGCCGGGCGTCGCCGTGTGTCGACACCGGAACCACCGCGTTCTTGGAGTGCCGCAGAGTAGCTCGGGTCGCCAATCTGCAATGGAAGTACGGCAGTGTGTCGTCCTCGGCGCCCTGTTCCGCCCATGTAAATGCCATCGGACGGTCAGTCACCTTCGTCTGATTCTAATGTGCCTTGCGACAGAGCTTATCTCCATCAGCCCGGCACAACCTTTAGTGTGAGCGATGTCGAAGGAGCATACGACGATGTCCCATTAGGTCCCTGGTGAGGCGCTCGCAGACCTCTCGACCGCTCAACCAACCTCGCTGTCCAATACCACGTGTTCGCTGTCAGTGCTCTTGGCTGGACCTGTACAGAGCTGAAACGCGCTCGAGCTGTTTCAGTAGGTTTGGGTTGCGGCCTGCCGGCAAGCGTTACAGCGGGTGGGCGGGCTGGGAATAACGACAGATTCAGAGAGATTGGGGTTCTATTCGCCACACTTTGCAATGAGCGCCGCGTGCCACATGGCAAGTGCCGTAAAATGTAACCTTGGGTCGCGCTGGTGGGGTGAGCCAAGGACCGGAGAGCGCTGATGCCGGGCCCCGCTGCAGATGTTGGCCAACCCGAATCTTATGCCTCCTTGATGAACTTGGCAATATTGCCCGTGCCAAGTGCGAAGGCTGGCTTGATGTTGCGATGGGATCGATATGAGGAGTCGAGGTTGGCAGGGCGAATTTGGCTGATCGCATCATGGGACGCTCGTTCCTAGTCCGCGGACAACGTGGAGCGGGCGGACCTGAAGTCCAACTCATGTCCGTCACGGCGACACGCGAGTGCGAAGCATGCTCGGTCTCACTTTGGAGTGCGTTGCCATCGATCTTTCTAGTGTGGAACGCGTCTCGGATCTCTTCCCATAGTGAGCTTCGACTGCCCCGGGTTTGAGGTCCGTCAGAGGTGTGCTGTGCCAATACTCAAAACTTTACCCGTTCCGATGAATCTCGCCGTGCGACACGCGAGGGCTGGCTCGTCCTGTCCATCTCGTTCAGTTACGTCTCCACAGAAACTAGTGCCATGTCTAGGGTGGATCTACAGGCATGTACCGGCAAACCTTCAGGCAGTGGCGACGGCTGTACCGAGTCGCCTTACGGCGAGCCGACTCTCCACAGATCCAACTGTTCAGTAGTGGCATAGTGTGCACGCCCCAGTCTATCGCGTTGTTCACAACCTTCAGGCCCTCCGTTCCACACCGACCAGGTCCGAGGCACCCGGCTGCGCAGGGGGAGGCACGGCCTGGGCCATCAGTGCCGAAGCAAGTGATGCCACCACGTGTGGCTCGTCAGTAGCGAGATATGCAGATGTGTTAGAGTCAGTGCACCACATGGCCGTCGTGTGACGGACTAGCTTGCTGCCAGCGTCGAGCTACCTCTCACGATCGGTTGCACGGTGTGCTCGCCCGTGGCAAGGTTCATGGGAGGGGAACTGTCGCGAGCCGCCATTCCCCGGTTCCTCGCGGGGGTTTCACGGTGAGCCTGTTTGAGGAACGGGCTGAGCGAGCTGATTGAACGTGGCGGGCGGTTCGCGCCGCCTCGTTGGGGGGTTTTCTTCGTACTCTAGTGGCGACTCTAGCCCACCGGTCGCATTGATGTGATGGAGACGAAGCGACATAGATAAGTTAGAGTCACCTGGAAAGAACAGCATAACGCGGAGCGTAAGTAGTTCATGTGACAGCAACGGCTGATAGGAGACCACTCGCTGTGTGACTTAGTCACTGGCTGGTGCACGTACTATAACGGAGGTCGATGTGAGGTCGGTGGGCACTCCGCTAGACACGAACTGGATCCTCATCGTCGAAAGTTGTCGACACAAGCCGAGAGGTCAGCAGTGGGTGGAGGCTGCTGAGGTTGCCGGTCCTACTTGTTGGAGCATTTAAGAAGGGGTTCTTGTCGACGGGTTCCAAGCACAGTTCGGAAATGGTCACAAATATATCAATGTCCCCGGCTAACGAGCTCGACGCTTTGAGTTATCACGATAGTAGGGGCCGCTCCTGCTTTTGCGGGCTCGCTCTGAACCTCTCACTGCAGTGGACGCGTTTGCCTTCCGTCGGAGGGAGACGGGCCCCGTGATTCTCGGAATCGAGAGGCAGCGGGGGTCCCAGTTCCCGCTCAGGTCCCACCGGCCGTCAGCCGTCCACAGTAGAGCGGCTTGTCGGCCTCCCAAGCCAGCTCCTCGCCGCTCTGAGGGCGATGTAAGCAGGCTCCACTGCAGACATGCGCGACCAGCCTCGTCGGGAGCTTCAGAGTTAAGTGCGTGCCGCGTCGAGTCTCCCCGGCCGTCCCACACCGTTCAGAGTGCGCGAGAGATTTCGCCACCAGCTTGTTCGGCGACAGCGCCGATTGCGATGGCGTTCCTCTCCTTTCCTCTCTTTGCAACTCTGTCTCGCAGTTCCGAGGATTCAGCGCTCGCCTGGGTGGCACGATGGAGGGAAGCAAGCCGAGACGGCATGGTTTGCGGGGAGGAGAAGTGTGTCAGTAGCTGACACAACGGCGCCGAGCACAGGACGGCTGCTCCGCTGATGTCCTGCGGCACTGCAGTTAAAATGGGATTAATGATAATCTTAGTATCTACGGCCATAGGACTGAGAAAATACCGCATCCCGTCCGATCTGCGAAGTCAAGCTCAGTACCGCTCGGTTAGTACCATGGTGGGGGACCACATGGGAATCCCGGGTGTCGTAGTTTTTCGTGCGTCGGGCATCTGAGCACTGCGAGCAGACAATGGCGCGTTTTTTGCCAGTGTATCATATTATTATCTGTTCCACATTTCGGAGGATTAGACATTTTGCTTCCGCAGGTGCCCCACTCTCGTTCTCTCGGTTCGGTGCTCACTTACAACGAGTGGGGCAGGGGTTCGTCTTCAACCGGCTCTGCCGACGCCGACATCCGAGTTCCGGCTGAGTCATGTCCACGGCTTCAACTTCCACTCAACCCATACCCCCCCCCCCCCCCCCCCCCCCCCCCCGTCCGCGCTAACAGCAGGTCGAGCACCTCGCGACGATCACGCACGTCGAGCCCGCGACGGCGTCGACGGAACACATCCTCACGCTCGGCGACGCGGCGGCGATCCTCGACGACTGCCATGAAGGCGACTCGATTTGCGTGAACGGCGCGTGCCTCACCGTACTCTCGTTCGACGCCGACAGCTTCAAGGTCGGCATGGCGCCCGAGACGCTGACGCGCACCAACCTCGGCGCGCTGCGCGTCGGGGACAAGGTTAATTGCGAGCGCGCGATGGCCGCCAAGTCCCGCTTTGGCGGGCATGTCGTGCAGGGCCACGTGGATGCCGTCGCGACCATCAAGCAGGTCGTTCCGGATGGTGCGAGCTTGCGGTATACGTTTGTGTTTGGCGAGGACGACGCGCGGTTCATGCCGTATGTCGTCGAGAAGGGATTTGTTACCGTCGACGGCGCGAGCCTCACCCTCACCGGCGTGGATGACCAGGAGCTGTCGTTTGGCATCATGCTCATCGCCCACTCTCAGAGCAAGCTCACCCTCACCGGGAAGAAGGCTGGCGACAAGGTCAACATCGAGGTCGACTGCGTCGGCAAGTACATCCTTGGACACGAGAGCCGGATGGCAGGGCTCGTTGAGCGTGTGGTTGACCGCCGGCTGGCAGAGCTTGGTCTCCTTAAGCAGTAGAGGTCGTAGGTATGTGCGCATCATTGCATAGATATGAGATGGAGTTGGAGCTAGTGGGGGGTGCGGTAGTCACTGTCGCGCGTTGGCGATGACGTACACATTACACGCGACTACTTTGGCAGGAACGGCTTGAGCGCTGCTTTGAGCTTCTGTGCGTCGTCCTTATCCTCCGCCTCAGACTGCACGCACTCCTGCCAATTGCCACGGTCGTGGATGTTGAGCAGGCCGGCGAGCACCTTGCTGAAAGTCAGTTGTCTTCGTGCATGTCAAACTCACCGGCCGAATTGCAGATCAAAGTTGTTCCGCAGCAAGTGTACCATCTTGCGCCCGTCCGGACACTCGACCTTGAAATAACTGCCGGTCGGACCGACGCGCGCGAGCGCGCGTTCAGGCTCAGCCTCCCAGTTCAAACCGATCGAGTTGCCAGCGTTGGTGAAGGCATCGTGAACCTCGTCGCCCAGCTCGTTGGGCACTGGGATTACCTGCACGTGTGCGTGTCCTCCGCGACCGGCCAAGCGGCCCACCTCAAAGAAGACTGGGACCGCGTTGTACTGTGCAAAGCACTTGCGCAGCGCTGACTTGTACGACTCAATCTCCGTAATGATATCCAAAGCGTCGGCGGGAGGTATCGACATGAGTGTGGGGTGGTGCGCAATGGGGATAATCTTCCGTCAGTTCTCTGAAGCCGCCCTAGCTCACAAGAACGTGACCTCCTCCTGGGACCAGCGGCTCTTCTTTCCCGTGAGTAGGAATGAGCTGACCTTTTGGCAACGTCACGTAAGTTTCTGAACCAATGCCGACAATGAGGTGCTTGGTGACCTTGGGGTTACTCAAACAGAACCAGCCTGTTGTCAGATTCATCGTTCACCAACCACCTTCCTACTCACACTCAGCGGGTCCCAGATCCTTCTTGTTCCCTTTGCGGTTTGCCTCGCGGGCCGCATCGCGCTCCTTGACCACTGGGCAGTCCTTGATGTAGTGTTCCTCGGCCTTGCCGCACGCTTTGCAGACATACCCCGCAGGTGGCGGCCGCGGAGCTCGAGCGCGCTCTTCGCGTTGCGGACATTCACGGATGAAGTGCTCGGTCTAAAGTTAGGAGTGTTGAGCTGAAGACACCTACAGATTTGCAGATGTTGCAGACGTATCCGGGAGGCGGCTTGGATGGGTCCATGGCGGCCTTCTGAGGGCAGTCCTGGATCCAGTGCTGCTGTCAGCTCTAGCACCGCAACGTAACTCACGCCCTGTACACTGCAGATCTTGCAGGTGTAGTCTTCAGGCGGTGGGCCGGGCTCGGCCTTGACGCGCTTGGCACCCTCAGCGCCATTTGAGTCGTCCGCCTGGCGCTTGCTTGAGCCACCACCGGTCGGCATGGAGAAGGGGTTGGGCGACGCATTCCCAGGCCGCACAGGAGGCTTGGTAGAGGAAGACTGGGCGGGCAGACTCGTTGCGTAGAACCACTACAAGTCAGCTATGTGTATCGGTGATCAACGGTACACCACTTACACGAGCAGGCTTGCCAGTCCCCTTGCCAACAGCGCCCAGGGCGCCGAGCTTGACCGCGCGTGTCCAGCGCTCGTCGCCTTTGACACCAGCCCATCCAAACGGTTCGCGCTCCCAGAACCCCTCGCCATCGGCCCAGAAGAGGTAGCGTGGGCGCGAAAGCTTGATGAGCTCTGCGAGAGGCGGCGCAGCTGCAGCCAGCGAGATGCCCGACGAAGGGAAGGAGGGCGAGAGGAGGCTGAGGGAAGGTGGTGGCGAAGTGGTGATAAAAAGGTCGACGCCGTGGAACGCCGAAGGGAGGGCAAGCGCCTTCTCCTTCGCGGCTTCCAGCATCGAGTCGTGGGACGGCCCGAAGAGCTCCTTGTGAGAGAGAAGCTGCGCTATCGAGTTCTGCGTAATCACAGGGGTGTATGGGCCCGGGTTGTCTCCAGATTCGTAGACTGCCGCGTCGTACACGCCGCCTACGACCGCGATCTTGAGCCCTTGAGCAGTGACGAACACGCCGGACTTGCCTGTTGTCAGCGGAGAGACGCGTGAAGGACCACAGGAGGGATGATTCTCACGTACCAAGATACACGAGGTTGGGCGCGACTTCCGGTCCCTTGGCCAGAGTCTCGAGTACACGGGCTGGAAGAGCATTCTTCCCTACTGTCCAGTACGTTGGTACGGGCACTGGTGTGAGCTAAAACTGGTACGACCAACGTACATGCAACGCCGTCGAGCTCGCTCCCGTTGCTGCCTTCTCTGAAGAGGTCGCCAACAACGACGCAGGCGTCGAATGGTCCGTGTTTGCCATTGATGGCCGTCACCTTCTGCACGAGGAGGGAAAGCTCGGAGAGAGGAGAGCCGATCGCAAGGCTGCCGTCAGAGGAGTGATCGCGGACGACTAGCCGTCAGCCACGACAGGCGACGTACATCTTAAGCGGCTCAGTCTGTTGAGGAGACATGTCGCTGGGTGTGCGCTGTGCGCCAAGGTGACGGGAGATGAGTGATGAGGAAGATGGAATGTACGACCCACAAACAAACGATGGCTATGACGGAATTTTGGCATGCCCTCCACCACCAATACCGTCTTACTTCTTTCCACGCATACAGCTCTCTAGCTCTCCTCGCCCATACTTTAGGGCGTGGACTCGTTGCGATATAACTAGCACCTTTATACATCCATCCTCTGATGCATACAACATAAAAACAAGTGCTACGGATGTCACGGCTGCCAATCAGATCGTTTGGATGCCTGGGCTAACGACGGGGACTTGGGCTTCGCGAACGGCTGCCCATACCGACGCTCCGCCGACGCGGGCTGGGGCTGCGCGAGTACCTTGAACGCGACCGGCTGGGAGAGCGACGCGGGCTCCTGCTCCTGCTGCGGTTGACGGGGCGGCGGCGAACCGGGCTGCGGCTGCGGCTCCGGCTTAGAGGGCGGCGGCGGACGGGGCTACGGCTCCTGCTAAGCGGGCGACGCGGAGGCGAGCGACTCCGTCCGCCCCGCACATAGTCTGGGCTGGGGCGCCGGACGGGCGGTCCACGACGGAAGTGCGGGGGAGGCGAACGGGAGCGGAAGCGCCCTCCGCCGAAACCGCCTCCATAACCTGCTCCATTGCGGCCGCCACGGGCGTTGGGACCATAGGCGGGAGGGCGGCGGGGCGAGGGAGACCGACGGCGAGGAGGGGGCGACCGGCGGCGGGGAGATGGAGAGCGCCTGCGCGGCGAAGGAGATCGACGGCGGGGCGAAGGAGATCGACGGCGGGGCGACGGAGAGCGGCGGCGGTATGGCGAGCGCGCAGGTGCGCGCACAGGGGGCGAAATCGAGCGAGCTGCGCGGCGTGGAGAAGGCGAGCGCGAACGGCTGTATGACCGCCGCCGAGGAGAACGGGTAGGGCTTTCCTGAGGCGAAGGAAGAGGGTGAGAGGAGAGCTGGACCGTGAGAACGTTACCATCCAGCACGCCACCGTTCATGCACCGCACAGCGTCGTGTGCTGCCGCGGGGCGGTCAAACTCAATCGCCGCCTTGCCTTGATTGAGGCCGGCTGGCGTCAGCAATGCGTCTCACTTCGAGCTCCAGTCTTGGCAGGGCGTACTCACAAACTTTGAACAGAGGCAGATCAAGTCCCGTTACGCGCCCATACTCTCCAAAAATCTCCTGGAGATGTGCCCGGCCGACGTTCTTGCTCAGCCCCTCCACGACTACCACAGCGAGGGGGCGAGCGGGTGATGCGGCGCGGTTGGGGGAGGCGGAGGCGGGGTGTGGCGAGGCTGGGTGAGGTGACATGGACACATCCTTGCCCGGACGGCCAGGAGTAGGTGTCAGACGCTTCGGCGTGGGGGAGCGACCACGGCTTGACATGGCGTGGATGGCGGAGGCGGCGGTGTTGGTGGTGTGGAGAGGAAGGCGAGCTGGGAAACAGGGGTAGATGGAAATCAACAACTTGAGGTGGAGGTGCGGGGATTCGGTGATATGACGTCGTGGCTTATACTGTGGACGCAGAGGGCGACGCGGTTGGTCCGTGCGGCAACTGTCGCGTCTTCTGATGATGTGATGACCCTGCCGTGGGCTGTGGACGTGGCGAGCGATGCGTGATGAATTGGTGAATGTGCGAGCAACGACGCCACGCCCCGGCGCGCATTGCATGGGGATTCTCTGTTTTACATAGTCAATTGACTAGCTCTTAAAATGAGTCTGGCATGCGAGACCAGCATGGGACAAAGGTTATTAGCCGAGCACTCTTGCCGACGCGTCGCAGCAACGCTGTTCAGGTGCGATCAGGCTTCAACGGTTCTCAAGCCGAGTACCGACGACACCAAATGATATTCATCCTCCTGCTCATGTCAGCTCGCCGCGCCGCCGCAGCCCATCAGCCGTCAGCCGCCAAGGTCGTCAGCTACACAGTCAATGCACGCAACCCTCGTAGCTTCGCCTCGTGAACACTTAAGTACCTCTGCGTTTCCCGCATTTGCAACCACTCTGCATTCCCTTGTCCTGCTTCCGTCTCCCCGTAGTACAATAGTTTACGAGTTGAAGGTGAACGAGGCGCCGACCTTGTGGGCGGCGTTGCCGGCGGCAGTGTCGTTGAGCTTGGTGGTGTCGAGGGCAAGGCCAAACGAGGCCTTGACGCCGGGGCGGAGAGCCTGGGTGTAGCCGAGGACAAGGAGACCAGCGTTGTTGATCTTGGCCTTGACAAAGGCGGCGTTGTCGAGGTACGCCTTGGTGCCGACCTCGATCGAGACACCACCGGTGGTGGCCTTGGTGTCGTAGACGGCACGGGCACCAGCCTCAACGTCCTTCGAGACCTTGTGGTAGTACGAGGCCGAGTAGATGGAGAGGTTCTGGAGCGAGCGGATGGTAACGGCGTACTCGGGGGCCGAGTAGCCGATGGCGGCGGCGTAGCGGTTAAGCTTGCCAGCCTGGACGTCGTACGACGCCTCACCACCGACAAGGAAGCCATCGTGGCCGACAACGGCGTCAGCGGTGAAGGTGGGGCCCTAGAAAGTTAGCACGTGGAAACCGGAAATGTGTGCTGCAAGCTGGTTGGCTCAGCGGCTCAAGCCACTAACTAACCTTGAAGACGTCGGCGACGGCACGGGTGTGGACCGAGGGCTGCTTGTAGATGGCGGTGAGGATGGCGGCCTTCTGCGACTTGGCAGGGTTGAGGGTGGTGTTGAGGTCGAGCTTGAGGCCGTTGGCGAGCTGGTTCTCGAGCTCAACCTGGGTGCGGAGGAGGTTTGAGGTGGTCCAGGCCTGACACGTTAGCTGGTGTATCTAGCGGCTAGCGGGTTAGGTAGGAGATGGCAGTCAACGCCGAAACCCTTGGGCCTTTGCAGCGCCACTACTGGGTGGTCCAATGCCAGCACTGGAATTCCAGTAGGCCTGTGCGTCGACCGTTTCAACTATTACACAACGCAACGCTCACTCCCAACCGTCAGATGCGAGGCCAACCTACCTGGGTGACGGTCAAGCCGTTCTTGAAGTCAGTGTACTTGCCCTCAATGTCACCGGTGATGACGTTGGAGGCCGAGTCGCGGGTGCCGGCGACCTTGAAGGCGACGTTGGAGGGGGTGAGGGTCTTGACCTCGAGCGAGGTGCCGTGGATGGGGTAGTCCTTCTCGAGCAGGTCCGAGGCGGACTTGCCGAGGTCCTGACAAGTTAGCGAGTGCGAGAGAGTGCGAGCGCGTGCAAGTGCCACGGGAAGCTTGCAAATGCGCGAGGAGCCATGATGGCATGCTCAGTGGGCATCATTCCGGCGCGCGTAAGAGACGCGCCCCAGAGATGAGTGCCCGCGCCTGCAGCCAGGAGCGGTAGAGATGCGTACCTTCCAGGAGGGGGGAACGGGCTGGGGCATTGTGGCTAGAGATGTGAGCAGGTGTGATGACTGACGAGGAGGGAGAAACGTACATGATTGAGGGTGGGTTGCGTAGAAGTAAACAAGAAGATGGAGAAAGTGGAAAGTGGGCGGCAAAAGGAGAAGAGAAGAGAGGGAGGGGGGGGGAGGGGCGGTGGAGTTGTGGGGCTGGGGTGGATGTGGTTGGGCAGGAGCATGCCGGACGTGAGCACGGGGGGCACGGGCCTCGGAGGTACGTTGAGTGGCAGCCTGCAGCCGACCGAGGTGCGTATGCGCGTACAACCCCGAGAACCCCCTTGTTTGGCGCCGAGGAATGCTCAGGGCAGAGTGGGAGCAACAATGACGCCACCCCCTTCCACCGTATTCCACCTCCTCCACCTCCTCCACCTCCGCACATCCTTCGGATCTCCGTCCGATTCCAGCCGACTTATCCGGAGTGAACCACGTGCAGTTGATTCCGCGCTCGACACGCGACAAGACACGTGACGTCGAGGAGGCGGCGACATGTTTCAACGTTTCAACTCGTCCACGGATCCTCGGGCGCTGGGGTGATCTGGTGACGTCGCCGAGTGCCCGAGAAACAGCGCAGCAATTCAATAAACGTGTGACGCGGAAACTGCGAGGCTGCGAGCGAGTGATACCGTTGCATGCATGTATGTATACATGAGCGCATGAGTTTGCTCTTTCACATATTCCATTGGCTTTCACCAATTATCGAAACAAGCGGCACAGGAGACAAGTTGGCCTGACCGCGATGGCCTCCCCATAGTAAGTCGAGATGTGCAGGATGGTGGCGACCGAAACTGTTCTGCTTTACCGCTCTACTGGATGCGTGCTCCGTGCCTCAGCTGCAAGATCGCGCAGAATGCGCTGCATCGTCACTGCCGGCGAGGACCCGCAACACGGTACATACTGGAAACTTTAATGTTCTGCCCCAGTGCCTGCCCAGATTTGCCTCCACCCACCTCCACCATGACAACTCTGTCGATCGGCCATCTCGCGTTGAAATCCGCACCATCGCTCACACCAGCGACGCCGCGGCCATGCTCCGCAAGCAGGCCTCGAGCCCCCTCTCCCCAACCGAACCCCAATCACATCCCTTCGCGTCCAAGAAGCGCAGGCAGCCCGGCGGCGGCTACCTGCCGCTGCACCGACGGCGGCGCACCTCGTTTCTGGGCGTGAGCGTTGGCGTCCCGCGCTCGCCGCAAGCGCGCCGGCGGGCCCTCCTCGCCCTCGCCATCCTCCTTTCGCTATTGTGGGCGCTGTACTGGATTTTGACAACATACGAGTTCCAGTTTGAGATGAGCGTGTACTCGCGCCGGTGGGTGCGGCAGGAGTTTGACGAGATCCTCCCCCTCAAGGGATGTTTTGACAACCCCTCGCCATCATACAACATGACCCAGCCGTCGCACCTTCTCTCACCCGGGATCACACTGCGGAGGGGGATGTCATGCTACGACTTTGCTTCGACTGTCGCCCCAGCCGCAGCGCCAGAAGAATTGCTCTACCACACTTATTGGCGCACCGACCTGCGCTCGTTCGGACCCCGGCAGGCGGCGACTATCGAGGCGTTTCTTGCTTCACAGCCGCATGCGGCCTCCAAGCTTATTTTGTGGTCCAATGGCGCCGAGGCATTGCGCTCTAGCCCTCACGTCCGGCCGTTCCTCGACGAGTGGGCGAGCGTGTTCGAGGTCCGCCAGGCCGACCTCGCGCAACTCGCGGTGGGGACGGACTTGGATGGCATGGTTGGCTCCGTGTACGATTCCAAGGGGTGGGTCGATGGCGATGCGCTACGCCTGCTGCTGTTGTGGCACTACGGTGGCGTCTGGATGGACATGGATATGCTTCTCGTCCGCGATCTGCACACACTCGCTGAGACCGAGTTCGTCGGCCAGTGGGACTGTTATGGTGCGTCGTTGTCTCCAGACTCCTCATTGCCGCTTCTGTCCCTCCTTCTCTTGATACCTTTCCGCTCACCCCAGACAAACCCTACTTCCAGATGAACGGCGCCATCATGCACTTCCGCCGCCACTCGCCATATCTCTGCGAAGCATTCCACATCATGGCGACCTCGGCCCCCCCTGAACCGGGCACATTCGCGTGGGGCAGCCATCTGTACGCGAAGCTGCACCGTGCGCTTCTCGCGGGGGGAATTCAACCCTTCGGCGTTCTCCCGTGGTGCTTCACAGATCCGCGCAACTGCCGCGCCGACATCCGCTTCCCGGACCCGTTCGCGCCCGACCCAAGTATCTGGGGCGGGCTGCCGTGGACTACGAAGGAGGGACTGAGTGGGCGTGAGGTGCTGGAGGACAAGATCAGGAGCGTGTTCGCGATCCACCTCCATAATCAGTGGGAGAAGAGTTTCGCGCCTGGGGGATACATCGAGCGGCTGCTCGAGTCGTGTCGTGAGCGTTTGCGGGCCCAGATTAGAGCATAGACTGTACATTACATGTAAGCATAGGCTGGTGAGGTGAACGATGTGGATGGGAGGTGCCATTCCGCTGAACGAAAGTCGGTGGCCAAGCGGGGCTCCGACCATATTTTGGCCAACTCGGAAGTTCGTTCGACTCGCCACCAACACATCCTCCATCCACAGTATCATGAGCATCCCCGCCTCGGTGCCACCCCCCGTCCCCCGCGGCTTCCAAGGCAAAGGCGGGCGCAGCAAGCGCGACGCCAACCTGCTGAAGTACGGCACGCCTTTGCCCATCCTCCTCCCGTCGTCGCCCTTACACCCCGACACGACGTCGCGCGTCGGCCACATCGTCGACCCGGCGCAGCAGAAAGAGCCGGCCGGCCCCATCTTTGCGGGGCTCGGCGTGCGGCGGCGCGCCGTCGTGCCCGCCATCGTGGGCGTGCTCGACGCCGACACGGGCAGCGTCTGGGTCGACGGCGAGGGCATGGAAGTGCTCTTCAACCGCGGCTTTTTCGGCAAGGGCACGCTGAGCCGCAGCGATCCGAGTTGGCGCAAGCGGCGCGTCGAACTAGTCCGGGGGGGAGACGGTGAGCTACGCGCTCCGGAAGTTTCGCGAGCGGACGAAGGCATGCTGACACCAGCTGTTGTGGCCGAACAGATCCGCGAGAAGCGCCGCCTCGAGCGGAAACAGTTCAAGATCGACCGCGCGGCCGCGATGCTCGACGCAGCGAAGAAGGCGGAGGCGGTGCTCACGACGGGCCAGCTGCCGGGCGCGGACGCCGGCGCGGGCGCCGAAGCAGCGGAGGACAGCGAGGACGACGACGACGACGACGGCGAAAAGGACCGCCCCGCCTCCCCCGCTGCATCTGCCATCTCCCTCGCGACGACCGCCAGCGTCTTGCCAGACGGCACCAAGCTGAACGCGCAGACGTTTCTCGTGCGCCCCCAACGCCCCGAGAGCGCAGGCAACAACCGCAACCGGGGCAAGTTTAAGCGTCGGCCGCCAGGCAAGCCCGCCGCCCCCGGCCCCGGCCCCGGCGCTGGCGGCGCCTCTGCTTCCCCTGCGGAGAAGGAGAAGCTTGAGCTCGAAGTAGCCGCTAAACCCACAGTCCCGACCGAAGCGTGGGAGGAGGACGCGGACGCGCTCGCCCTCGTCCCAGACCACGAGCATCTGCAGCTGTGTCTCGAAGAAGCATGGTTCCTCTCCGCCCTCGGCGTGCTCAGCATCGAGTCAGAGTCGGGCACGCTAATTCCCGCCTCGGCGGTCCTCACGCGCCTTTTGACCCCCCTCCCTCCCTCTCCGCTCTCCGACTCCCTCTCCTCGCCCTCCCCCGCTGCGCGCGCGCAGCACACCCCGCTGTATCCCGACGACCCCTTCCTCGTCTCGTACGCCGCGTACCACCACTACCGCTCGCTCGGGTGGTGTGTGCGCCACGGCATCAAGTTTGCCGTTGACTGGCTGCTGTACCGCCGCGGGCCCGTGTTCAGCCATTCCGCGTTCAGTGTGCTTCTCGTGCCGGTGTATATGGACGAAGGGGATCGCGCGGGGCCACATGGCCAGACGGACTGGTACGCCGAGAAGACGAGTTGGAAGTGGATCAACACCGTCATGCGCGTCAACAGCTTGGTGCAGAAGGTGAGTTGATAGATGATCCGTCGAGAGCGAGGTCTGAGCTCTGAGTTTGCCAAAGTGACTCACACCAGACCGTCATCCTCGCATACGTGACTATCCCGGCACTCAGCTCGTTCCCCGACTCCGCCCGTCTTCCAGGCGGCGGTCTCGACCCGCGCAAATTCGACATGCGCTCACTCATGTCGCGCTACACCGTGCGCGAAGTCAGTCTTACGCGCTTCAGTGCGGCCCGGCGGCGCGACTAGTACATAGTAGGCATCTATGCATAACGCTGTGATGACTGTAATCGCCGAGCTCTCCATCTGCTCATCCAGACCATGCTCATTCCCTGGCCTCTCTCAGAGCCTCTTCTACGCCCCAGACCGTGATGGTGTCGAGTCTAGCGACTTGACCACCAGCATCTGCTTCGCGACCTCGACGAACAGAGGCCGCAGCTCGGCGAGGTGTGGCGTCTCGGGCGGCGCGAGGACTTCTGTCCGCCGGCCCTTCGTCCTCTTGCGACGCGGACCGGCCTTTCTCTTCTCCTTTGGAGGTGGAGGAGGGGGCGGCCGGTCGCTCGAGCGCGACGATGACCGCGAGTGCACCTTGTCCCGGACGACATCGAGCGAGTTGCGCAGCGAGCGCCGGCCCTCGTCGAGTGCACGCGCGTCTTCCGGCGGTACCAGGGACGAGTGGCCGTGGTTGGGACGCCGCTGTGGCGCCCACGCCGCTGCAACTCCAGGTGGCGCCAAAAGAGGCATCGAGCGCACCGAGCTCGAGTCGGACCGCTCGTCCGTGTCATCCTCGCCTTCCGATTCCTCGCTCTCCTCCACGGCAATCTCGCCCGCGCTCCCCATGATCGTGTCACCTATACTCAAGGACTGCAGCACAGAGTCGACCAGCGCTGCCTCCTCCATCGTCTGCTGGTCTGCGCCTGCGCCGCCCGCAAAACGCTTGCGCACTTTCTCCTCGTGCGCGACTTTGAGCCGGTAATGGTACTGCGCAAGCTCGTCGACTTCGCGCATGATCGCCACACGCTCCGGGCCGCCGTGCGGCAACAGGATCTCAAGATCGAAAGGTTGGGGGAGGCCGTCCCGCGCATAGCTGAGGAACAGCTCGATCCAGCCCATGAGACTCTCGAATAGCCCCTGGCCCTTGGAGTGCACGTTGTGAACAAACGTGTAGAACGCTTGCTCATGGCGCTGCACCAGGTCTATGAAGGTCTGGACTGTGCGCTGGGGGTCTTCCTGAGAGACTGGCGTGAGTTTATGCACTAGTCAAGGAACTCACGCTCCTCTACCTGCTCGACGGTGCGGATCATGTCATTGATAAAAGCCTGAAGATCGCCGAGCGAATCGGCGATGCTCGCAGCCTTGTAAACCTGCGCAAGCGGAGAGTAGAAGATCGTGATGATGTCCTTGAGGAGCTCGGCGGTGACGCCCTGAAATCAGTATGTCTTCTCGCAGCGGAGCGCTCACCTCAAAGATCAGCGAGATCATGGCCTCCTTTTCCTTCTTTCTCATCATGAGCTTCATAAGGATGTTGAGATCCTCAAACAGCCATGCGTCGTCATTGTCGGGTCCGTCATCATCGTCCGAGTCCGACAGATCGGCCTGCCACGTCTTGTATTCCCGGTACGCCCTTGATGCGCGGAACACGCGCTGCATCTGCGGGCGTGAGAGCGCGGGCATGTCGGGCGATCTGAGAATGACGACAAGCAAGTCGAGATTCTCGGCGACCGCGTCGGAGCGGAAGATCTCTTGAATGTCAAACGGCGCCATGACATACTGCTCGATCTTCTGGCAAAGCACGGGGTCGTCAATCTTGTCCTGCACTGCCTGAATGTCCTCAGCGAGATAGCGCACGTCTTCAGTGAGTGACTGGGAGAACATGCGCTGCAAAAGACTTTGCCCGCCGAAGGGACGCGCGAGGAAGAGATCCAGTACGCCTGTGATTAGTTGGTTCACGCTCGGGCGACTCACCGCGGATCATCGCTATGGGATTCGAGATCTTGAGGATACCCTTGAGCATGAAGTACGGCATGATGCCGTGCATGCGCTTGAGGCCTGCAAACGCTTCGGACGCCGTGTCCGAAGCCACGTAAAGTTGAAAGATGGTGGCCGCGAGGCTGCCGTTAGCCATGCCACACTCAGCTCAGCTAGGACTTACGAGATGCGTCCCCACTCGAGCACGGCGCGCTCCGCTGGCGGGAGGTCCTCGACGAACTCGACCTTGCGCACCACCTCGAACACACTCTTAAGCCCACCCTCGCGCGTAAGGATGTCGCCCTTGAACTGCGCCAGACCTTCGCGGAGCTTCTCAACGCGGCGCTCGGCCTCCTCCCTGAAGCGGCGGCGACCCTCCTCACGCACAGCGTCGGCCTCCATGCGACGCTGAACGTCGCTCGATTCGCCCGGAGTGAGGGCGATGGGCGAGGAAAGGAGGAAGGAGCGCATGACGGGCGAGTTGGCGACCTCGGGCATGGACAGGATGTTCTGGAGATAAGCGCGGAGAGTGAGTCGGTTCTTCTCGCGCGAAAGTGGGACGGGGATGCTGGCTCTCGGTTCGTCAAGCGAGGGGCGCGGCGACGATGTGCCGCTCTTCGGCGGATCGGTCGGCGTCGCTGTCCCGCTCCCGTAGATTATGCGCAAGGGATTGTAGTAGCTGTATCCAGCTTGCTGGACTGGTGCGGAAGTCGTCACGCTCTTGTCCTTTGCCGGCGGATTGGACAGCAGGAGATCTGGGAAATGGATGCGGAGCTCCTCGGCCAGTCTGCGGAAGTCGCCGTATCTGCGAGAAACGTAGATGTCACTGACGCCGGTCCGCTGTGTGCGAATGATAAACTCCTGGTGGTCAGCCGGCCCGCCCTCACGTGGAGTGACTAACTTCATGGTGCTTGCTACGCATATGCCCGCGCTCCTTGACGGTGCGAACGCCGACGACGTTGACATCGAATGTGAACATCTCGACGGGCGCGCCCGCCTTCTCGGCCATCTTGCGTCTGCGCGCCTCCTGCGCCTCCTCTATGCGGCGCAGCTCGCTCTGGCCTATACGCACGACCTCTTCGCCGCTTGTGAGCTTGATGCCTACACTGATCATTAGGCCCAGATGCTTCTCCACCTTGGTCCAGAGTTTGCGGCGTTGCTCGGCCTCCTTTTTCTCCTCCTTGGTCATGAGGCTCTCGCTAACCTCCTTCTCCTGCGGCGTTGTCGTGGCATGCTGGCTCGCGCCCGTCGTCGCGAGGAAGGAGGAGAGGAACGGCTGGACCTTGTGGCTCCAGAACGTAGGTGGCGCGGCGGCGAGGAAGGGGAACGGAAGAAGGAACTGGTGGAACATGAAGCGGATAAAGGGGAGGTCACCAATCTCAGCGTCCGCGACCTCGCGCGCGCTCTCGGGCAGCACGAACGGTTGACCAAGGAGCCCGAGCGCGTTCGCGCCGAGCCGCGGGTCCGTAATCACGTCCAGTTCATAGTGGATCTGCTGGTTCACTAGCGCTTTCTTGAGGTAGTGCGCGCGCAGAGGGGTGAGGATGGTGGGTGGTGTGAACTCGGTGCTCGGCAGCGTCGAGTGGAACGGATTGAGGTGTTGTGCCGCCTTCTGCGCGCCCGAGCTTTGGTGAGGACCCGGAGGCGGAGGCGGGGCGCCGTCGATATTTAGATGCCCGACGCGCTCACTCAACTCTTCGTCATCGTGCAGCCGCCTCGCTGATTGCTTCGGTGGGCTCGGTGGCGATGTGAACCCCTGCACGATCTCAAAAGCGTTCTGCGCCGGGACGTCTTCTTCGGGAGGAGGCGCGGGGAGCGGACGCTCAGGCTTGCGGCGCGGCTCGTAGGGCAGCGAGCTGGTACGGGCGGGATGGCTCATGTCGCTGCTGCGTTCAGTTGTGTAGGGGGGGGGGGGACGGGGGAAGGGGAGGAAAGGGGAGAAAGGGGAAGGGGACGATCGCGCTTGGCGCGCGTCGTTGGGTTCAGATGGTCGCAGCGAGCGGAGCGGCAGTCAGGAGATGTCGTGGAGACGGTGTATGACGAGAAGGAGGGGTTGATGACGGAGAGATGGACGAGTGGTGACGAGGGAAGTGAATGAGATGACAGATGACAGAATGGCGTCTGGCGTCTCTGCACGTTCCAAATGGCAGTCCGAGGGCCGAGGGGCTGGCTACCTACCAACTGCGAAAGAGGAAAGACGTCATTCCCTGGCGCGCTCCTCGGCGGACGCAGACACGACCCCATCCGTCGCCCGCTCGTTCGTCCCGCTTGCATCGCCCTGCCGCGCTTTGCCGCAGCAAGTCCTTGACTACTCCAACACTCCAACGATCTCGATCTCACTAGACCACCGCGAGCAGAAGGTGTGAGGAGGGGGAAGCATGCACTGAATGAAGCTTGAGAATTGTATCATAGAGATCTCTTCGGGCGGGATCCACAACAGTCACGGCGTCATCGTCGGCTTAGGTGGCGTCGTCGTCGTCGTTCCCTCTTGATCATCGCGCCCTTTCCATGCATTATGGCCACTCTCCACCACAGCTCGTCGTCGAGGTTGAAATGTAGCTGCCAATCAGCCTGCCACCTGCTGCGAGCCCACTCTCCCCCATATCGGAATTGACACAGTTCATTCATCTACGTTCTACATTAAATTGGAATAGATTGCGTACAACGAGACAACACATGTGCAGGGTTGCAGCGGGAGAGTGGGATATGACACGAGATGCTGCGCCTCTGGGCGCCAACAACCATCTATATCGAATGTCCCTCACAAGCGGGGCGGCCAACCAGAGAGACCACGCGACCACGACAGACGTATTAAGCCTGCGCAATCTTCTGGGCGACAGTCCGTTCGCGCTCCAGGCGCTCCTTGTTGGCTTGGAACGCGGCGTCGCGGCAGGCCTGCATGCCAGTGCTGGAGCGTCAGCGATCTGTCTGTGCGAGGGGCGGAGCGGCGTGGGTGCGTGCGGCAGAATGTGTCATGAGGAGGCGGGGGGAAGGGATTGACGGGAGGAAGTCGGGTGCTGTAAACGAGATGATCGCGCGATCACCCTCGTCACAACGCCGCGCCGCCCCCTTCTCCTCAAGATCCTCCTTCTTTGCACACAAATGACCCATAAACTCACCAGTTATGTGACTCGGGTGTTCGGTGGACGCTGCAGAACACCTTGCCACAGTGTTGACAGTCTCCAGCAATCTTGAGAGCGGCAGATGGACACTGTGTTGGGTTCGCGGTCATTGTAGGCTTGGCCTCGGGCGTCCCGTCCGCAGGTGGCGCAACGGGGATGTTGTAAATGACTCGGAACTGACAGCGCTTCTTGGCGGGCCTAAAGGTTAGCGCAAGTAGTAATAGAGTGGGGCACGACGCTTGCGTGTGCGGGGTTGCGGTGGGGGTTGCGGTGGGGGTTGCGGAGGCAGACATGATGCAAACGAGGGGTGATCGTGTCTCGCTGACACATCGGGAGGACACACGACTCGGCGGCGATAGCACACGATGGCACACGACGGCTCACGTCTCGCCACCGCGAGTTGAAGGGGCGCGGTGGACCGTGACGAGCGTGACGGTCGAGGTGGCGTGCGCGGACGAGCGGTGCAAGCGTGCACTTGCCCAGCACCTCGAGTGTCATGCTCGCCCCCCAAGCCCCTCGGATGGCTTCAACACCACAAGGAGTTGTGTCGAGAGCGGCGACGAGGCCGATTGAAAGAGGCGGGTTTGGCCGTCGGATCCCGACACGCAAGCGTCAGACGATACTTACATTGTTGATGATGTAGACGGGGGTTGGGGTGTGAGACGGATTGATGCGTGAGGTGAAGACAGCCAAGGGGGGGTGATTGAGGAGCGATGGATTGAGAGACGAGGTTGGGTGTGGTGTATGATTGAGACCAGGAAGACGTGCTCTTGGGGGGTGGGGAGTTGAGTGATAAGAGTGGCGTGTGCCTGCGAGGTGGTGGTGGGGTGAGGTGGAGTGGAGTTGGGTGCAAGGTGTGAGTGGATGAGAGAGAGAGAGAAAGAGAGAGCTGTCTCCTGGCGTAGAGTTATATAGGAGGAGGAGGAGGAGGAGGGGGGAGAGAGGGGGGGACAAGAGACGAGATGTAAGAGAAGAGAGAGAGAGAGATTGTGTAAGATTGAGAGAGTAGTGCGAGCGAGATGTGTTGAATGCTGAGTCAATAGAGTGATGTGTGAGGTGGAGAATAGGAAGGGGGGACGACCGAACGATTGCCCATAATTGCCCAATTACCCAATTGCCCAATGGCCCCAGTGTCCTTGTAGAACGGCTAGGACGGATGCACAGACACACACGATCAATCCTAATGATTAATCCATCCAGCCATGACACCACCGGCCACTGGCTGCCCGATGTGCCAGCGAGTGCTAGATGGCGGTAGTGTCAGATGGTTGATAGCAAATATGAAGAGGTGGGGGGGTGGCCGAGAGCGGAGGTGCGACTAGTGCGGCGGTGCGAGTGGGAGAGGTGAGAGGAGGTCATCACCCGGCCACCCGAGACCTCGCCCCCGCGCTCCGCACTTGCACCGCTGCGACGGACGGCCGGGAAATATGCGCCCATGCGTCCAATGAGGGGTCAATCGGTCGTCGTAATCTCCACCACCCGCCCCCTTTCCGCCACTCGTGCACTCCTGGGAGGTGCAGCGTCACTTGGCTCTTCCTCCTAGCTCGTGTCGTGACTTGTCGCACCCTGAGTAGAACCCTACCCTACCCAACATCCCCTTTCTCCCTGGCCCCTGGGCCGCGTAGGCCGCCTGCCCGCTTGCAGTCTGGCCAGCTGCCACATGCCACACATGCCATCAGAATTCGGAACCTTTGATCCTCCTCCGACCCTGAAGAAACGCTTGCGTGTCGAGTCAACTTTTGATTCCGGCTCACTCCAGTGGCCCATGGCCCTTCCATCCAACTCGATCAGTCGCCCGCGCAGATCTGTACAGTAAGCGGACAGCGCCTGGCCGAGCGCGAGCGCGCGATGAGATTATGCCTGATGCCCCGTGGGTCGATGAGACGTTGAGACACGAGCCAATCGCCACAAGATGCAATGCGGACGAAAGAGAGAGGCCGATGGCCGGTGGCTGGTGGCACGCATGGGCATGGCACGGGTGGAGTGGAGGAGATGGCATGATCGACCTGATCAATCACACCGCCACCTCAGGCACCAGCCTCCAGTCGCCACCCAACTCGGACCCCCAGGCACGCCTTCGTCAGCGATCGCCACTCGCTGTGCCGCGTGTCATTGTACATGTACGGGGAATAGGCGTAGGCGCCCGCTGACGCGCCGTGCACGCGCCTATATTCGTCGGCTTGATGCGATCCGTCTGAATGCTTGGTGCTTCAGAGTGATCAGAGTAGGTGATCAGTGATTCAGTGATCAGTGATGAAGCGATCTCGCACACGATGGATATCGCTATGCCACAAAAGTGCCGACGCCCTATGCGCCTCAAAGATCAGCGAAGAGCGAGCTCACGTACTCGTTTCGCGTTCCGATCCCGAGGCGTCGTTGCTTGGGTCTTTTGCTGGTGAGGGTTACGGTGCTTTCCTTGCCTCCTTCCGTGACGTGCGACATCTTGCTCGGCTTCGTCCGCAACGCAGTATTAGCGCCTCAGCATACCTCACCGCCTCAAAAGCACGTGGCGCTTGTACGGACACGGCAAGGACAAGGACAGGACGCCATCTGGCCAGATGGAGAGGGTTAGTGAGAATGAAGCAGGCGTAGAAACAATGTCAGTTATGGTCAAGTAGTGGGGAGACGGAAAGTCTCAGGTGGAGGTGTGTTGTGGACTCATTGGCAGTTTGGCACAACGCCCTGTCCTGCCACGTGGTGGCTCACCGGTCACTCCTAATGCATTAATGCAGCATTACAACACTCACCCAACTCTTATGCTTCCGCCGTCGCCTCCACCTCCACCCGCCACAGTGACGCCATCTCCGCTGATGGCCACCGTGGCACCCTCTCCTTCTCACAAACCATCATGCACGTCTCCACCGTAGCAGCGCTGCTGCTCGTCGCCCCGCTGGCTCTGGCGGGCATGTACGCCAAGCCTGTCATCAACATCGACGCTAAAGAGTTCAAGAAGGTCATGGGCAAGGAGCATGCCGCGGTGAGTCAGCTCGGCTGGGTTCAGTTTGCTGACTGTAGTAGATGGTAGCGTTTGTTGCGCCTTGGTGAGTTTGGGGCGCGGGAGGGTTACGGGCCGGGTCAGATCAGGCGTGTGTGAATGTACCAGCCGCTACCCGAAGCCAACTCACTCATCTCCGCTGCACTCTCATGTGACGCCTCAGGGCGCACGCTGACTCTAGGTGCGGGCACTGTAAGAACATGGCGCCCGAGTACGCTGCCGCTGCCTCATCTCTCGACCCCCTCATTCCATTCTACGCCGTCGACTGCGACGCATCCCAGAACAAGGCGCTGTGCGCCGAATACGGCATCAAGGGCTTCCCCACCATCAAGGCCTTCCCCAAAGCCGGCAAAGGCGCTGCGCGCGACTACGACGGCGAGCGCAAGCGCAACGCAATGGTGGATTACGCCAAGGCCATGGTGCCGGACCGCGTGAAGAAGCTCCGCGTCGGCGATGGCATCTCTGCCTTCCTCGCGGACAAGAAAAACCTGCCCCATGCCCTTTTGGTGCACCCCTCCACGCCGTCGATCCCATTCCTGTGGAAAGTGCTTGGGCACCGTCTTACGGGCAAGGTACGTACCTATTGCTGGCACGCAGATATTGTTTCGCATACCTAGTGGCGACTGACACCAGGCCCACCTCGGCTACGTTAAGGACCCGAAGGGGGTCATTGTGGCCGATCTCGGTCTCGCGAGCGTCGACGGCCCGCGTCTCCTGTTCTGGGGCGAGGGCGATTCTGTGTCCGAGTACGACGGTGCGCTCAAGTTCAACGCGCTGTTTGACTGGCTCGAGGCTGCGATTGCAGGTGACATTCGAGAGGCGACGGAGAAGCGCGAGGAGCCTTCCTCCTCCACCACCACTGCCGCAACGTCTGTCAAGGCCCCGCCCAAGGCGGCCGACACGGAGGATGCGGCGGCACGTCGTGCACGTCTTCAGGCCAAGATGGACGAGATCGAGCGCCGCGACCGTCTCCGTCGTGAGCGTGAGGCCGCGAAGAAGGCTGCCGCAGACGAGCAAGCCGGCGGTACACCTGTCGAGGACGCTCCCGCGGCTGAACCTGAATATGCGGACCCGCCACCCGCGGAGCCGGAGGAGGCAGCAGAGGAGGAGCTGGCTACCCCAGGTGTTACTCACACGCAGCCTGTGGCGCCAGAGTCTCCGGAGCCGACGGACGACGGCACCCCCGTGGACGCCGCACCAGCTGAGCCCGCCGAGGCCGTTGAGGACGAAGCGACCGAGGCGTCGGACTGGGATGCGTGGCCCGAGTCGAGCACCGATCATGCTCGCGATGAGCTCTAGTATTTATGCATGAAGGCGTATCGGCATGTGAACGGTTGGAGTCCAGAGTGTGAATGTCTGCTGAAGTGGAGGGATCGCCGGTGGACTCGAAATTCCATCTGGCCACGTGGTTGCAATTCGAGTTGAGGAGTCGATTCAAAGTCGGTCCATCCACCATCTCGTCTACTTTCATTGTTGATCAACACTAAAACGGCTGTACCGGCAGCACTCCTCTCTCGACTTCGCACGCAGACGTGATCCGCAACTATGGTGCGTTCTGCGCGCCATTTTCTTGCACTCTGCTGACGCGCAGCCGACCATCTCTGTCGACAAGGCCGACTTCTACCGCCGCCTCGGCAGCGAGTACAGTGAGCTCCTCCGTGTAATCCAGTTGACAACAGCCACCGAGGCGTTTGACGAGCTGTGCTTCGACTTTGGCATCGAGTTGGACGAGGACGTGGGTGTCCGTCCGTGTGTGCGCACTGACCTCAGACGACCGCCGACGTCGAGGCAGCGCGCAAGGCCGGCCTGCCGACCGAGGCGCCGCAGCTCAAGATCGAGATCCCCGCGAACCGCTACGACCTCCTGTGCTCAGAGGGTCTCGCGCGCTCCCTCCGCGTCTTCCTCGGCCGTGAGGCGCCCACCTCGTACACCCTTGCACCCCCCACGCAGGAGGCCTTCATCGAGCCATCCACCTCCCCGCTCCGCCCGTACTTTGCCGCTGCTGTGCTCCGCCTCGCGCGCCCCATGACCGAGCTCGAGTACAACTCGTTCATCGACCTCCAGGACAAGCTGCACCACAACCTGTGCCGGCAGCGCAAGTTTGTAGCCATCGGCACCCACGACCTCGACACCATCGAGGGCCCCTTCCGCTACATGTGCCGCGACCCGCACCAGATCAAGTTCGCACCCTTGAATAAGGACACCGAGTACACTGCTGCCGAGCTCATGAACATCTACGACAGCGACAGGCATCTGTCCAAGTACCTCCCGATCATCCGTGACGCGCCCGCCTACCCTATCATCTATGACAAGCACGACCGCGTGCTGTCGATGCCGCCCATCATTAACTCGCAGCGTGAGTGCGGCGCGCCGGCACCAGATGGCTTGCAGGGCTCAAAACTAACTCACAGACTCCAAGATCGTCGCTGGAAAGACAACCAACATCTTCGTCGACGTGACGGCCACCGACAAGACCAAGCTTGACATCGTCGTCATGCTTATGGCCACCATGTTCGCTGAGTACTGCAACGTGCCGTTCCAGGTCGAGCCCGTCAAGATCCACCACCCTGACGGCACCACTGTTCTTACCCCGAACGTGGCACCACGCCAGACCACCGCGTCGCACGCGTACATCAACGCCGCTACCGGCCTCAACCTCTCGCGTGAGGAGTGGGCTGGTCTCCTGACCAAGATGTCGCTGGCCGCCACCCCGTCCAAGTCGAACCCCGATATTCTCGACGTGTCCGTGCCATGCACGCGTCCCGATATCCTGCACGAGTGCGACATCATGGAGGATGCCGCGATCGCGTACGGGTACAACAACTTGCCTACTTCGATGGCTGGCTCTGCGACAGTTGCCAAGCCCACACCGATCAACAAGCTCGGCGACATTCTGCGCAAGGAGTGCGCCATGGCCGGTTGGACCGAGTGCCTCCCGTACATTCTGTGCAGCCACGACGAGAACTACGCCTGGCTTTTGCGCAAGGACCCCGGCGGCGAGTGCATCCGCCTGGCGAACCCGAAGACGGCCGAGTTCCAGGTCGTGCGCACATCCCTCATTCCCGGTCTTCTCAAGACTGCGCGCGAGAACAAGGCTGTGCCCCTCCCGCTCAAGGTGTTTGAGGTGTCCGACGTCGCCTTCCAGCGCCTGGAGCTCGACCGGCGCTCGCAGAACGAGCGCCACCTCGGCGCCCTCTACATCTCGCACAAGGCCGGCTTCGAGGTCGTCCACGGCCTCCTCGACCGCATCATGCAGGTCCTCGGCGTCCCCTACATCGCCACGGCCGACTCCCAGGCCGAGTACGGATACTACATCGCGGAAGCCAAGGACGAGCCGAGCTTCCTGCCGGGCCGCGCGGCACACGTCTTCCTCCGCCCCAAGCAGAAGAAGGAGCAGAAGAAGGAGGGTGGTGTCCTCGAGACTGTTGCGGGCGCGCTCAAGGCCGCACTCCCTGGTCAGGACATCAAGCTCGGCCAGCTCGGCATCCTCCACCCCGAGGTGCTCGCCAACTTTGACCTTACGCGTCCCGCGTCCACGCTCGAGATCAACATCGAGCCCCTGTTGTAGTTTAGCCTGGGGATGGGATGCATGCGCATTAGTCTGCGTGGGGTTTGTGCGCGATGGATATGCGGAACCAGTGGTCGCAATGTTGTAATGTTGGAAGTGGGGCAGATCTCACGTGGGTGAGTGATTTGGCCCCGCTCGACCACAGGGTGACACTCTTTGGTTCAACAAGCAGTCAATCGCGTCTGTCGTCAACTGCCATCCATCAACATTCATCCATCCACATCACTTTCTGTCATCATCCTTACTCTCATCACCGCCCCGACAGGCCTCATTAGATCTCCTTTCACCCCCTCATCGCTCAACCCGTCCACCACTTCACCCCCGCGCCATGGCATACCCTCAGCGGCAGCCAACGCGTGGCGCGTACATGCCGACACAACAACAGCAATATAAGCGTTAGTCTCCCATTCCCCAACGCCTCGCTTCCAACTTTCCCTCTTTCCTCCCCTTTCCAGCTCCCACGCTTCGCTCTTCGTCCTCACCTGGACTGCTTTTTGCTCTCCCTCTCGCACTGCCTGCTCACACCCCAGCACAAGCGTATCAACCAGCAATGCGCGCACAAGTCCATCCGCAGATGCAGGCACAGATGCAGGCGCAGATGGCCGCGCAGTACCGCCAAGGCCAGCCTCAGGCATTCTACACGCCAATGTACCCACCAGGGCCCCTTGGTTTCTTCCTGCCGCCCCCAGGACAAGTGGTTAAAGACCCCGCGACTACAACCAGGCTTGCCGAGTACTCGACGTACCCGTCGCGCTTGCGGACAGGTGCAACGTCGCTCGTCCAGCCCGAGCGCGTGATGGGTGGGCCGCGCGAGCGCGAAGCGCATCTCGCGCAGCTCGACGCGGAATTCGCCCTCGCGCGCTCTTCCGGTGCATCCACACCACGCGTCGACAGCCCTGCACCGGGCCGCATAAGCCGGACTACGACCACGACCATGTCTGGGCGGCGCGCCGGGCGCGTCAATTACGCCGAGGCTGACGAGAGTGACGACGACGAGGAGAGCGAAGAGAGCGATATAGAGGAGGCAGCGAGCGACCCCGACGACGACAACTACGGCGAGCGCCGGAGAAAGCGGGACCGCGAAGCGGAGAAGCTTGCGCACTCTTTCCGTGCGAAGAAAAAGGCCGCCGAGGCCGAACCGGGGTGGTCATGGCTCGGGGACCGCGTGCCGGGCGACCGCGTCAAGAGTGTCGAGGTGCGCGGGTTGACCGCACACAGGTTTGTGTAAGTGGCTGCAGGCAGGTGTGGCGGAGCTAATGGCAGGCCAGAAGACGCGCTGGCCGCCGAGGCAGAACGTCCCGAGCTGCTCGTGCCCATCAACTTGGACATTGAAGTGCCGGCGACGGACCACGACGAGGGGATCAAGATCAAGGACCGGTTCATGTGGAATGCGAACGAGCCGTTCGTCAAACCCGGCGAATTCGCCAAGATCTTCTGCCGCGACGTTGGGATTTCTGAGGCGCACGCGTCGACCATCGCGGACTTGATCGCCAGCCAAGTCGAGGAAGCGCAGTCCACGGTCGTGATCGACCTCGCGACGCCCGACGCGACGGAAGACGATGTGTCGTGGTCCGACGACGACGCGATGGACGAAGACGAGCTCCCCGAACCCGACTGCCGGATCATCATCAACCTCGACGTGCAGATCTTCGCGCACGTCCTGCGCGACCGCATCGAGTGGGACCTGTCCTCTCCGCTCCCGCCCAGCGAGTTTGCGCGGCACTACTGCGCCGAGCTGGGGCTGACGGGCGAAGCCGTGCCGCTGATCACGCACGCAATCCACGAAGAGCTGCTGAAGCACAAGCGCGACGCGCTCGAGCTCGAGCTCTTTGCGCGCACACATCCCCTCGAGCAGGCCAAGTGGGAGAAGAGCGCGAACCACCCCAAAACAAACTTCCGGCACGGGGCGCGCGGCCTCGTCGGCGTCTGGCGCGACTGGTGGGAGCGCGACGAGTTCAGCCCGATCCTCATCGAGCTCACGGCTGAGGACATGGCGCAGCGCGAGAGCGAGCGCTCGCGCGACGCGCGCAGCCGCATGCGTGCGCTCACGTCCAAGCGCGGCGCAGCCCGCCTGCGGTATTATTAGATGTATGCATTATTGTGCTACATACCTGGACCACAGTACTGAATGGTGCCTGAAATGCCGACGTCATGTTCTCGCGACCCACATCCATCCACCTGCATCCACAACCTCATCATGCCCAACGAGGTGGGTACATCGACGAACGGACTGACACAGTCGCGCCACCAGCCCATTGCGGTCCTCTCGGTCCTCTCGTTCGTAGGCGGCGCCATGGGCTTCGCCAAGGCCGGCAGCGTGCCCTCCCTCGCGGCGGGCGTGGGCATTGGCGCGGCGATGGCCGTAAGCGCTATGCGGATCCATGACTCCTTGCCTGGCGGGCTGGAGATGGCGGCCGGCAGCAGCGCGGTCATGTTTGTGCCTATGCTGAGGTGAGTGGGGTGGGGAACGGAAGGGGCGAGGAATGAGACGGCGGCGGCGGCGGCGAACGCAGGAACGGCGGGAACGGCGGGAACGGAGGGACGGAGGGATGGAGCGACGGAAGGAGAACGCGAAGGGAACGGAGGCAGGAGAGCGAAGTGGAGGGGACAGCAAGGCCGAGGTGTGATAGGGGGGATCGGAAGGCCGAGGATGAGCCCCGTTGACTCCAGACGCGCACTGCGGACGCGCTCGCCCATCCCCATCACCATGTCTATCCTCGCAGGCGTCAGCGCAGGATTCTACGGTCACGAGGCGTATGACGAGTATGAACACAGGCTGAAGTAGGAGCTCTAGCAGGTCTGTCGCTTTGACAAGTCTCGTCGCGGAGCCTCAAACGGAGGAGTAACAACGTATGCTATGCAATCTACAACTGTGCCGGGCGTGCTGGCGCGTCCTGCTGTCAGATCTCCTCGGCGCCTCACTCACCCGGACCATAAAGCTGACGCGATGCCCCCGGGGCAACGGCACGCCCTCCCACCGGCTCTCGGTGAAGCCCAGCACTGCGTGCGTGTAGTCGTACCGCACCCGCCCCTTTTGCATGTACACACTGCCGGAGGGGAGGAGCACGTCCCATCCCTCCCCGTCCTTGTCTAGTCTGAGGATGCGGGCGGCGCCGAGGCTGGCGCCGACAATCGTCTGCCCCGACGCCTCGAGGTTGTCGACGTGCGCGAGGATCGCGCCCTCCGGCGCCAGGTGCAGTGCATGCGTGCTGCTCCCCTCTGGCGGCAGGTCGGCGGGGGTGGGCGAAGCCGGAAGCTTGAGGCCGGGGACGAGGCGATACAGTCTTCCCAGAACGCTGGCGAGCTCGGCGCTCGCGTCGGGCGGGAGGCTAGTCACGAGCGACTCGCGGTAGTTGTGGATGACAGAGTCAAAGTGGCCCTGGGGTCAGCGGAACGCGGATGGGGGACACGCGGTCTAGCGATCGCGTGCTCACCTCTTCGAACCCATAGGGCCCCATGAACATGTCCTGCAATGGTGCGCCTCTGGCCTCCTCCTTCTTCTCCTCCCCTCCTCTTCGCCTACGCCGGCGCTTCGAGTCCGCGCGATCGAGCTTCCACAGCGCCAGGCCGAGGAGCGCGCGGCTCTCCGCCGGACTGAAGAAGTCGGGGTAGATGGCAAAGTCGTCGTCGAGCGCGGGGTTGAATGCGCCGCCGCGCGCGCGCACGAGCGCCGAGGGCGCTGCGAGGGTATACCGCTGAATCTGGGCGAGGCGGAGGGACGCACGCATCTCGCGGTGGTCGTCTGAGGGATCTTGGAGCAGAGAGCAGAGTGGGCGGAGAGCCTCCACCATGCTCGCCGCGATTTCGGCCTGCTCCGTTTGGCGCCATGGCCGGAGGCAATCCCTCGGCTTCTACCCCACTCCATCCAGGGCCCCAGTGCCAAGGGCGAGACCGGACCGGCATCCCTCCGGCCGGTGACATGCTGACGGAGCCGTCACTCACCTCGCACACCGTCATCCGACTCCGACATCTTCATCTCTCCATCACCAACTCACTCTCTCACATCCCCCATCCGCTCATCGCGCGCACACGAGACATGGCTGAAAACCCTCCCGTTGCGCCCATGGCGCCCACCTCGCGCGAGAACCGCCCCGAGATCGTCGGCGGGGATGCGCCCGAAGCCCCCTATCCCATCGAGCTCTTCGGCGCCGTCACCAAAGGCTTCGGGCGCGGCGCACGCTTCTTGGGCATCCCGACCGGTGAGTTGAGCTCTCCATTCCTCCCCTCCACCCGACCAAGTGTCTTTCTTCCGCGCCTCACCTCATTTATCTCACCTTCCATCGCCTTCGGTCGCTCGTCTGACCTCACTAACCCCAGCTAACCTCCCGGACTCGTCCCTCGGACCCCTCAACGCCCTCTCCCTCACGGGCATTTACTACGGCTTCGCCCGCGTGCACCCCACCATGTCCACCCCGCTCCCCACCGCCGCCCCCACTCCCGCCCTCACCCCCTCCGGGAGCACGACGTACCTCCCCGACCTTGCCGCCGCCAGATCCAACACGTCATACCACCCCGCCGCGCCAAAGGACATGGGCAAGCACCCGCTTACCGCCGACGAGATCGCCTCCATGCCCGCCCACACGGCGCCGTACCCGCCCGAAAGCGCGCCGGCGACACCAGGTGGCGCACACACCAAGATGAGGAGGCTCGCCGAGGAGGACGGCAAGGTGTGGCCCATGGTCATGAGTGTGGGCTGGAACCCGTACTTTAAGAACGAGAAGATCACTGCTGTGAGTTTGGGCTGATGGGTTGGTTGGAGCAGGGCTGGCGGGCGAGAAAGCGGCGAGGGCCTGGGGCGAGTTATGGGAGGGTACGGAGGAACGGCGGTACGGAAGGCGAGCGCAAGGCCGAGAAGATGAAGCAGGGCCAGAAGCGCGGGCAGGAGTGGAAAGGGAGGAGCTTGAAGGAGCTCAGCGATGGGACACGACCCAGCGAGAGGAGGATTCGACAAGGTGGATTCGAGAAGCCGAGGCAGAAGATTAAACATGTCACTTACACCCAGGAGGTCCACATCATGCACCCCTTCAAGCACGACTTCTACGGGCATGAAATGAGCGTCCTCGTCCTCGGCTACATCCGCCCCGAGCTCGACTACATCTCGAAAGGTGCATAGGCCCCACCCATCACCCGCTGACCCACAGAGGCGCTTATCGCCGACATTCAGTTCGACGTCAAGGTCGCACTCAACGGTCTCGCGCGCCCCGCGTACGCAGCCTACGCGTCCTCGCCCTTCCTCACCGGCCCGCCGCAGCCACCTGCAGACGAAAACGCCGGCTCGGCCGCCATCGAGGCATAGATAGCATATACCCATGACCATGTATTCCCTTGCTACAGCTGTGCGCTACAATTGTGTTCTGTTACACTACTCCCAATCCATCCCTTCCGAGCCGTACCGGTCGTACAGCGCAAACTCATCGTACTCGTCCTCGACCTCGCCCATCTGCGCCGCCATGCCGAGTGCGCTCTTCAGCGCAATTCTCTCGCCGAGCCCCTCGTACTCGTCGTCGCCCTTGCCTTCCTCGTCGCCCTTGTCTTCTTCGTCGCCTTTGTCCTCGTCGTCCGAGTCCCCATCCTCTCTTCCCATTGCTGTTAGGCGCGCCAGCGCAATGTAGTCGATTCGTCCGCTGAGCCCCCGGCCTGCCGGGACATCGATTCGTGGCTGGCTGCGCCGCGCGTTCGAACGCCTCTGACGTGTCTCGAGCACGTCCGGATCTTCATCGAGACGATTGTTCTTGCCCTCGGGAATAGTGCGATCATACTCCCACGCACCGGCCCCCATGTAGGCCTTCTCGCGGGCGTCCGCTTCGGCATCCGAGAGAATGAGCTGGCGCCACGACTCGCCGCCGAGGTGGAAGAGCGCGTCGAGCTCGAGCTCGAGCTGCTCCTCGTCGATATCGTCGCCCATCGGGGCCAGAACAGCTTCCAGCTTAGCCGGGTCCAGCTCAGTCTGTAGGCCGAGGAGCGAGTGGACCAGCAAGTGGAGGGGAAATTCGCGCGGCTTGATGCCCAGGCGAAGGAGGCACTCGGTTGGCGACCACTGCGGGTTGGCGGAGATGAAACCGCGAAGATCCTGCTTCCTGGGATCGCCGTGGATCTCCAGCGAGGCGAGATACTCCTTCGTGAATATTGCCGGCAGGCGGCCATCCTCGCGGGCGTCGGCGACCCACTTGTTCATCTGCTCCTCGACGTCCTTGGGCATCGCGCGGCCGCTTCGCCGCTCGTCGTTGATGTTGAAGTGCACGTAGTTCTCCCGCTCGCGGTAGAGGAGACCAACATATCTCGCAACTTCCTGATTGATCGGGAGTGCTTTGGGCAATGGGATGGGGGTGACAAGCGGCGATATGCTGCTGGAACTTGGAGATGGCGATGGACCGATCTCGCGCAATGGTGTCGTAGACAGATCACTCGCCGGCCCTGGGAATGTGAGCGCCGGAGAAGGGGAGCGACCCGCTGTGGACGCTGTAAAAGGCGGCGTCGGGATACCGGCCGATTTGCGGGGGTGCTTCAGCGGCCTCGATGGTTTGTTGGCAGACGGGCGGCAAACTGGTACGAGGGGCGCGGAGTTCGGCTCATCCCTTGCGATTGAGAACGCTCCGTCAGCACTAAGATGGAACGCGAAAGGCTGGCTATCCCGCGCGTCTTGCGCAGATGTAACGGAGCGGGGCGGGCGCTTGGGAGCAGAGTTTTTACCTGGGTCGAAAAGGCCGTACCATTCCTCCTCTGATTCCCCGTCGGGATCCTGTTCGCTCTCCTCATCGGCGGATGAGTCGTCCCGCCTCGCCAATAGCTCCGCAATAGATGGCTCGGGCGCTGGGGACGAGGAACTTGGCTTCGGCGCCAGCATGCGGCGCACCATTTCTTCCTTGGATAAGGAGTGACGCGACACGGAGGGAATCGATGTCGCGATGCGTTCGGCCAGAGAGGAGATTGAGCCTGAGGATGAGGTCTGCGAGCGTGACATGCCGACAGAGCTCAAGCCAGAGCTCGTTTGGCTTGATGACGGCACCAACGAAGTGGCGCGGCTTGACGCTGCCGTCGAGGAAGCAGAGGCCCTGGCTCGGATTCTTGCGCGCGATTTTTTGGCTTTCCTGTCCGCCTCCGAGAGCTTACGCTTTTTCAACGGGGGACCAGGCGCCCAAGGCGTCTTGGACCGCCTCGGAGGGTACTCTTGCGCCCAGCGCTTCGCGAACATGCTCGATGCTGTGCCATACTCTTCGTCCAGCGGCACGACGGTGGGGCGTGCCGCGCGCGATATTGCGATTTCACGCCAGTGGTTGGCTATTATCGGTGCCGCGGCCGCCGCCATCTGGCACTCCGGGATGCCGCGCATCCGGTCGCCGCCGAAACCGCGCAAGCCGTCGCCCACGGCTAATCCTCGCTTGGGGCCAGCGATGAGGGGGACCTCCTTGCCAATGGCTGGGATAGACGTCGACCAAGCGACGAGCATGTCCCTCAATTCGGCCCGGCGAGCCATCGCATTCTGCTCGTTGCCGCCGTATGCCCGGGCAATTTCGGACACCCACGCAGTGATGTGCTCCGGCATCTTGCCGTCCATGGCTACGGTGATGGCCCAGAAGAGGAGCGCCGAGGCGACGTCAGTCGAGGATTGTGCTCCCCACATTCCTATAGTGGTCGTTGCACAGTACAATTTGTACGCGACCTCGAGCGTCTTCTGCCAATTGACGGACTGCATGTACTTCCACGCGTGGTCGTCGAGGCAGAAATCGTTTGGACCCGCGGTCTTGAGGGTCTTGCCCTGGCGAATCTTCGCAGGGAGGAGCTCGTGATAACTCATCAACGTCAAGCGCTCGGCCCAGTCCATCCTGGCGAGGCGCTCAATGTGATGACACATAACGAGAACCTGGGTAAGGAGCAAGTCCACAGAAGCGACGCGGCGACGAAAAGCCTTCCCAAGATATTTGTGGGCTGAGCGTAGCGCCATTTTGCTGTCGATGTGCCCTGGGTGCCCGGGACGCGAGGTGCGCTGGTATATGCTGTCAATTGTTGGAGCCATGATGCTCCCGTCGCCGCGGATGTTGGGAGTCACCGGAGCCGGCTCCTTGAGGTGCTTCAGGCGCTCGTTCAGCAGGGTGAGATTGCTATCCTGGATGGTGTACATGACAGCGAGGGCAACACGAATTGGCACCTTCTTTGCGCGATTACTGGTCGTCATTCCTCCACTGAAGCCGTTGTCGGATTTCTCCAGTGCCCGGATGCGATTGTACCACGAACGCGCACCAGCAGTGAAGTGCTTTGCGTCAAAGTTGGTGAGGCGAGTCCTTCCGTCGACAAGGTACGCATGGAGAAGGGACTCGACGTGTGCCTCGTGGAGGCGCTCGCGGTAATCCTTTTCGAACGATCGGCGCTCCTCGCCGTGCAGCAGTGTCCCATAGATGGCAGAAACGTTGGCGGTGTTACAGATGCTAGTGGCGCGCTCATCGATGATACCGCACCCCGAGCAGGCCATAAGATGGTCGTCGGTGAGCTGCAGCGCGCTGTGACAGTGTGTACATCGCGACATTGCGGCGGCGTGAGTGTGTTGGGAGAAAGATGGTGGGGGATATGGTATCTCTCGCTGTGGTGGTATTCAGCGATGGTGGTGGAGTCGAGGAGGAGGGGGAGCGCTGAGATGTTGGAGGTGAGCAAGAATACCAGCAGGTGCTCGTCTTGCTTCGCATGAAGCTTAACGGGCACCTCGGGTAGGGAGGTCGAAGTTGGACGGCCTACAGAGTGAATGTGCAAGCAAGCAAGATTCTGAAGATGATGAAAGATCGAGAGATGAGGAAGTTGAGCGAGTTGGGTGGCCATTTCTGATCACGAGAGGAGGAGCGGAAGCATATCCACGTGGGGGTTGTTGACATTGACATGCCTACCAGGTGACTCAACCTCGTTGACCCCAAATGACCCACTTGATCCATTCTCCACTGTCGATTCTCACCAGCACAATGCTCGCCCCACTCCGCGCCGTAGCCTCTAAACCATTCCGCGTACGAGAATCGCCCTAGTCTATCATCTGACATCAGAACGCTCGCGCGTACCATGACCTGGCCCGTGTTACGCTGATTGGGCGGCTCGGCGCCGACCCAATTCTGCGCGAGGTGGGTCTTACCTCGTCTGACAGCTGACCCCAGACCTCGTCAGGCAAGCCCTACTACACGTACAGCGTTGCGACGACCGTGGGGCCGCGCACGACTGACGAGGCGGGTAACCGTGTCGAACCTCCGACCTCGTGGCACACTATTTTCGCGTTCTCCGAGGCCAGCCACAAGCTCCTGCCCTTCGTCACCAAGGGGAGCACGGTGTATGTCGAGGCCGAATTGGAGATGCGGTCCGGGGGTAACGCGAGCGACGGAACGCCGCTGCCTGACCGACCGCTGCTGCGTCACCGTAAGTGCTTCAAGGCGTGCCCAAAGATGGAAGATGGGAGGGAGGGTGGAACACAGTCTGATGGACAGAGAAGATGAACGTCATCAACCGCGTAAAGCCTGCAGACGAGGAGGGAGAGTTGGAGGATCTGGAACAGTAGATAGGAGATCGCAGCGCCACGTTTATAACCACTCATGCATACCTGTAACTTCCGGATTTGTTGTTCAGGCAACGGACGGCTCATCGGAGCGCCGCCTAGACATGGCGTAGTGATACATAGCGATGCGTACAACGAAGTAGGCTGGCTGTTGGAGATCTCTGCGGCCTCAGCGTTTCGACCGGTAACGTGCGGGAGTGTCTGTAATCGCTGGCATCCTCGCTGTGAAAGCCGTTTGTTGAGCGCTCCATGGGATCCGCTCCCCGAATGATTGATGTGCCCCGTCATCCTCAAGGAGACGCTCCGTCTTTCTCCGCGATCACTGAGGAAGCCTCGGCGAACTGTCTCAACACCGCGCTATCGTCAGATCATTCTCCATCGACATGCCGCCGTCCTGATTGCTCACCGCTTTGATTCTGCTTGCTCTTCCAGAATACGCGTGAGCTCTCGCACAGCGTCCGTGCCGAGATGCCCGCCTGGCAGATTCGAGGCTGCTGCCTTCATGCTTGCGATTTGAGCAGCAATGACCTTCACCTGCTGTTAGAGAATGAACTGTGACGAACTGGAGAGGGAGGGGCTGCGGGGGCCAGACGATGAACATGCCTTTTGCACTATCTCGTCGTTTGCTCCTTCACCCTCCGAAAGCCTATACACCAGGCCTAGTATTTCTTCTACCGATGGGAGGATGGAGGAGAATGTACATGGTGCGAGAGCTGGTGGGAGGGGAGCGCGGTCCATGGTTGGTGGGAGCTTGGTAGTGATGGTGGTTGGAGTGTTGTTGAGATGTTCGTCGTTCCGACCTCCACAATCCCAGATCTCAGGCACATCCATCCGTGAATCCATCCCACATAGCGGATATGAACTACCAAAGTACCTTCTGTGTCCCAACAATAATACAACTGTCTAAACTTCCATCAAAATGCGGCGCACACCTTGCCGCAGGAACGTCAAGTTGTACTCGATCATGCCCCGGCGCGCCTGCCATGTGTCTGTGTGAAGCAGCACGACGAGAGCAAGGTGCCTGCTGTTAGCGCGACCTCAGAGAGTACATACGGCGTAAATTGCCACAGCGCAATAGTGGACTTGGGCATGAGTCTCGTCGCTTGCGTCATCCATGGTGCTTCGGGGTCCTCGTCGTCCCACCAGTCTCGCCCAGTCTTTCCCAATGCGCCATCGTCGCTCCGGTCATCTGGGGGTGCGTTGGGCGTCCGCAACTTCTTATAAATGTCTCGGAACTGCAGGAACTTTGTGAGGTATTCTGTCACCTGCTCCATTGTCGCGTCGTTGCGGTGTCGGTTATCAGTCGCCAGAACGACGCCCGAGTCAATGTCGAAAAGGTAGGAATTGTCCATCCCCGACGTCTGCTGTCAGCCCCAACCCTGCGCTTGACAAATCACTTCTGTAAAGTTGAGGAGCAGCGCTTCCACGGCTGGCAGCATCTCCATCACACCCTGGATAACCTTACTCCAACCGTCGCGGAGGGACACGTCGTGCACACTAGTCATATCGAACTTGATCTCTGCAATCATATGGTTGAAGATGTTGTTGCAAACGCTGGGATCGCCCAAGTCGAGATTGGGTGCGTATGACTGCAGGCTCGAGTAGTGATAGTCCTCGAGCTCCTCTGTCATGCTTCTCTGAATCTCGGAGTAGTTTTCGCCGCGGTAGTCTTCGGACAACGCTTCCGCCTTGTGAATGAAGACGGAAAACTTCATCTGAGGGTTTGCGAGGTATCCCCGCAGAATCATGGTGATCGCCTGTCGCACAGCCTCATGGTACGAGTCGTCTTGCTGCCTGTCAGCTGAGTTAAACCCCGGGGAGGAACGTTGGTGGGACAAGTGAGGGCTGGGCTAATCCAAAGAAGGAAGATAGGGAGGACTCACTTGCATGTCGATGACATACACCAATGTTGAGAATGAGGCAAGAGGCACGTCGAGCTGATCAAGGTCAAAGTTGGCCGGCGTGTCCCAGATCTGCAGCGGTACAATGGTGCTGCTGTGAGCAGGGTGATTTCGCGGAGTCTAGGATATAAACGCACTCATAGTCAACCTTCTCGATCTTCTGCGTGATGCCGATGTACGGCACGTCCTTGACGGGAAGGTGCTGAAACACAGTCTTGATGCAAGACGATTTCCCCGCCCTGTGCGTCAGCGGCCGAGCCATTGAAGCACGCACTTGCGCCATCCTGTCACTAGGACCTTTATCCTGTGGTCGTCGGTTGCGGTAGAGGGCTCGCCGTTGCTCATGACGATGGTTGTGCGCGAAGTGGGAATGAAGGAGGGTGAGGGAGCTGCTGTTGAATGGTGCCGCCAAGTGTTGCAGTCGGGGTGCAGATGAGTAGTGAGTGGAAAGACGACGGAGTAGAGAGTAGCTGAGAGATTGACTGATGCCAATTGCCAAGTGACGTCGATGTCAATCATCATCACCGCCTTGGGCCGAGGCATGTGCTCGCTCAACAGCCTATTTTGCTTCCGTCCCACGTGGATTACATTGTTTATCCTTAGAATTACCTCCGCTATTCGACGCGTTTGCCCTTCCCTCCCTGCACGCGTCTTCATGACCTCCACTACGCGTCACTCTCTCCCTCCGACTTATTCTGCCCGCGCGAGTTTCTTGTCTCTCTACATCCTCCCATCCCAATATGAGCGCTTCACCTGAAGGCTCACGCCCTCCAAAGCGCACTTATGGGCGGCGGGCCCAGGTCGCTACGACCGATGACACGCCGAGCATGCTGTTCGCTCCCCCGACTGAATCCCCTTCCAAGACTCTCCTCAACCGCTTTGCCACCACGAGCTCGAAATGGCGGGAATCTCTCAATGGCATTGAAGCAGAAGAGACAGAGGATGAGGTGAAGGCTGCGCGTGAGCGATTCCGCAAGGCCAAAGAAGCGTTGCCATCACGTGCGCTTGCCGCATTCTCATCGTCAACTCTCACGGATCCACCGAGTTCGACGCCGCCGCCAGTCACAGCGCATGAAGTTGAGGAGACGAGAACCGCCTCGCCTCCGCCTCCCTCCTCTCCCATAGCCGCCGCCTCGCCATCCAGCTCTTCATCTCCTTCACCACCCGTGTCGCCCGCCCATTCACTCTCTGCTGCATTGGAAGAGAACGAAGATCAGGAGACTGTCACACCACGCGCGGCGCGCCGCTCCACGACGTCCCGCACATCAGTCACCCCTGTTCGTGATTCACGGTCCCACTCTGTCACGGGCCTCTTTGAAGACGATGACGAGGAAGAGAGTGGCTCGCCACTGGATACACGTGGTTCTCGATCTCCCCGTCGACGCGTAAAGGTCGGTCATTCAGAGGAGCTCGCTGACTGACCAGGGCCCTACCAAGGCGGAACTGGATGAGGCGAAGCGCGATGCCGCACGCGCATTGCGAGGTAGCTCGCTTCGTGGCCAGAGCTGACCCCAGAACGCGCGCCCGAGTTGTCCAAGCCCGAGCCGACGCGGCGGCCAATTTCAGCGTGGGCTGAGAAGGCTCAGTCAGCTGTGTCTCAACCCGCCAGGTCAAGGAACCGCCTGGCTCCGAGCACATATCGGCCAGCGTAAGTCTGAGGCCTGAACCAGCTGACGGCTAGAACGCAGCCTGACACGTCGCCGGCAGAAGAGATTCGCCAATTCACAAGCCAGGCGACACCCAACTCACGCGCTGTTGATCGCACTCGTCGCTCCAGTGACCAACGCGTGGTCGCGCCTTCCACTTCTTCACCCACGCCAGCTGTGGTGGTTCTAGATGACGAAGACTTGTCACTGGACGAAAGTCTCGAACGTGAGAGATTGAAGGAGCAAGTTCGTAAGACCTGGGCACGGGCGAGGCAGAGCGCACTGAGCGGGCGGCCCCAACACGCTGCTCGTGACAGTGATGACGAGGACCTTGTCATCGAGCGAGACGTGAAGCCGCGGAGTGGGCCCAGCCGACCATCGGCTCCGTCAAGGCAATTACCTCTATTTGGCCACGCAAGCAATCGGGGACCCCCCAAGCGCCCCGGTGCTGGACACAAGGGTCGTGACATTCCACTGACGCATGCGCGAATGACGACGGATCTCGTTGGACGGCACTACGAACAGGCCCACAAGGTGCAGCGAGAGCGTGAGGAGAAATACGGCGGTGTCCGTCGGCTGCCGGAAAAGCAGGAGCTAGAGCTCGGCACGATCATTCCCGCGAGCGCAAGCGCCGAGGCCGACGATGAGGACAGCGACGGCGACGACTCTGACTTCGCACCCGATGAGGAGGCTGAGGTCGAGAGGTGGAGTGGGTCCGAGGATGAAGCCGCGCCCACGCCGACGGGCGAGGGGGGCTCAGACGACGGGGACGAAAGTGGCGAGGATGAGGACAAGGAAAACCAGCCCCTCGTTGGTGCAAGCGTCTCGGAAGACGAGGATGAGGTCTTCCTTCCTAAAAGGCGAGCCAATAAATCTCGCGTTGCCTTCTTGTCCGACGACGAGGGCCAGCCACCGAAGGAGACGCGGCAACCGCTCGCGCCCACCCAGGGGGCATCAAGCGGCGGGTTTGGCACTGACTTTGCGGGATTCGGAGACGAGGGCGACGGCGGCTTTTCCCAGCTCTTTGCTGAGACGCAAGGCGGCTACAGCGAGGTAAGCCTGCGTCTTTGATCGACGGCTAACGACAGGGTGACGCTTTCGAGCTAATCAAGAAGCAGGAGGAGGCGGCACATCGTCTTGTCCCGACGGCTGCGCTCCTCCCCTCTGTCCACATCTCTGAGTCGCAAAAGAGGCGTGACAATGCGCTCATCGCAGGCGAGGGTGAGGGTGAGGTCACGCCGAGGCCGGAGGAGAAGAAGCAATACTTGAATTCCCAAGGGTGAGCTCTTCTGCGTCAATCATAGCTGACCACAGATTCTTTACGCAAACACGGCCAAAGGGCCTCTCGACGCAGCCGTTCTCGCAATTCGCGACGGCGACGCAGCCGGCGTCCAACGAGCCCTCATCCACGCTTATCAACTCGAGCGACCGCCCGTCAGACCCTACAAGCCCGACAACTGCCGAGCCCGAGCCCGAGCTCGACGACGAGGTAACGCTGACACGTATTAGACGACGCCGGTCTTCCGCCCAGCTGTCGTCAGGCCCCTCGTCGCCAGAGATACCTACGCCGCGCCCGCGCAACGCTTTCGACCTTCTAAATGCGGGCGCTGCACGCCAGAAAGCGCGGGACAGCAAGACGCGCGACAACGCCCTCATCGATGCGCAAGCGGAGGAGAGCGACGACGACGCAGGCTGGGGCTTCGTCACGAAAGAGGCGGAAGAAGACGACGAAGAGGACGGCTACGTCCCCGAGCTCGTGGACGACGAGGTGGTCGCCGACGAGATCCGGGAGGCGCAGGACGCGCTGGCGACGGAGAAGGCGCGCGCCATGGCCGCCGAGGACGACGCGCGGCGCGAAGCCGAGGCGAAAAAGGTCGTCGAGGGGCACTACCGCGTCAAGCGGCGCGGGAACGAGTTCCTGAGCGACGAAGAGGACGAAGCAGGGCCGCGGATGAGCAAGAAGGCGCGCCGGCAACGGCGGCTCGACCACAAAGACGGGCTGTTCACGCTCGAGGGCGAGGCGAACGTCTTCCTCCAGGCATACGAAGAGGATCTCGAGTCAGACCACGAGGTCGAGGAGGCGCCGCCGTCGCCAGGCCTCATGCTCTCGCCCGTGCAGGATCTGTCTGCGCGCGAACGGGACGCACTGCTCCGCCAGCGCGCGCGGATGAACACGGACACCGAGGGCGCCGCGTTCCGCATGGACGAGGACGACGAGGTCAGCGGCTTCGCGATCTCACGCGCCAGCCGCACCGTCGTGCAGGCTGAGGAGGACGGAATACATGTCTTTGCTGCGTCTCGGACGGTCGAAAGCTACACCAAGTTCGTGAGCGAGCAGGCGTCCAATCCCCGCCGCAACGGGGGCGGAGGTGTGTCCGTTGTCGGGCACGGATCCAAGCCCACATCCAAGCGCACGGCAAGGACGGCCAGCGCTGGGCCAAGCACCAGCCGCAGCCTCGGTGGCAGTTCGAGTGCCGCGCTCATCGATCGCAAGAATCGCTTTGCGTAGCGCGTTGAGTAAGGCGTATACCGCGGTGGCGGCGTGGCTGCAGTAGGGGCTTACGTAATGCAAAGATAGCAACATCTGTACAACTGATGCAATAGGCGTACAATTATCAAAGAGCTCAGGCAGGGGTGTGGACGGGTGTGTCGCCAAGGGTTGCACAACTCAGTGTGAATCCTGCCTTGGCGAGGCAACGGAGGAGGTCGACCTTCTGGAAAGGCTTTGCGAGCACGGCGCTAAACAACGTGCCCTCCTCCGTAACAGACTGGTCGTATGATGTGGCGGCGATGACTGGCGTTAGCTTTGATAAGAGCAGGATACTCACTCGGCGTGTCCTGGTTCGGGTTCGCAGTGGACCTAAGCATGCGCGCAACCTGCTCGCCGGTAACGAACGGCATGTGTATATCGCAAATGATGACGTCGTACTTGATCGATCCCATGGCAGCCGCGAGAGCCTCCGGTCCATCTTGGACGCACACGCACTCGCAGCCCATGCGGACAAGGAGTGTCTCGAGGATCTTCTGCGAGATCGGGTTGTCCTCGGCGATCAGAACAGATAAGGGTCGGTCTGTACGCGTGGGGTCGGCAGCTGGGAGAAGCTTTGCTTCCTTCTCCGCCAGAAGGGCACGCTTCTGCGCCTTCCATGGGTCAGTGACACTGCGGTCTGAGGCGGACGAAATGCTGCCCGCGCGGAATCGGTTGGTGCGCCGACGGTCGTCTTCTGTCGACTTCACGCGCTCGAGAGCAGACACCTCGCTGGGCCGTCGAGCGTGGGGTATGGTTGCGGTCGCTGGTGTGGTGGGGGATAGAGCCAGCCTAGACGGCGTTGAGCCGGCAGAAGAGGTCGAGGTGGATGGGCTAGGCGGCCCTTGGACTCGCGATATGCTGCGCGCGTGCTTACGGCGGAACTCCTTCGGTTGGTGCTCTGGGCTGAGCGCGCCAGCAGCCATGCTGTCGCTCCTGATGCGTTTGATCACGTCATCGTTGGCTTGCTTCAATACCGGGAGGTTCTTGAAGTTGAAGGTGCCAAAATCGTCCGAGTCGCCGCTCGGTTGCTGATGGTGCTCCGGTGCGTGCTTGAACGTTTTGGGCGGGGAGCCTTCCTCATCAAACTGCCCGGTCGTGGCGCCGCGCGGATCGAAGTAGTCGGTTGATTCCGGGTCGGTGGCGTCGGGGACGAAGAGCGCTGGGCCCGTGGTGAGCGTCGCCCAGTTAATGCCTGCAAAGAAGGCGTGTTGCTTCACCTCTTCAGCGCCGTGAGCACCCAGCCGCAAGGCAGGGTTGGTGCACATCAGGCGGTCCATGAGGTCGCGAGCCTCCGCAGGGAGTTCCATCTCGTCCTCGTGCCACTCGATACGACGGGAGATGATGTTGTCAAACACCTTCTCGGGCGTCTCCGCGTGGAATGGTGGGAAGCCGTAAATGAACTCGTAGAGAACCACGCCGACTGCCCACCAGTCCGCCATGCGGTCATCCGTGCTGCCACCGAGGATAGACTCAGGCGCCAGATAGTCTGGTGTGCCAACGAAGCGTGGTGGCTCGGTGCCTGTTCCGGGGTTGGACGCGCCGGCGATGTCGGCCGACATCTTCGGGATACCGGCCAGGTGCCGGAGATGCTTGGGCGCTAGACCGGCTGATTCGGAACCACTTGACTCGTCAGCGGATCCCGCATCATGCGAGAAGAAGCCCTGGTGCAGCGTGCTTGTCGGCATAAGCTCGGGCGACATGAATGGCGAGTCGGTGATGCTCGAGATGGTCGAACCTCTGCGAGCAGACGCCGTGGCACGCAGACTCGTCCCCTTGAGATATGGGGGGCGCGGGCCACCGATCTGGCGGTTGAGCAGACCAATTTTAGACAATCCGAAGTCGGTGAGCTTGAGATGCCCTTGGGAGTCGATGAGGAGGTTGTCTGGCTTGATGTCGCGGTGTGCTACATTGCGCGCATGCAGATACTCGAGGCCGAGGATGAGCTCGCCGATGTAGTTGCGAGCCCAGTCAATGGGCAGCCCCTGGAGCATCTTCACGAGCGTAGCGCAGTCGCCTCCATTGAGGTACTCCATTACGAGGTAAAGATACTCCTTGCTCTGGAAAGAGAAGTAGAGCTTGGCGACGTACGGCGAGCTCGCCTGGTTCATGAGAATGGTGCGCTCTGCCTTGACGTTGGTGACCTGGTTCTTGGCGATCATGTCAGCCTTCTTCAGCGCCTTAATCGCATAGTAGTCGCCCGTCGTCACCTTCTTGGCGAGATACACAGACCCAAACGCACCCCGGCTGATCGGCTTAATGATCTCGAAGTCCTTGATCGACGGCTGTGCAACGCGGGAGGCGGCAACGGCGGGTGACATAGGACCCTCGCGTATCGCCTTGGTCGATGACACCTTGCGAGAGTGTCCCGACTTGCTGCGGTCCAAACCCTTCAGCTGCGGTGATGCGGACGCCGTTGCCGGCGATAACAGCAGAGGCGATCCGTGCAGACCAAGTGCGCCCATTCTTGCCGACATTGCTTCCACCTCATTCTGGGCACCCGATATCTGCGTGAGTGGAGTGGACGGGGCGTTCGGCATGGGTGTTGTGACATCGGGTGCTTCGGGGGTAGCAACGGGTCTCTCGATAGCCGTTGGGCTGGACGTGGGCTCCGGCTCTTCCTCAGTCGGAGGCAAGGTGATGGGCGGCGACGGCTTGGCGGCGGCAGCTGCCTCTTCAAGCATTTGCGGCCATCTCGCCGGGTGGCCCTGAGTGATAGGCAAACGGGCGAGGGGTGCAATCTTGCGCGGCCCCGGTGGCGAGTTCTCCGCTGGTTCGGCCTGCGCCACGCTCCCGTCTGAACCGCTTTCGGATGCGCTGTCGCTGTCGGCGAGCATCTGGTTGACCTTGTCCTCCCATTCATGTCGCGTCTTCTCAGAGTACCGAATGGTGCTCTGCATCCGCGCGGTAGCCATCTGCTTGCAGCGGAGTTGCTCCTCCACGAGAGTGAGAAGGACACCGAGGGCACGATCCGCCGTGTGGGGCTTCTGCCATCGCGTGATGGCTGCCAGCTTCTCCTCTGATGCGGGCGAGAGGTAGCGCTGGAAATTGAACGGCAGGTCGGCCTCGTCTTCCTGCACACTTGGGGTCTCGATTTGGCGCGCCAGGGTGAGAATGCTGATCGCATCTTCGAGATGATACATGTCGAATTTGCGGATCTCGACGCCCATGGGATCGGTAGTGAACGATGAACTGTTCGACAAGCAGTCTGGCATGGTGTAGAAGATGACCATCTGTCCCTGCACATCCATGGAGGCAGTTAGCTCGATCTCGACGAGCAATTTGTTGCACGTCTGGATCAACTCCCCGATGCAGTCGTCCGTTTGCGAGATTTCGGCCTCAAGGCGATGCACGGCGTCGCAGGTTTCGTTGTGCTTCTCGAAGAACCAGACCACAATTTCGCGTTCGCAGATGCGACACAGGACGCCCTCCGTCGAGATGACCCCATCGCGTGGGAATAGCGCCTCAGTCAAGCCCTCGACCTTGGTCGCGGTGACGGGCTTCATAACCCACATGGTGTGGGATGGTTCATCATTTTCGCGAATGAGCATCCCCACGCCTTCGAGCTCGATGTACACTGGACCGGGTTGGCGGTCTTCGGTGGCCTCGTCCTCGACGCTGTCGTGGACCTCGAGGCGGAAGCGCAGCTCGACCGTGTTGCTGTCATCTTCTAGCAACCTCTTCGTGGCCTCAGTGAAGTGCGCACAGTCAGCGGGGGCGGTGATGTCAGAGATAGGTCGATCGAGCACATCGTCTGGCTCGCGTCTATCGTCAGCTTTACCTCACTCAGTTCCTGGCTTGCTCACCCAAGGACCTCGTAAATCGCGTCGTTGACGTAAAGGATTTCCTCGCCTTGGAGGGACAGCTCCATAACAATGTTGATGCTCTTAACCTGCTCGGCGCGCGTGCGCAGGTCCTGGATGGCCTGCGAAGCCTGGATCATCGCAGCCTCCTCCTGCGGAATAGAGGCATGATCGTCCAGTGGCGGGAGTGTGATCGTCGCTGTCGACATCGTAGGGTCGTGCAGTCCGGGATCCTGAGCGGGCAGCGTGATGGGCGAGACGGCTGCCGAACTGAGCGGTCGTGCCGACCCCGGTTCAAGGTCAAAGTGGGGGGTCTCCTTTGCGGGACGGAGGACATAGCTGAGCGGCTCGTTTGCGTCGTCGTCTTCAAAGTTCCAAAAGCCCTTTTCGGCCTGCCACCAGTCCAGCACGCGGCCAAGCGCTGCAACGGCCATCAGGATGTCGACGTACCATTCGCGTCCGGGCCACTCCTCATGCTCATCCCAGGCCTGGCCGGTCTTTTGCAGCTGGCGGATGATGTCCACACAGGCTGTCGGACGTGAGAGAAGGCTGTCCACAGAGAGATCCAGGATATCCGTCGCACGCACGATCAAATCCTGGAGCGTATGTAAGAACTGGCGATCAGCCTCCATACCATCGTCAAGGAGAGAGCCGGAAGCGGTCGTTCGCACATGAGGCATAGGTGAGCGCGATCTCGAGGTCGAGCGTGAGCTAGAGGCAGAGGGGTTAGGGTCAACTCCGAGGCCGCGAGGTGCAATGTCGCGAGGCATGACGCGAGGAGCAATGCTGGGACGACGCCGGCTCATCGACCGGCGCGGGCTCGAAGGTACGCTGGACAACAGGACCATGCGCCTTGATGGACTAGACATGACTGCCGAAGATGACATCGAGATCGAGCCTCGTCTTGAAGGGCCGCGAGATGACACTGGCGAGTCAGCGTGGGTAGATTTGGCATACCCACGGCTGAAGGGCGGTACTGCCGAGTCGTCCTCCGTATCTGTTGCGTCAAGGACAGGCGAATCGCTGAACGTGTCAAAGTAGTCCTGCCGAGTCTCCTCGACGTACTCGGACGCGGCGTTGATCCGTTGATCCTCATACACTGTCATTTCGCCGATGATCCTCTTCAGGGTCTGATCGCACTGCTCCTTTGCGGCGTTGAGGCGTTGCTTGACGTGCTGGCGGACTGACGCGACAGTGAGATCTGCGCCTGGTGCGACGGGTTTGTTCTCCTTTAACGACTCTGGTTCGGCCAGCATCGTCGGCGACGGCATGAGCTGCCCGTCCCATCGCGTTGGACCAGGTGTGAACCCCATGCCGAAGCCGTAGGACGTGGTTCTTGAGTCCTGGGGTGCATGGTGCGAGCCTGAGCCCGAGTGCGAGCCGAAGCCACTGGACCCCGTGGCGTGGGAGCTTGTGGTCTGGGCTGTTGGTTGAGACGGGCGCGGGAGCAGAATGTTCGAGTCCAGATCCAGTCGAAGTGAAGGCTGGTTGCGGCGCGCTTCCAATCGAGGTCGCGCCGGCGAGTGCCGCTCCAGATGCCCGATGTCGCCTTCCTTGGAAAGCGCGGGTGGAGGCTGTTTCACGGCAGCTGAGAGAGTCGGGAGTCGACTGGGCTCAGCGACCACAGGGACTTCAGCTTGCTGGTGCTGAGGCGAGCGTAGTTCGACATGCGACGTCGCGCCACGTATTGACCGCCCAGATGAGGATGACGCACGTCTGGCTGGCGCAGGTGGCATGAGACTCTGGCCCAACGTTGTTTGCGACTTGTCACTGCCGCGTCTGCTTTGTGGAGCCGATGGCGCTCGAGGCTGGGAGTAGCTGGGGTGGCGCTCTGTGGGATGCTGCTCGTTGCTGAAGTTGCTTTTTACTGCGTTCCACCAGCCCTCCATCTTCGTGACGAGATTCTTCTTCCGGCGCATATGTGGGTCGGTGATGGACCTCGTAGAGCCTCCTGAGGACTGCCGCGTCGCCCTTTCGTGCCCAACGTGAGTTGCTGTCCGCTCGTGGCCAAGCGCCCGGCGCTGCGAGGCCTTGCCGTCCACAGCCGAAGTGCTTGATCGAACGGACAAACTCCGACGTGCTCCGCCGAATGTAAGCGAATTGGAGTGCGAGAGCGACGACGTCGATTGCGAGAGTGAAGACGCGTCGTCGCGAGGCACGCTCATTGTAGCGGCATGTCCGCCGTCGCTGGCGGTCGTTGCCACTCGGGGATAGCCGTCCATTCTTGCGACCTCGCGATTCGTTGCCGGCGATTGCAAAGTGCTGACCGGCGCAGACTGCGCTATATGCTTCGTAGAGGCGGCCTTCTTCTCCGCCCTGATCTTCTCCGCCTTGTATGCCTTGTAGCAGTCATACCAGTCAACCCACTCGATACCCGCAATGGCGCCCGTTGCCGAGACCTGCTTCTCCATCCCAACGCCCCCTATCTGCGGGCGCGTCGGACTCTGCATGGGCTCAAGCGATCCCGGATGGCGAGGCCTATCGGAATGCGGGCTAGATCCAGCTGTCGCAGGCGCGTGCGCGCGCTCCCACGCCGAGAAATGGGATGGTCTGTCGACGTAAGAAGCACTGAAGCGGGACGACGCCGTGTCTGCTGCAGAACGCAATGGCGGTACCTGCCCGGAAGCCATCTGGAAGGTCAGCCTACTAGTTCATACACGCAGACTCACATGGCCGCCAAGAGTGTCCGGACGCCATCGCTGAACCTTGGCTTGTCGGCTCTGGATGATCATGTTGGCATGACTAGCCGCATCTCCGATAGATGTGATCCCTGCGAGATCCATGGCCAGGCCACCCCTTTGCGACACTGAGCGCATCCGGCTTCGAACTGGTATTCCTTGAATGCCGGCGGGACTGCCGCTGTCGCCCGAGCCCTCTGTCACGTTGGACATAGCACCAATCGACCCTGGCGAAGCAGCACTTGCCGGAGGAGACGACATCACCAGGCTTGCTGGCGAGCGAAGCGCGTCTTGCAGCGATGATCTGGCGCGGCTATGCCCTTGCGGAACCGATATTGGGATTGTCGAGCCACTCCGCGTGTCAGACGAGATGGACACGGACGGGGAAAGGCCGGGAGGCTGAGATTCGTCGGGTAGTGACGAGGGGCTCGTTCCCAAGGAATGGTCGTAGTCTCTCGAGGTCATCCGACTGTTTACAGCCGCGGAGAGCGCACCGGGCGGCAACGTTGCCGATGGCCCGAGCGCATATTTGCGTGTTGCGCTCAGGCCTGATAAACGTTCCGAGTCAGCGGGGGAAGGGTTGGGGGTGACGAGGGAAGCCGTTGAGCTTGGAGTGTCCGCAAAAGGAAGTGGCGGCGTTTGTGACGACTTGATAAGATCAGCTGCTAATCGCACGCTCGTTGGCACTCGGTTGAGACGCAGAGCCGACGGCGCAGCTGAAACTGGCTCAGTCGCCGTGCCATCTTTGCCTCCGGGAGACTCATTCCACGGAGAGGGCAGTGGGTTGAGCGGCGAAATCATGGAAGCCGAGGTGGAGAGGGACGGCGTAGTGCCAGCTAAGCTTCGGGCAAGGGGCAAAGATGGGGGCGGCATCTTGCGCATGTCCATGGACGAAGGTCGCAGAAACTCGGAGGCACGCCTTGGGCGAGTGGATCTGGGAGGTCAGTATCTGTGCGGGAGGACGACTGACGGAATGGGCGATGGCATCTCCTTGCGAGGACTCGGAGAGCGAAGCTGGCTCCCCTTTGCCTTCTCCTTCTCCCTACTGGCGGCTCCCGCAGGCGCGGAATCTGCCCAGCTGGGTGTCCATCCTAAACCGAGAATGTTGCTGTCACGGTCTCGTGGCGCGAGTTGCGCCACGACAGGGCGCGGCGAGGCGATGGGTTCGCTGGCGTCGAGATCGGGGCTGCCGAAGGCGAGCGGGCTGGAGCCGCCCGTGTGTGCAGGTTCCAGTCCGCGGCCACTCGACCCGCTTGCACTGTGTCGAGAGTCGCTGGGAGATGATGATCTTGGCCTGCTCTGGGGCGGCGGGGCATCTTCTCGCTGACCCGGAGATATGCGCGGTGGCGAGCTCCTAACAGGTCCCCCTATCGGAGCTACGGCAGAGCCGCTTCCTGAACGTTTGACGCGATTCATGAGGAGTGCGCCAGGCGTGAGGATCTGTTGACGCGGCTGGGCCGGGCTCGGAGGCCGCGACGATCTGCGGGAGGATGAGGCTGTGGTAGACTCGCTTGGGGAGGAACTCGATCGGTTCTTGGAAGCGGCCGATGTCTCACGCCTCCGAGGCGTAGCCGAATCAGGCGCCCCGGTGGCGGAGGCGAGGAATTCGGCGTCGTCGTCCTCATTATCGGAATGGTTTGGCGATGAATGGGACGAGGCCGATGAGCTGTCCGAGTGGGAGGGAACTGTGATTGCTTGGGCGAGGGGTGAAGGGAAGGAGGGTGTAGCTGCGAACACTCCAGACTTGCGACCGAAGGCTGGAGACTGGGAGAATGCGGATTGTTGTGGAAGCTGGAGGGTGGTCGTGGTGGACGAGGCGGCGATGGGCGTAGGCTGTGTCTGTGTCTGGGAAGTTGGAACAAGTGGGGCTGGAGCTAGAGCTGTAGCCGGAGCTGGAGCTGGAGTTGAGGCGCCAGATGTTTGCGGACTGGGAGACTCTCGCGGAGACTCGCGCGACTCTGTGGGGGAAGGATCCCTGTCGCGGTCCTCGTCGAGATAGAAGACGCCGCCGCCCGACATGATTGATGGGTCCAGAACCCCAAGAACGAGCAGGCAACACCGGGAGTGATAAGGCTTGGTTGGATCAGAATCGAGATGGATGGATGCAAAGATTGTTGGGAGAGAAACTTACGTCTACGGTCCCACCACACCCTAGTGCTGCATTCCGACGTTCTTGGGATTGGAACTAGGGACGAAGGTTGACGAGGTGTTGGGTGGTTGGTCGGTTGCAAGGAGCGAGCAGAAGACGGTGGGCACTCGGATTGAGATTACGAGCGGCAAGAGTAGTGAGTGGCAGGCCTAGTGGGGGATGTAGGTGAGTGTGATGTAGAGGAACGAGGAGGCGAGGTGAGGATGGTGGATGGAGGATGGGAGTGGATGGGTTATTGATGGGTGGGAATGGGAGATGGATGCTGCTCCCCACCAGTCGGCGAGTCGCCGTCGTCGGCTCGCGCCTCGCCGCCTTGTGCATGGGCTGCATATGCCTGGCTGCCTGGCTGCCTGGCTGCATGCCTGATTACCTGATTGCCTCCAATTACCTGAGCGCCTCGAGAGCCGCCACTCGTCCAAAGGGCCAGCCTGGCCAGGCCCCCACCCCCACACGCACTAATGGGCTCTTGCGTCATATATTTGTCCCAGGCAGGCACCCAATACCACAATACAATTTCAATACAAAGTTTGGATATTATAATGTTAGGCTTGCAGAGGCACCAAGCTAGATCAACTTGGTATAGCCGTATTAAGATATTTGTATATCCAGGCCTGGTGCGGGAAGCGAACATTAACCCTGCCCCTGAGCACCCTATTGACCAATTAGGCCCCCCCCCCCCCCCCCCCTGCCGGACATCCCCGTCATTCCCCCGCATGCTCGCGCGGTCATACCGTGTCATTTCGTAAAGTGATTACGTTTGCAAGCAGAGCTTATCAAATGATGTGTAAACCCCATCCTAGGGGCATTTGTTTGTGCCCGAGAGTGTTGTTTTGATCCACTCGATCCACTAATCACCCTCAATCCCATCAATCGCCACCATCTCTTTCTCTCTTCATCACACTCCTCTTCTGATCACACCCTCGCCGCCTCTCTCGGTTCTTGTCTTCCTGCCGCCCTGGCAGTACTGTTGCTTACTACTGCACCGCTAGGCAACCATGCCCAAGACACGTGCATACACCCGCGATGAGCTCCAAGGCTTGCGACGAGCCGATCTCCAGCGCCTCTGCAAGGTGAGTCGAGCCTATCTTCATCTCTGACAGCAGACATATAACATCAAAGGCGCCAATGCCAAGTCGGACGTACTGATTACAACCCTCGCCGACTACTTTACCTCGCCCGAGTATCTCGAGTCGCCGACAAAGACAGACGCCAACCGACCGCGCCCCCCACCTCCGCGTCGACCTACACGGCCGCTGCACGGCCCGGCCAGTCGTGCGCCCTCGAGGGCGCAGCCTTCCCACTCGCGCCCCTCTTCAGTGCAAACTGTGCCCTCCTTTCCGCCACAGTCGTCTCGTTCTACCCGCCCCATATCTGTCACGTCTGCTGCTTCCACCGCTGGGCCCACCGCCCGGCCGCAATCTTCAATTGCGACTGGTACCTCACAGCCACGCGCCGCTTCGACAGCCACCAAGCGACCTCCAGCACGTCCACACGCGCAGCCTTCTCTGCCGCCAAGACATGCCACACAGCCCACGCAGCCGGTGCGGCCTAGCGTGCAGATCGAGCCGGCGACACCGTCCAGTTCACATTCAGATCCTCAGCAGCCCTTGACCAAGCCTCCGCCCCAGCACCTCCCAACCTCCCCACCTACAGATGGCTGCTCACAAACACTGCCTAGCAATAGCACCTCAACCGCGCCCGTCAACGAAATCGCCTCTCTGCGTGCAGAGGTTTTGCATCTGCGTGATATCATTGCCAAGCTGGACGGCGAAGCCTTGCTTCGGCAGCTAGAGCAGCGAATCGAAGATCGGATAAGCGCCGCAGTTGCAGAGCAACTGGCAATTATCAAGCAACGCGAAGAGGTGGTGGCGGCGCAGGAGATTTTACTCGCCGACACCATGGCGAGAATCGAAGCGTTTCAGCAGAAAATGCTGGACAGCGCCATCATCCAAGGGCAGGAGTAAGTCGTGCTGGATAAAACATGAACTGACATCAGGCCATTAGTGCTACCGCCACAGGAGAGCGCGCATAAGCGGAAGGACCCTCAGTCCGATGTGCCAGAACCCACCCCCAAGCGCATGTGCCTGCCATCAGGTGTGCAGACGCCGCCACCGTTGCTTTCCGCCAAGGCGTCAGAGGCACCATCTACGCCAGACTCCTCGCGCTATCGTGTGGCACCGCGCACTCCGCCACTCCAGCGGGGCCCGTCCGCAGACTATGCACCAACCCCCGGGCGAGACTTGAGTCCGCGCGGCCTCCTTCCATTCCCCGGAGGTGGCACGAGCCCAACCGTAGACCGATCAGAACGCATCCCCTCTCGTCAACCATCACGCACCAAACCCTCGCAGGCGCACATAGATCTCTCGGCCATCACGGAGAGCGATGATGTGGACATCGCGCCCGGACCCAGTCGTCATCCTTTCCGTGGCTCCATAGCGATTGATCGCCTAACCGTGACGCCACCCGCCCTCAGCCCATCGCCGCAGATTGGCGGCGACAACTACACGCACACGCCTCTGCCACCGCCTTTCGCTCGCGCAGCCCGCTCTTCCTCGTCCGCACCCTCGCCCCAAATCTCCAAGCCCCGCTTTGACCCGCAAAGAACGTACATGGACGTTGCGTTGAATGGCTTCCCCGAGGATTATTCACCGAGTGGGCAAGCCACGCCCAGCTCGCGCACGATGCTAGGTACCGAGCGCTTTCGCGACAACCGCTTCGGGGACGAGCCGATGATCTCGTGGCCGAGCCCGCGACTCGACTATGGCCCTGATACGCCCTCCAATCCCACCACTAGATACTTTGAGTAGCCATGTTGTTTTTTGTTGTACTACCTGCTGTCATGAATAAGCCTGGATCTTCTGCCCACGCAGTTGCATTGAGATGTCCAAGTTCCGAATTGGGCGGCCTGCTGATCTGCTGACGAACAGATGATGTGTTTTTACGTAAAACGATGCCCGCTGACCGGAATAGGAAAGCCGAGCACCACAAGTCAAGCAGAACGCACTTTCCGGTTCGGAGCTTCATCCTCTCCATCATGGTGCGCCTGCTCCTCTTTGCCGGCACGCAGTCGCCGCTGCCCGTGCGCTACCCGCACCCGGACAAGCCGCGGCTCGCGCTCCCGCCGCTGGTGCACCGCTCGCTGCACACGGCGCTGGACGCGGCGCCGCCGTCCGCGCTCTTCGCCGACGGCCTCCTCTCCATCCCCCAGCCGGGGAGTCTGCACAAGCACGCGCGCGACGCCGACCACGACGCGACCGTCAAGGTCCAGGTGTATGCGGGGGGCGAGTATCTCCCCGCCATCGAGGAGGCGCTCGGCACGCTCGCGCGCGTCAAAGGGCTGAGCGAGGTCGAGACGGGGTTGGTGGGCCTGCCGGCCGGCACAGGGGGTGAGATAGAGCTGCGACGCTGCGACAGACACTGATGCTAGCGGAGGAGTGGAATGCGGTGTGGGAGTCTTTGGGCGGCATTCGTGGCGCGACCGTCGCGAAGTGGGGCACGATCGGGCTCGACGCCGACCAGCTGTCCAAGTTGAGCAGCACGCCAGCGGTCAACGAGCTGAATGTTACCGACTGCGCGACGCTGCCGAAGGAGTACACGGCGTTCGCGAAGGAGAAGGGCATCCAGCTGTGGGCGAGCGGGGGCGGCGCAGGACCTGGTGAGTGCATGCGCGGGCGGGTTGAGAGGGCAGGATCGGCGGCCGCAGGCAAAGAGCGGGTCCGAAGCTGGCGAAGAAGGAGGGACAGATGTGATGGACCTGGGGTACGAGTTGGAGCGCGAGGGAGGAGCGGAGTTGCGAGTTGAAGAGCGGAGTTGCGAGGTTGAAGGATGCGTTTCGAGACAGGGAGGGAGACGATGCCCAGAGGAAATGCTCACGACAGAACCACTGCCCTCCGCAGACCTGCACAACCTCCTCTCCGAATTCCAGCCCAAGCTGGCCGCCCTGGCGCCCGGCGCGCGCACGGCACCACTGGCCCAGCTCGTCGCCGTTACCCCGGAGGGCACATACGAGGCCGCGGCGCCGGGCGTGCGTGTGCGCTGGGTTGTGTCGTACACCCTCGTCTCGCGCTCGCGGAACATCGTCAAGGACAAGGGATACATTGTCGCGGCCGACTTTGCGTAGAGAGGTGCATGTGTGCTATATGCGTGTAGTGAGCGGAGTACTGACTGTTGATAATGAGACTGATGGCTTACGAGACTGCGGCGCTGTAGTTGCCGTAGTCAGTAACGGTGAGACTCTGCGTCTTGGCCCTCTTATGGGTCTATCCTACCCGCTCAAAGTCGCCTGCATCCATCCTTTGGTCTCCTGCTTCCGCTCGTTCCTCTGTCGACACAAAGCGATGATTGAGGCTTTGAATGCCGCTCCGGCATCCGCATCATTGACGCTGGGTCAATCTATCGCACCGCACCCCCAGCCGAGTCAATTAGGCCATCAAACTCCTCCCGCCTGTCCTGCGCGAATTCTCAACGACGACAAGCGTGATCTCTTGCGGCACAGCATATCGTATCACAGATATCACATCAAAGGCTCATCCTGTGGGGACTGGAGCTCTTACATTTGATGACGCGATGCTCAAGCATGGCGCGGGTCTCCCGGCTGTACGCGAGACATATGCGGCGTGGGCAACCCATGCCGTGGGGCGAGTCCTAGCCGTCCGCGGGCAGGTTGGCATCTCTCTCGCACTGTAGTGCGGAAGTGACTTTAAATTAAGCACCGCACTGTGTACATTTCTTGAGGACCAGGGAGGCTTCGTGTTGCGCGGAGAAGAGCGTGGCTAGGCATTAGCGCGAGAAAGTCTGCCGGCGAAGTGAAGGATTATATTGCGTTGCACGCAGTCGCGCTCGACGAGCAGCCTAGATCGCACCATTTACGGGCGAGGGGAGGATGTGCGTGTTTGCCTCGAAGCCGAGCGCGAAATCTGCCGTATGAAGCTTGGCCTGCCCGTCTGGCGCCAACACGATCTCGCAAATTCGGGCAGCCTGCTTTGACAAGAGACGATGAGCGGACTACTCGGCTCCGTCATTCACAGGTGGAGGAGCGCGTCGACGCGAGCGCGAAGTTGGGGGTGGCTGGAAATGACGGACGTGGCGCGTACCCTTGCACTTGGACGCGTATATGCGGGTAGGAGGGTTGCGTCGAGCAGGGCAGGCCTATGATGTAATCCCTCAATATGTGTTGTTCTGGTCGCCTGAAGCGCGACGGCGACCATCTTGCGAACGCGACCCAGAACTATTGGCACGCTGCCCGAGATCTCGAGAAGCGGGAAATAGCGTACCTCTTCCCAGTAACAGCAATCTGTCAGCCTCAACATAATTGAGAGACCAGCGAAACGAGCCATAGCAGTGGTTGTACATATGGGCTTAACGTCAATGCTACCATGGCATGCTCTGGTCACGATGTGTTCTCCGAGCTTCTCGAAACACTCTGCTGAAGCTAATGATAGAATAGGGTTATGCTGATCTGAGCGATCGGCGCCCGTCGTGCCACTCTGCCTTGACGCGACTCCACCAATTTCCATGCCGACTGGATAAGAAGGCCGCGGAGTGGATGCGGAGAGCGGCGGTGACGTCAGGCTCTTCCAAAGTGCGAGAAGCAGCCCGTCGGACAGGTGGACAATGCCGAGACGTGTCAACGGGATGGCATTGACGTCATACATCCACGGCGGCGTCCACCCTCGCCACCACTTCGCGGCTCTTCGCGTCCCGCAACGGTCGTCTTGGGCTGCCAGCGCGGTGCGGGAAGCGCTCGCGCATGGGATATAAAGGCTGTCTGTTCGCTGCCGTCTCTTTATTCTCATCCTCTCATCACTTCACTCTCCACCACTTCACCAACAGTGAGTCGGAATGGACGCGCTCATTGCTGACCTCTAGCCACCACTACCACTACTCAATCACAATGGCTGAACCCTCCAAGGCTTCTGGACAGTACAACTCGGTCATGGGCTCCGCTAAGGAGGCCGTCGGCGGCGCCATCGAGACCGTCACTGGCTCTACCCAGCCCTCGTCGTGGACCACTGCCGGTGAGTCATCTCCGCACATTTGCGGATTGAGAGCCACGCTAACAGCCAGGAAAGGAGCAGCACGCCAAGGGCGAGACCGAGATCAAGGCTGCTGAGGCGAAGGCGTATGCCGAGGGCCTCGGCGACCGCGTGCAGGGCAAGATCGACTCGGTTGTCGGCGCTGCCACTGGCGACCGGACCAAGCAGGCCCAGGGCAACATCCAGCACGACAAGGGCCAGGCCCAGATGAACATCAACGCGTAATCATGCTCGTGACGTGTCCGTTGTCTGTAGTATATATAGGAGTAATGGTATGATGATGCACTAGTGCAGTCGATAAGACTGGGGGTCGGGAGGCGGGGGGGGGACGGTGCAGCGGGGGGTTTATCAGAGTGGATGACTCCTGCTATCCGTGCAGTTCGTTGGGCATCGTGGTATGATGATGCAGTAGTCATGATGCGCAAGATACCGGGTGTCACCGTCATACCGTTAAACATAGCAGGCTGAGGCCATGAATGCAATAAAATCAAAGTGAAGTCAGGTTTGAGCCGTTTACGCTGGAGGAGTGTGCAGCAGTGACGAAGATGGGAGAGTGGGAGCGGTGGCAGCGGTGGCGAGGCTTCGCCGGATGATGAGATAGAAGAGGGAGCTAACTATTTGTGAAGAGCGGAAGTGGGCCAGGCGGACCAGCCGGCCCGGACGGTTCCGGTCAGCGGCTTGGAGGGCCGGGCAGCCGGTGTCCAGAATTGCCGTTTAGGGCAGTTCCCCGCCTTTCCCCCCCGACATTGAACTGCATCAACTGCTCGCTGCTTCCCATCTTGCAATTCAAGTCATCGCTCACGATCAACACGAACTCGGCCATGCTCTCGCCCGTCTTTGGCATTTCTCTGTCGCTCATCTAACTCTCTCCGTTGAAAGGCTATATACATAGTAAGGACGGCCCATCACGTACCCATACCCATACTGACAGTAGTGAATCCTCACGCCTTCACACGAGGCTACGTACCGAACCAGAATCGCGACCGCGTCGCTCACCAGGGGTTCCGTCGCTCCAGTCTTTCATACGGCAACGGTGGCACCAAGGATCGCGACGTCTACGAGGGCTCGACTTTAGCACGTCCCCCTCTACCGTTGGGGATGACGGTTAAGCGCGGTTCACGAGCGTGCGTGGCATGTAGGAAGGGCAAGAACCGCTGCGAACCCGACCCCGGTGATGCCAGCTCATGTCGTCGCTGTCTTCTCAGCGGCATTCCCTGTGTTTTCGAGAAGGCGGAGCGGCGCGAGGCGCGCTCCCGCGACACCGAGTCATGGCCTGGCGAGGCGGAAGCGCGGGTCAACACGCTCGAGAAGAGCGTCGAGGCCCTCGCAAATGGGCAGCACCAAATTCAGAGCATGGTAAGCGGAGTCGCAACGGCGCTGACAGCAGCTCCAGCAGATCCTCGCGATGCTCCCTGCATCCACTCCAGGGGCGTCGGGCGAAGGCAGCTCACTCCCGCCAATTCTGTTACATCAGTCGTCGGCGACACCGCCATCTGTGCGCTCGGGGACGTCTCCGGTGCAACAATCGCATGCTGGGCAGGCATACGGCGCAAGAGACCATCCACGGTCGCCGCAGAACATTGCGAGCGGCCGTCTGTCGGGGCAAGAGTCGGCACAGTCCGGTAAAGCATGGCCTAAGCTGCCCGGCTATGCGCCACCCGTGAGCATCATCCAGAACCGTGCAACTGACATGTAGGACCATCGCTTTGGAACGTACGGGATCATCCCCCTCGAGTCAGCGGCGCCTTCGACAAACCACTCGAGACGTTCGTCGCGGTCACCCTCCGCCCATTCTGTTTCGTCTGACACTGGCGTGCCCGTCGCTCCAATTCAGGCTCTGCAAACTTTGGCAAATGCAGCCGACCGTGCCGCAGCTGTTGCTGAAGGTAGGGTGCATCATGAAGAAGTGCAAATGGACGACTCCGAGCGCGAATCTGAGGGTCGCGAGCGACAAGGTCGCAAGCGCAGGCGAGTGACCGAAGGGAGCGGCAAGGAAATTCACCTGCGTGTACGCCGCCAGACCAAACCGGACCCCACGCCGCGCAACCCTTTCCCAGACGTCGTGACCAAAGGTCTCGTGTCTGAAGCCGAGGCCCGCGACCTCTGGGACATCTTTTTCACAGGGTGTCACTACTTCGTGCCACTGTGGGACAAACAGTACGACGTGTATGAGAGCTTCGTGGAACGCACGCCGTTTTCGACAAATGGCATCCTCGCCGTGGCCGCGAAGATCAGAGCTGGGAACGGGGTGCTGGGGCCCACATTCCATCGGTGTCTCGAGGAGGGCCAAGGGATTGCCCGCTCGACGCTATTCGGCCCGATTGTCCGCAAAGAGGCCGTCATGGCCATGCTGATTCTCAGCGTGTGGAGCCAATACGGGTGGCTGCCTGTAGGTCATGCGCTGCGTATGGGTCTCGACATCAACCTTCACAGAGCACTCGATAAACTCGCCGACACATCTGAGCAACGGACAGAAGCCGAGGAGCGCGATCTTGTGGTATCGGCACGCATCTGGCTCAATTGCTACCTGCACGAACATCTGTGAGCTGAATCATGGATGCTGTCAAACTAACATTAGGCTGGCCCTTGGAACAGGCAAACCGCTTCTACTGCGAGATGAGTCATCGGTGCGAGCTGCACGTGTGCTCCTGTGGGTACGCATCTGTTCCACGCTAACCGCTACCAGGGACCATCCCATGACCTCTGAGACCGATGCCAGTCTGGTTGCGCGAGTAGAGATGGTTAACATTCGAAGTATGTTGTCGTTAAAAGTTAATGGGCAGGTGACATTGTGACTGACCCTTAGTCTACGTCTCAGAACAACTCAATCAGCTTCACGGTAAAGCCGACGCTTCTACGATAGCATTCGTGCGCAGGACGTTCGATGAGATGGAGGATTGGTTCTTCGAGTGGCGGGGCATTCATCGCTCCCGACACGACGAGGATAGCGTCCTAATGCGACTCCTGGAGGTGGAATTGCATTACGGCCAACTGTGGACGGTATGCGTGGCATTCCGTGGGTGCCAGTGGGACAAGGTGAGGCAGCGCGAGCCCGTCGTAACTGACGCCAGCTCAACAACGACCAGCGCGATCTTGCATTTCACGCAAAGGACGCGGCGATGAGTTGTCTACAGATCTATCTGCACTCGCACACATTCCGTCGGCACCTCAAGTACGCAACGCACGACCAGCTCGCAACGGTGGCATTTGCCGCTGTCTTCCTACTCAAGATTGCGATGTTGTACCCCCTCGGCGTCAGCCTCCCAACGTTGAGCTCCTGCGTTTCCGATGTTGTGCACGTACTCTCATCCGAGTGCTACGCTGAGCGGTACGCTCTCACTCTCAAGCTCATGCTCTCCAGCTTCCGGCGCAAGACTGGCACGATGTCTACAGTCCCTGGGTCCCCGCGGTCTCGGGATGTCGATAACTCCGAGCAACCCAACGGCGATCGCCTGCAGGGCGGGCTGCAGAGCCTCCTGACAATGCCACTGGGCGAGGCCGACTACTCCCTTCTCTGTGATGATCTCGACAACTTCTCATGGCCGACGGAATTTAGCCCGTCCGACCTCCCAACCTGGCTCCAGGATGGCAGTTTCGCTGATCTCGGTCTACCAGTCGACGGATCCGACGCGCTTTTTCTGCCGCTCGAGCTGGCCAACATGTTCCTCCCTTCTGGTACAGCGCCGAGCGACAACCCCTATCTTTTTGGCTTGCCCGGTTCTGGCGATGTCGGTGCGGAAGCGTGGTAGAGGAGTCTCAGGGGAGATGTTATTTTCCCACGGTGGTGTATTGATAGTGAACCTCCACCTCGGACGGTTGCATGAAACATGCATTGCATCAACAACATGAAACCTACACTGGGCGGCCACGATGTCCAAAACGTGGCCGGCCTCACGCTTCTAACCTCGCTGGGGTATTATGCCGTTCAAGAAGTGCTAGCGCGCGTGGTTGAGCCGTTCGACAGCTCCCACCTCCTGGCCAGCACAGCGCCAGGCCTGCGCTGGGACGCGCTACACTTCCTCGGCATCGCCACAAAAGGATACATGTACGAGCAGCATCTGGCGTTCCAGCCCGGCTGGCAGGCACTGCTAAATGTTCTGGGTGACGACGCCAATGCGATCCTCCTCCGCGCCGCCATTGTCAACATAATCCTAAGAGTGGGCGCAGCAGTGCTGTTGTACAAGTGCGTTGTGCGCCGCCTTCTGCCTCTTCCTCCTGTTCCTGCTCCGCCCCCGCATTTCATCTCCTCTTGGTCTTTATGGCTCCTTGACGCCGTCCTCCGTATCGCTCCTTCGCCTTCCCGCTTCGCAGCGGCTTACACATTTCCTCCCATTGCTAACCTCAGACTCACCCGCACCCTCTTCAACCGGCGCATAGCCCTCCTGACGGGCGTACTCTACGCGTTCCCGCCGGCCCCAGCACCGCTTTCCGCACCCTACACTGAGACAACCTACTCCCTTGCCACATTGGCCGGGTTCTATGCGATGGCCACCCAACGGTGGTTTGTCGCAGCGGCCGCGTTCGCAGCAGCCACAAGCGTGCGCGCCACGGGCGTCTTTACGACCATTCCGCTCGCGTACGCCATGCTCGTTCCAGCGCTCAGGCGCGGCCTGACACTCGTACGCCCTCTTGCCCACTGGGGCGCTGATGTCAGTCGGCACTACCACGCGTCGTCTTCACAGGTATCCTGTGTGTCATCGTAGTCGCACCTTTCGTCACGTTTCAGGCGTGGACGTGGGCGCAGTTCTGCTACCCAGAAGCAACCAGGCCCTGGTGTTCCAAGCTTCTACCCTCCAGCTATAGTTTTGTGCAGGGAGAGTACTGGTGGGTGCAACAGCGGGCCGGCTGACGGCAGGAACATCGGTCTGTTCAAGTACTGGCGATTGCAACAGGCACCCAACTTCTTGCTTGCGGCCCCCGTCCTAACGGTGTCGCTGATAGGGGTGTGTCGACACTTGAGCATGGGCGACAGCGTCTCGAGCGCCAGCACAAGCCCTGATCGCATCTCCGGTGGCGGGAGCGACGTGCAGACAGCCATCGTGGTGTACATCGCGCTCATGGATGTGCTGCTCATCTTCGCGTCGCACACGCAAATCGCCCTCCGGTTGGCGCCTACCGACCCAGTCGTATGGTGGACGCTGGCGAAGAGCTTTGACAGCGCTGGGAGCAGGAAGTTGACTCTACTGGAGAAGGGATGGGGTTGGTGGGTATTGGTGTGGGGAGCGGCGTCGTTGGTGCTCTGGAGCGGGCACTACCCCCCGGCATAGTATCTTGGATGCACCGCGACTACCTTCATCACAGATCTAGGTGAGCAGATGAGCTGTCTGCGTGAAGTGACATCCCCAATCAAATGGGTCGGGATTGGAAGTTCGCCTGTGCCGAACCTCGCACTCAACCGAGATCCAAGAATGGAATGCACAGCCAATGCGGACCCCCAGAGTGGCCTGATGAGCGCCAAACCTACAGCGCACATGTGGTCTAAAAACGTAACCGCATTGAGGCTGAATCCCGCACCCTGTTCCTGCACGCGACCTCGAGATCTGAAGATGAGATGGAGAACGGAATCTAGGGCCCGTGCACCGGTGTCTTCGGAAGCCGGTGGGATGCCCCGCGGGGATACATCCTCGGCGATATCACATCACTACTAACCCGTGTCTCACTATCAAGAACAAAACATAACCGCGGCCGTGCGTATCAGTCTACAACTTAACTCATCTCCTCTCCTCTCACTCCTCCGCAAATGCAACGCACTCAGATCTCCACTGGCGATAACGAGGGCGGTGACCCATGCACCCGAAGCTCCCGATTGTGCCTGTATCGAACATACCGATATAGGTCGTTTAGTGCTTTAGCCTTGGTTTTCCCGTGGTAGTGCCGTTGCGCACGATGAGCGAGGGCTCATCGACAGCTGCGGCACGTCTAGCGCTGCGTGGCGTCATGCCGCTAGGTCCGCGCGAGAGAGCGTAAGCGGTGGGCAAGTAACAGTAAAGTACATAATAACATGGATGCAATGTGCATACTGGTTGTCTTCATGTCTGACTCGCCACCGCCTGTCCTACCTCCTCCATCACTGAATCATCAGACCGTGGACGCTAGGTCTCGCCAGTCCGCTTTCCTCTCCACCCTCCCTTTCCGTTCGTCCGAACGCCCTCCCCCGCCGGCCATGACGGACGTAGAGGTTACGGCCGTGCACTCGCGCGAGTCCAAGCGCGGCGAGAATGCGTATGTTGCGGACGCAAGGAGCTCGTCGAGCGACATCGAGTTGCATCGCCGGTTCTCGTTCTTCGCATGTCTCGGCCTCGCTTTCAGCCTCCTTAACTCATGGACTGCCATGTACGAACCCCTCACCTCCAATCTGACATCAGGGCCGCATCACTGTCCGTTGTCCTTGGTTCGGGCGGGCAGGTCGCGATGGTGTGGGGCCTGGTTGTGTCCGCAATTGGCACCATGTTCATGGTAGTTTCGCTTGCCGAGATCTGTCACGTTTTCCCCCTCTCGGGCGGACAGTATGACTGGACGTGTAAGTCCATTCCACCAAAGCCATTGCCATCAAAGCTTCTTATTCACCCACACCTCTGCCACGTCCAAGCGAACGCGCCGCTGACATAAGATTGCGTCGCTTCCCCGCGTTGGCGCAACGGCCTCTCCTTCACAGTGGGGTGGGCCGCCTGTGCTGGGTGGATCTCTCTCCTTGCCGGTGGCTCCAGCCTGTGCATGCAGTTCGTCCTGGGCATTGTGGCAATCTTTCATCCCGACTTTGAGACCACCAACTGGCAGAATTTTTTGCTCTTTTTGCTCTTCCCGCTGGTCGCCGGCCTTCTCAACCTCTTCGGCGTCAAGATACTCCCAGCCGTGGACAAAATCGCGTACTTCCTCGGTATCATCGGTATCGTTGTCGTCTCCATCGTGCTCCTCGTCTGCTCAAGGGGAAGATACCAGAGCGCTAAAGATGTGTTCGCCACCTTTTCCAACGCTACCGGCTGGCCTGATGGAATGGCGTTCATTATCGGCCTGCTGCAAAGCACGCTGGGCTTGACAGCATTTGACGCCGCCAGCCATATGGTCGAGGAAATTCCGAAGCCGGCCAAGAACGCACCGTAGGTCTCGAGTGACTGGGCTAGGAGCTCACAGCAGTCGCATCATGATTATTGCCGTCGCACTCGGTTCGGTGACCGCCTGGATCTTCATGGTGGTCATTCTATTCGCACTCTCGGACTTTGAGGCCGTCGCGGCAGCACCCACCGGCCCGCTCCTCCAGATCTATTACCAGAGCACAAACTCACTCGCTGGCGTGAGCGCTCCTTAAATCCAAGCTGATCACAGGCCACTTGCCTTGTCATGTTCAACCTCGTGTCCATGTTCATGGCCGTGCAGGCGGTGACCACCGTGTCCTCGCGCATGGTTATGAGCTTTGCGCGCGACCGCGGCCTCGGCCCTCTCTCGCCCTACCTCTCGCCCATTCACCACAAGCTGATGGTCCCCGCATGGTCCATTGTCTTCGTCACCCTATGGGTGTTTGTCTTCGGGTTGATCTACCTTGGGTCAAGCATTGCGCTCAATGCTATCCTTTCGGCAGCAGTGGTTCTCCTGCAAATCTCGTATATGGTCCCGATTGTGGTCGTGCTTGTCCGCGGCGGCAAGACTGCCTACGCAGGCCACTCCAAGACCTGGGGTCTTGGGCGGTGGCGGGTCCCAATTAACGTCGGCGCCATCAGTTTCGGCCTGCTGACGAGCGTGTGCTTCCTCTTCCCGCCCATGCTGCCCGTTGCTGGCCCGACGATGAACTATGCGGTCGTGGTACTTGCTGTTGTCTTCATGTTCTGTGGACTGGTCTACGCATTCGACGGGCGCAAGAAGTTCCACGGCCCAGTGGATCTGGAGGAACGCCTTATGACCAACAAGATGGAGTGAGATGCGTCAGCAGTTGGATAGTTGTTATGTGAATAAGTAGTCCAGGCTTTAGTCAATTTGGGAGCGCGGATGTTGTGATGAATCGTCTACTGTAAAGCAGGTGATACATACAACGAGAACGCGATGCGGCGTCATGGGCTCTGATCAGGATATGGGCCGACTGTGTCGATGACGGGAGTAACCTTGATCGCGGTCGCGAGAGCGATCTTCTTCGCGGTGTTGATCTCTGCGTGCGCGGTCCCGTCGTCCGGAGGTTCGTTCATGATCGCGATCACGACGACTTTTCTGCTCCCCACGATCCCGATGGCTTTCACGTCGGGGAGACATGCTGCGCTTCCTCCCCCGCTCCCGCTCTTCCTCTGGTTTCCAGGTGAGCTTCTTTGCGCACTTGGTGCAGAGGCGAACTTTGACGAGCGCCTCCTTTCGCTCCCCATCCTCCACGTAGACGAACGGAAGCTCGAAGGCCTTGAGGTCTACTGCTTCACTGCCTGAGGGATGGTGTGCGCATCGCAAAGATCCGCAGGTCTCTTCCCCAAGGCCTTCGACGACCTCAGTCGCTGTGCGCCACCGAAGCGCGAAACGTTTGCTCTTAAAGTGTTTCAGGTCAATCTCGCGTTAGTTGACACGCGCATTTTGGGTTTGTTGATTCAAGGTGAGACTCACAAGCGCATACTCCTTGAATAGCTTGCTCTCATATGCACGCGCCAAACGTTCCTCCCAGCTAACATCTGCTGCTTCCTCGTCCTCTCGCACGAATCTGATATTGGCTGTTTCACAGTCCCAGCTTACCGGTGGTGCTGCTTTAGCACATCCCATTCAGATCGTTGGCTCATGCTAGGCTGTTGTGGAACCAGCTCCAAGAGGCTGTTGACGGCTGCGGAATTCGGGAGTCGACATTAACGAGCAGATGATCAAACTGCCTCCACCTCGGGCATAAATGGGGGTGCACATAAGGACGCGCATGACGCGTCCACCGCACCTCTCCACCGAGATAGCGGAAGCTTCGTCTTCGACTGCCATACACAACCGTCATGTCGGGAAAGTACTCCGGCCTCCCCGACATCGTGCGTTCTACTTCGGCGGCACTGACGACAGGATTCTGCACCGGACATCTACGAAACGGTAGACGAGCCAGTCGTCGGCGCGCACCGCGTAAGTTTACCGCTCCCAATTCCAATCTGATGTCAGGATGATGATGAGGACCCCAAGAAGATCGTGAGCCGGAGCGAGGACATCGATGTGGGCGACCTTCCATCTCGCCGCCGCGCGCTCAAGGTGTTCACCGAACCGAGTGCGCATGCTTTCCTTGCAATTTTCGCTGAATGCAGGTGATCACTCTGATCCTCCACGAGAGACGCAGCTGTCACGCCTGCGGCGCCTGCAGGCCGAGGTCGCGCAACTGGAGCGCGAGCTTCAGACTTCTCCCGCTCCTGTTACTATTCGCTCCGACTCAGCGAAGCGCAAGTCCGTCCTGCCGCCGCGTCAGGCGGTCGATGTGGTCTCCGAGCTTTCAGCATTGCGCGAGCGGCTGAACGCTGCCAGCGAAGGCGCGACGATCTCCGAGCGGAAGGACTTTGCGGGTCGCCTAGCGCGCTTGGAGGCTGCGCCTGAGCGGAAGGAGGGCGTTTCTTCCCCATCGCCTGTCAATTTACGTGTCGGTGATGTCGACAAGCGGCTTGCGGTGCTTGAGCGCGCCGTTGGCGTTGCAGACACAGAGGCGGACAGTGTGAGTTCGTCTACTGGGTTTGACTAACACCCAGAGCCAGGTCTCGCTCTCGGACACACTTGCCCGCTTGGACCACTTCATGAACCTCCTTACTCAACCTCGTCATCTCGATTCGGTTGCGCGACGCGTGAAACTTCTACTGGCCGATCTCGACCGGGCTGCCGCGTCCCGGCGGCCAGGAGCACCTGCTTCCGCACCTGGCGCAGCCACGCTTTCTCCTTCTGACCTTGAGCGCTTGCAGTCAATTTTCAGCCTCCTTCCCCGTCTGGACCCTCTGCTTCCCATCATCCCTCCGCTCCTCACCCGCCTTCGCAGCTTGTCTACGCTCCATGCCGAGAGCATTGCCATCGCCGACGATCTGCGAGAGTTGCAGTCATCGGACAGGGCTATGGCCGAGGAGGAGCGTGAGCTGCGTGCTGTCGTTGCGGGTGTGCAGCAAGGCATGGTTGACGCGAGCGTGTCGATCAGCAAGAACTGGGAAAGCGTGCAGGCGCGCTTGACCGCGCTCGACGACAAGCTCACTAGACTAAATTTGTAGATTTTGTATAATGCATGTGTTATAGCTTACAGTTTATGACTGTGCCTCCGGTTTCGGGGAGTCGGGGTCCTTTGGTGTCTTGTCGAAGGGATACACGTCGTCCTCGCTGGCAGGCCCCTTGACTACCGCCATGACCTGGTATTGCGTCCCCATGCCTGTCTTGTCGACGAGGCGCTTCGCACCGTCTTGAATTCGCTTACGCTTCTCCTGGTCTGCCGCAGAGGCAAGCAGTTTGTCGAGACGTGGCTCAAGACCAAGCGAGAGCAGGAACTGCGCTTGCGAGATAGGACCAGCGGTTTCGGCGACGCCTTCAAGAGACTCTTTGAGGTATGCAAAGTCAACATTCGCCGTGAGGTCAGCAGTACCGGGCTCCTCAAACAGGTCAACAACCTTGTGCTTCCGGAACCCGCGGACGGAGTCGCTGAAGCTCCTGTCGGCGCCGTAGTCGACGATGAGACCTGCGCCCCCTCCGTCCGCCATCACTTCACCAACGCGGCGCACAATTCGAGACGAGTCGGGGCAGATCTCGACACGGCTGCCAATGGGCAAACGTCCAAAGCGCGCGGATGATGCGGGGAGAAGTTGGGAGAGCAGGGACGACTCTCGGTCCACTCCAAGCCGAAAGCGAGCGTTGTGCGCAGCCGGCAAGCTTTTGTCAGCTTACGGGTGAAACATAGACTTACTGCGAGGGGTTGCGATCCACACGAACCTCGCGGAAGCCGGCCTCGTCACGTTGGAAAACATGTACAGGCAACGCGTCAAAAAACTCATGAGCGATAAACATAGTAAACAGCGGTGCAGGAGTAAGTTACTGCGACGCTCAGCGCCACTCACACTTCTGGACGCCAGAAATCTCCTCCTCGAAGATCAATTTTGCGCCAAGCGCCTCGCATCGCGGACCGAGCTTCGCACGCTGGATGCCTCGCATCTTCTCACTGTACTCGACGAGCGTCACCGAATCCACTTTGAACTTTGCTAACGCCTGGAATGTCTGTCGTCAGCCTTGTACTATGTAGACGTACCCTCAGCACATCGTCCATGAGAGTCCCTCGTCCGGGTCCTAATTCAAGGAGGCGCACGCGCTCCGGCGAGCCAGCAGCCATCCACCGTGTCAGCAGCCAGATTGCCACGAGCTCGCCAAACACTTGGCTTATCTCGGGGGACGTAATGAAGTCGCCCTCGCGCCCAAACACGTCACCCTGACTGTAGTATCCCCATTCCGGATGGGTGAGACACAGCTGCATGTAGCGAGCAACGGACATTGGCCCGGTTGCTTTGATGGAGTCTTCAATGACCTGAGCGAGGGATTGTGGTTCCTTCGAGCTGGAGACTAGCCCCTTCTCGGGGAGCTGGGACAACGCGCGTGATGCTGGCCGGTGTCTACACCTTCGCGCAAGTGTCAGCCGAAGCGAACGCAGCAGTGCTGTTGATGTGGACATGGTAGTGGGCGGGTGGTGAATGTGCACGAAGTCATATCTTGGATTTCGGAGGACTTCAGACCCAGCAACAACATGACGGAAGCAAATTTCCCACTAGAACATCATGTCTCGAGATCAGCACACATCCGCGTCTTACCCAAAACACCATGTCCAACGGTCCTCGTGAGTCCATCCCTCGCATGCGCTGATGCCAGCTCCGCGTCCGCCTCCAGGCATGGGGCTTCCGCCCTTCCGGCCTAAGTTTGCGCCAGGCTCGGCGCCCATGCCGCCGTTCCCTCCTCCTGGCTTCTCGCCCAACGGACCTGGTGGGAGCGCGTCGCCGGCTGGATACGGCCCCAATGCTCGGGGAGGACGAGGGTATCCTCCACCAAGTGCCGGGCTGCCACCCATGCCCTCTGGCTTTCCGACGCCGCCGCACCAGGCGCACGCTCGCCCGCCAAACAATAGTGGCCCAAAGAAGGACGTAAAGACGACCAAGATCTTCATCGGCAGTATAGCGCCGGGCATCAGTGACAACGTCTTGCGGGAGCTGCTGAACGTGAGAGACTTTCTCTGATCTTTTGACTGACGCCAGGCGTGTGGGCAGCTGCATGAGCTGAAGCGCGTTGAGGGCGCTAACGGGAAACCGCAGGCATTCGGTTTCGCCATGTTCGAGAGTCCTGAGGTCGTCCTCCGCTGCATCAGGTGTTTGCATGGCGTGGAGCTTCCAGATATGACGAGTGAGGGGCGACACAACAATGTCACGAAGGCACTCGTGGTCAAGGCGGATCAGAAGACTGCTGAGTTCCTCAAGGAGTTCGAGGACACCCTGGGCCGCTCTGAGGTGAGCTGAGAGGCTGGGAGAGCTGACGATTAGGCAGACGAAAGGGCGGACGAGGCTGCGCGCAACACGATTGGGCATATTGTTGCCCGTCTGACCGACCCTAACAGTTCGTTCTCGGAAGCACGCCGTCGCGGCGGCCGGCACTCGCCCATCGATGTTCACGTCCCAGCCCACCTTCGCGATTTGAAGGAAGGAGACTTGCCTGAGACGCAGCGCGTTGCTGTGCTCGATCAGATCGCCATTTTCCGCGAGAACGCGGCTCGACGCGAGCGTGACAAGAAGAGTCTGGAGGAGGAACGCGAACGATTCAAATCAATGCAAGCACGGGGGCAGCCGATCGGGTATGGCTACGGCACACGCGCGTTTCCAAAGACCGAAGTGCCCAAGGGCGAGGCCTCGCGATCCCGTGAAAAGGACCCGCAGGGCTACGATAAGCCTGTTTCTTTCGTGCGGCCAGAAACAGCCGAGGGCAAGGCCGAGAGCGAGCGGACGGACGAGGACGAGGAGGCCCTGCGGCAGCAGAAGCGGGAACGTGAGCGCGCTTCGACCCTGCGAGAGGTGAGGTCTTTTGCTGTGATTGAGCTGACCCAAGCGCGAGCATCGCGTGGAAAAACACGAGAGGCAGCGCATTGACGCCGTGATGCGTGAGGAGTCGGTGCGGAGACAGCGTGCCGAGAACGAGACGCGCAACAGGCGACTCGTATCTGATGACCTGCAACATTGGGACGACGACGAGCTTGAGGAGCGGGGCAAGGAGCTCTTCTACGCAGACAGGGCAGAATGGCGCCGGCAACGTCAGCAGCAGCGTGCGCGCGAAGAGGAGGATGACATTGAAGACAGAAGGATGGAGGACGCTGAGATCAAGGCGCTTGAGGCTGAGTCCGAGGACTTTCTCAAGCAGCAAGCTGCCGAGATGGCCGCTATGGAGGAGAAGCAGCGCAAGAAGGGTCTGCTCACCGAGGATGCTGCGCCAGTCAAGCTCAACATCTCTGCGGCCAAGATCCCAGTCCCGGAGCCTAAGGAGGAGAAGAAGCCTGCGCCTGTCGCTAAGCCGGGGGTCACATTTGGCGACGATGAGGATGAAGAGGCGAGCGCGGCGAAGAAGAAGCGCACCTTTGTGAAGCTCGACTACGACCAGATCGTTGCCGAGGCAGGCATTCCGGATGAGGCGGAGGTCGCCAAATCCAAGGCGCGTCTGCTCGAAATTACAAAGCAGCTGCCAACATCGACGCGCTCCATTTTCCGCGGCGACGTGGACTGGACAGCCGTGCGCCAGGTGATGCCGAAGATTCGGCGGGTGGTCGCCGACGGAATCAAGGACGCGCTCGGTGAGGTGGACGAAGACCTTGCGGCGTTCGCCATGGACGGCATTAGCGAGCAGAAGGGGCCACAGGACCTTGTTGACGACCTAAGTCCAGTGAGTTGTGTTGCACATCTGCCTTTTTCTGCGCTGACTCCAGGTTCTGGCAGATGAGGCCGAGATATTCGTCACCAAGCTGTGGAAACAGCTTATTTTTGAGTCCAAGGCGGCATCGCAGGCAGTAGACACTGGTAGCATGACTGTGTGATGATAGTCCAGTGGTGGAGAGACCAGCATTTACATGAGAGAGAAGCCTCCACTATTTTCACGTGACCTGGACCTGACGTCGTTGGACATTTCGCCAGGCGGCCAGACGGCGATCTTGTCAACACATAACTCCCTCCCCAACGCATCACCAACCCGTTCATCAACCATGAGCAATTCAGCCCCACCGCGACAACCTCCAAAGCAGAAACTTGTCTCACTCTCGCGCGAAGTGGTCGAGGCTTTCAGACCAGCACGCGTGTTCAAAAACACGTCACAAACGCCAGAGGAGGGTGCCGAACCCTCTTCCTTGCAGATCAGCAGTATCGCTTTCGATGACTCCGGAGAGCGCGCCGTGACCGCTGGCGATGATGATGTCTTCATCCTATTTGACGCACGCAAGGGCAAGTACGTGTAACATCCTCTCTCCTAAGCCCAACCTCGTCGAGTTATTTCACTACCTTCTTCGCCTTGCAGGTCCGCCTCTCCGCTGTTCCGTTCAGCAATCGGGCTTCACCACCAAGCGTCCTCTCTCTTTCGAATCGCTGCTTGCCCTCCTCTCTCCTTAATCCACCTCTCGTTGATACGCTGACGGCAGGAAACTGAAAACACTATATTCAAAGAAGTATGGCATCAGCCATGCGCGTTTTACGCACAAGAGCACCAACATTATCCACGCGAGTACGAAGAATGATCATGCGCTGCGCTATCACTCCATGCATGACAACAAGTACCTCGCGTACTTTCAGGGACACACCGCAACGTGAATGGTGCTGAATGGAGACGAGCTGACCTCAGCGTACGCTCATTGCACATGAATCCTGTGGACGACACATTCGTCTCTGCCGGAGACGATGGCACTGTGCGGCTGTGGGACTTGCGAATGCAGGCGTGTAAGGTGTGTCTACCAGATGGGAGCGCAGGAACGACCTTTTAACGTCAGGGGCTTGTCAACGACATTGGCGGATCGACGATCGCTGCCTTCGATTCCAGTGGTTGTGTCTTTGCAGTCGCGTGTACCCAAAACCAGACCGTGTTTCTCTTTGATGCGTCGACGTCGGACGACGTGAGTGTGCTTACTTGCGTAGTAGCTCACCCCAGGCGCCGTTCGCGCATCAGCCGCTGATTGACCATGAGCTTGCCAAAATCTCTGCTCCACCTCCAAGACCGCACTTCACCTCAATCGCCTTCAGCAACAACGGACACTACTTGCTGGTTGGGACGGATCGCGGCACACACTACATTCTCGATGCGTTTGAGCTTAACATTGTGCGGCGGCTGGAGGGGCACGTTGGTCTTGGCCGTATGAGTGGCGAGGAGGTTAGCTGGAGCGCCGATTCGAACTACGTTTTCAGCGGGTCTGGAGACGGGAGCGTCCTCGTGTGGGACATGACGCCGCCAAAGGGTGAAACCAAGCTCGAGGCTCCGCGTGGTAGCCCGCCGCCCACATTGACCCCCTCCATTACTCTCCGACCTCCTGGTGAAGGCGACATCTCCCCGGCGCGTGCTGTCGCATTCAATCCTCGCTACAGTCTTCTTGGTGTGGGTGGACAGGAGTTCTCGCTGTGGCTCTCGCAGAGCGCGACACAGGTTGAGGAGGGCTGGTGATACTGTATTCCATGCATAGTGTACATGTACAGTATGTGGTGTTACTGACCATCCTTCTTGGCATTGAGAAAGTGGTTGATGAAAATGGTTCCGTTGGTCGCGACGCGTCGATCGTCGAGTTGTGCGTCATGGCCAGCGGCCAGCGGTTGTCCTTGTGTTCCTCTGCACCTTCCACCCCGCGCCCGCGCTCCGTTCAGTTCAACTTGCCATTCTCTTCGTCCTCGCTGCGACAATCGCATTCAAATCTCGTCCCCGTCGCAGCATCATCTCCCGGTCGCCACATCATTCCCCCTCTCGGCCGTAAGCTACGACCATGGCCGTCAAAACAGTTACGGAAGACGAGATCGGAGCCTTCCTCTCAGACCTCCGTGCGGGAGGTAGGTGACCGCCCCCCAACACCCCAGAACACGCCGCTGATTCCCAGATGCAGACAAGAGAGTCAATCTTATCACGCATTGGGGCCTGAAGCTGGAGGGCATAACAGAGCTCCCCGAACGGGGTGTAGACGCGATCACAATGCTCGTGGGGCCCTTTGTACGCTCCCCCAACCATCTCCTGGTCACCTCGACTCTCAATAATTTCCTTCTCACCTTCCTACCCCTCATCCCCACGTCACCACCATCGCATCTCAAGCTTGCATTGTCGTGCATACTTCCCGGTCTCATTGAGAAGCTCAACGACCCAAAGGAGCGACTCTCTGCTCCTGCGCGAGAATGCCTCGGGTTACTGGGCAGCAAAGCCTACAGTAGCGAGTCGCTCACCGTTTCTCAAGGCCCACGCGCGAAGGAGAAGGACGGTGTGGTGTCCCAGTGGGAAGCGGCGGTCAAGGATGCGCTCTCTGGGCGTGCTCCGCGAGCGAAGATTGAGATTCTCAAGCTTCTGCTTACGATGCGGAGCGATCCGAATATCAAGTTGCCGCTCAAACCGTGGCTTGCAAGCCTTGTCAATCTGCTCGAAGACAGCGATGGTGTCGTGCGCGACCAGGCGCGCGAGGTGAGTCAACCCTGGTGTAGGGCCTGACGCCTGGCTGTCGTTGCATTGTTGTCTCCTCCCACGACCCCGCCCGCGGCGCGGACTGAGTTTAAGAAACTGCTGCTCGCCCGCAATGTTCGCAAGTCCATTGCCGACGCCATTCTTACGCGCATCCTTGGAGGGGCTAGTGTACCGTCCACACCAATGCCGCAACAAGCATCCGCAGAGACATCTGACACAACCCGAGCTCCAACTCCTGCAAGTGAGGATGTTGAGGTAGTATATGTTGCCGGCGCACGCGACCTTGAGCTCGAGTTCAAGGCCATGATCCCCCACTTTGAGGTGAACGCGCCCCACTTCGGAGCTCAGAACTGACATGCAGGGCAAGGAGACTGAACATAACTGGGGACCTCGAGAACGCTCCCTTTTGCGTATCCGCGGGATGCTGCGCGGCAAAGTCTTCGCTAAGCAACCGGAAGCATTCCTCGCAGGCCTGAAGGGAGGCATCGTCGATGGCATCTCCAGAACTCTCATGAGTCTGCGGACAACGCTAGCTCAGCAATCCTGTGCTCTCGTCCAAGAACTGGCGGAAACGCTGGGGCCATCCTTCGACCCCTCGGCGGAGGCCTTGCTGCCTACGTTAGGGAAAATGGCGTACGTGAGATCTGTTGCGCAGCGCTTACAACCAGGGGTTTGACGAAGCGAATGATCGCAGAGCGTTCCCAGAAGGGCGTTGACGCCATCATCAAGCACTCGAACGTTCACCAGCGCATCCTCCTCTCACACATTAACGCTGCTATGACAGATAAGAGTGCCCAGGCACGGCAATATGGTGCAACCCATCTGAGAACCTTACTCGACAGCCCCAACGCGAAGAGCATTCTTCATGATGGGCTGTTGGACCAGGTGGAGCAGATGGTGAAGCGGGGTCTAGCCGACGTCAATCCTGCTGTCCGCGAGCAGGGCCGAACTACTTTCTGGATCTTTGAGCGTTACTTCTCCCAACCGGCGGCCAAAATTCTAGCAGGACTAGATGCCACGGCCAGAAAGCAACTCGAGCGAGCCATTCAGCAGAGGCCCGGTACCGGTGAGGACGTGACGCCCGCTGTGAGACCCTCACCGAAGCCTCGAGCGAGCTCGGCGATGAGTGCAATGATCGCTGCCAAGCGAGCTCAGGTTGCTGCTGAGAAAGCTACTGCGACTGCAACGCAGATGTCAGCGGAGGTGGCTCCTCAAACCTCTTCGCGGCAGCCCGCAGCCCGCGACATTGGAAATCCGCCATCAGCCTCACCTCCGCCTGTGCCGGCCATGAGTACCCTAAGCTTGTCTCGGGGACCAGAACCTGTGACTGAAGTTGCTTTGGGTGACACTGAAGCCGCCACGCCCGCCCGCTCCCCAATTGCTTTGATGGCCCGTCGAACCGCCAGCAGCCCTGCAACCCCCACTCGCCTGCCGAGACCAGGCTCGTCCAGGACACCGCAGTCTGCTTCTCCGCCACCTCCTATCTCACCTGCGTCATCGGCACACACGGTTTCAAATCGAGCGTCGAGTCAGAAGCGGGTCGCTCGATTGTCAAGAGAAGTCCGGCCACCTTCCCTTGACAGAAGGCAGTCTGACGCAGGCAGGTCGCCGCCCAACCACAACGCCCACAATGGCCAACCGTCCAGCTCGCCCGTGTCTAGGCTGTCGGTGCTTCCTCGGCCTATCGGCACCGTGATGTCGGGCGCTTCGTCAGACGTGTCAGGTAGATCGAGGTCTTCTAGTCTTGCGAGGACGCTGTCGCGGAGCCCGCCTGGGCCTACCGACTCACCGCTCCAGGCTTTCCGCGCACCGGGGAGTGCGGCTCCTGCTCCCCGCAGAGTCGCTTCCGCGCCTTTGAGTGCCACTCGGCCATCAATCACTCCACGGTCTACATCCAGTTCGAACCGCCCGCGAACTACTCAACCGCCCCTCATTCCAGAGGCCCACACATACTTCGCCTATCGGGACCCTGCAGAGGAGGCTCGGCACGCCCAAGCTCAACAAGGTCTGTCAGCAGCCAAGCAGCTCCTCGAGTTCGACGATGATGATGACGAGGTCATCCAAACCGCGCCCATGACCCCGGTTCGCGGTTTACGGGGAAGCAACATGGCTACCATGGCAATGGGGCGTGGTCCTTTGAATGAGCTCAAACGCAGGGAGTGGGAAGACTCACCCCTGCCCATGACCCCTAAACTTATTAAGAAGTTGGAAAACAGCGGGTATGAACGTAGCTGGTGGACCACGCGGCGGAAGTGTGAGTGCTGACCTGGTGCGTTTCGACTGCTAATCTTGTAGTACTCGACGAGGCTACGACCCTCAGCTCGACGAAGAGCGAGGAAATTGAAGCCGAGGTCGCTGCGCTGGTCGACCAGCCGTCGGTGAAAAGCCTCAAGCGCATCGCCCGTTTCTCCGCCGAGTGCTCTATTTCGGAGGCCTCCGACCAGAACAACAATTGTAACCGTGAGCTCTGGGTGGAGAATCGGTTGTTTGATCGAATTTTGGATGGCCTCCTAGCCTGCCTTGACCCACAGCAGGTGAGCTCAGCCGAACTTCGGCGCTGACCACAGCCTCCCGCCATCTTGGAGCAGGCGCTGGTGACACTATGGGAGCTGGTGCAGAATCAATGGGCATTGTTTGAGGCACAGTCGCGTGAGGACGCTCTGCTCGACCGTCTCTTCGACCTTCGGACTAGCGGCGATCACACGGTTAGGGCAAACTTGAGCTGTACTGACTTCAAACAGGTTCTCGAATCCACGAATGCGATGGTCTCGCTGCTTGTGGAGGTTTGTAACCCGCCCTTCCTTCTCTCGCAACTGGAGGCCGCGCTCAGGCGGTTCCTGGTTGCGCACGAAGGAGAGGCGGTTTCGCGGGAGGGGGCACGAGTGCGGACTGCAGGGTACACCTACGCACTGAACGCCATGGGCATGTGCATACTGAAGCTGCCCCGGGAGGCAGTAGAGGGCGAGGCAAAGCGGCGCAGCCATATCGTGGTGGAAGTGAGTCACAGCCATCAGGGGAGGGATGTTGATGGCAGTCGCTCAATCCGGACCTCGCAGTGTCCTCGCGCCAGGCAGGCAACCGTGTCATCCTGGCCGTGCAGTGCATGCTCCAGGACGACACCCGCACACTCGACATATTCCCTGGCCTTACCTCAACGCAGCGTGACTTCGCAACTTACCAGATGTCCCAGTCTGGTCTGCTGATCAAGGTCACCGAGGAGGAGGAGGCCGTTGTGCGCCGCCAGTCGCTCCACTATCAGCTTGTAGACGGGCTGGCCAAGGGCTCGCGACTTCGATAGGACCTCGCTATGCACATGTTCGAGGAGTACAGTAACTTGTGTTCTTGAAGAGCTAGGCTGTGTGCGGCGATCGCGGCGAAATGTGCCAAGAGAATGCCATCAATTGGCCGCAGAATCCCGCACCAACTTATCAGATAAAACACCGCGTTCCGGGCCGGCCAAGCGCAGCTATTCATCTCAGGCTCGGGCCCGAGGTTTCCGATGGCGACAGATATTACAGGGAGGCTGAGCTTCCTGCCCCATAGACTATTTAATGAACGACATGCCTCGACGTATCGATCGATTCCCCATCGACCATGGTCACAGCATTCAAGAACATCATCGTGGTGGGTGGATCTTATGTCGGCACCGTAAGTTGGACCGTGGCAATTCTGACGGCGGCAGAGCACCGCACAGCAGCTGGCGTCCGTCCTCCCGAATACTCACCGAATCCTCCTTGTTGAGCCTCACACTCACTTCCACCATCTCTTCGCATTCGTGAGTCGAAAGGACAGCGCCATGTTCCTGAGCTTCCCCGCGTCAGACCAATTGATATACAGCCCCGGTACGCTATTCTCCCCTCTCACGAGCATAAGGCATTCATTCCGTACCGCCTCTTCGACCGAGACCCCACATCTTCCCGTCAACGCCAGGACACGGTTGTGCGTGCCAAAGTTCTCGCAGTACACCCAGATCGCGTTGTCCTCGACCGGCCATGGCAAGGCTCCGGCGAGCTCCAGTTCGATTATCTGGTGATTGCGACGGGCACGCGTCTTTCGGCACCTGGGACGATGGAGGTAGAGGAGAAGGGCCCATCGGTCGAGTACCTCAAACGCTTTCAGTCACAGGTGCAGGCGGCGTCGTCAGTTCTGATCATTGGCGGCGGGGCGGTAGGCGTTCAGATGGCGACGGACGTTAAAGAGCTGTACCCAGCCAAGAAAGTAACGGTGGTGCAGTCACGGGACCGCGTGATGCCCAAATTTCACCCTCAGTTCCATGCCCTTATCGCTGAGCGCTTCGCCGAGCTCGGAGTAGAACTCATCACCGGCTCGCGAGTGGTCTTGCCCAAGGATGGCTTCCCCTCTGACGGATCGACATTCGGCGTCAAGCTGCAGGACGGACGTGAACTGCAAACACAGCTTGTGATTCTCGCGACCGGCCAGACGCCAAACAATGAGCTCGTTGCTACACTTCCCGGCGAACTAATCAACCCCGACAATGGCTTCATCCGCGTCAACCCTACTTTGCAGCTTCCTGGCTACCCTCACATCTTCGCCGTCGGTGACATCGCTGATACTGGCGCACATAAAGCTGCGCGTCCCGGCGCCGCGCAGGCGGCGGTACTCACCAAGAATGTTGTTTCCATGCTGGAAGGGAGGGAGCCAAGTGACAAGATCACGATCACACCGCCAGCGCTGCATATCACGCTCGGGCTGCAGAAGAACATTGTGTTCAGGAATCCCCCCCCAGGAGCGTGTGAGCCGTCGGTGACTTGGCGAGAGGAGTGAGTTCCAGGAGTGCCCCTGCTGACCGCAGTGGCAAAGCGGATATGAATATTGATGCGGTATGGGCACGGCGCGGCGTGCGCGTCAACTGCGTTGACGACTATCATCTGTAGCCTCCCCCGCTTGCACCCCGACTTCATAGCAGCCGCATGTGGCCGTTTGTTCGCAACGTTCCCTTGCTGGTAGACTGCACCGCTGAGCCTCTGAGGTAGACAAGTCCAGGTAGCGTCAGGATGAAGATTGCGCGTTGGAGGGGCATCAGAATCGGCAGGAGGATAACAGGCTGCCCACGCCGCATCGCATTTACGCATTTATGGAGCGGTGGCTTGCGTATCATGGCTCCGAGCTCTCGTGGACGGCGTCCTTGGACATGCGCGCCCATCCGTAGGCCGATGTGTTCGGAGGAGGTGAGCCGACCGAAGCCCACGCCAAGCATCACTGTGCACGGTTGGCGGACATTAGTTTCTCATGGCAGGGGTGAGTCTGAATGGGATCGACCGATCAGGCGATCAATTCAATGGATCAGAGCATACCACATTCGCCTGTCAAAGAAAATCAGTTCGGCTGTCATGATAGAGAGGTTGGCAGCTGTCGACGGACTCTCTTTGGTTGAGGATCGAGGGATTGAGGTGAAGTCAGCGTCATAAAGGTGGTGAAGAGCAAAGATCAGGGTGGTTTGATTTTGGCGCCACACACGTGGCCGCATGGGGGCCCAGGCCTTGTGGTGGTCTGATTGATCCCGTTTCATTGGATCATGGTCATGGGCTACAGATGAAACCGGCCTCCACCCCCTCCACACTCGTGACCTTCCCTCTCCTCCCATGCCCCCTCTCTCCTCTCACACATGACCTGTCCACCCAGCCCAGGGGGAGGACATACAACCCAACAAGCCCATCTCGACCTTCTTGCTCTTTCTCCATTCGCCTGCTTCAAAGACTCACTCATCCTCTTGCATACGAGCAAGACGGCCAAGACGCTCACGGCGTGAATCCACAGCCGGTAGCGACGAGGCGTCTCTCACTCCCTCCCTGCCATTCACAATGGCAGCCACAGCTACCTCCCCTGCTGGCACCCCTCCGACGCCGCCCACTGGACTTCCCGCCTTTGCGCGCGTGACCTCGGCATCGCTTCTTCAGCGTAATGCCTCGACGTCGTCGTCCATCTCGACCACGACATCGGAGTCCTCTTCATCGCTTGTGGCTGTCCCTATTCGTCCCCCGCCAATTCAGACTCGCACGGCCGCCACCCCCGAAGCACAGCTTCCCAGCGATGTTGCTGCCGACTACCGCGAACCGGAGCTCGCCGGTATGTATGGCGGCAGAGGCTTCGCGCGTAACGGTCCCCGCATGGCCCGGCAAGCAACCGAGCCCCCGCGAACCATCGGAGCGGGTGGGCGACACACCCCATCTATTGTCACCACCGACACTGGCCGCTCCCCATCGCTTCCCCCGAATCTCAGTCCCACCACCCCTCGGGCGAAGCGTCTGCCCCTCCCCGAATCTATGATGGGCCCCCATTCGCCGCAGGCGCTGCGCGTCACTGTTGGAGATGACGACGGTCCCGGGACGCCCGCGCGTGCACACCACACGGGTTCAGCTCCGGGCACGCCAACAACTCTTCGCGGTGTCCCCAAATCCCGCAACCAAAGTATGGATAGCAGCCATGTCGCGCTGTCGGAGCGCGAGAGGCGCCAGAGTCAACTCTCGACTCAGTCCAACGGCTCGGCCGCCTCAAAGAGACCTTCCTTGAGAGATTACATCCTCGGCGAGGAGCTTGGGCGTGGAAGCTACAGCACGGTGTGTTTTGACGTGGCTGTCGTCCATATGTCTGACAGTAGGTTGTCCTCGCCACTGCAGCACCAAGTGGGGCGCTCTCCGCGAATCCGCGTGGCCCCGCCCAGCAATTCGCTATCAAAATCATGAACCAGGCGCATCTCATCCAGGAGAAGAAGGCAAAGTACGCCCACATCGAACGAGATGCTCTAATCCGGCTCTCTCTGCCCAGGACGTCAATCTCGTCCTCAGTCCGCGCGGGGCACCGCCGCGGCCTGTCCAACTCCTCTGCGGGTGGTGGACCGAACGTGGGCCCCAACCGCCGAAGTGGCCCTCACCATCTTCGCGCTGACAGCGGTGGCGCGTCTTCTGCTGTGACACTCATGGCATCACCGTCGGGTGGGGTCCGCGATCGGCCCATCACCAGCGCTGACTCGCCGAACATTGGCACAATACCTCTATCGCCATTAATGTCGAGTGGTCGGCTCGGGGCGCGTACGACAGAGCCGCAAGAGATCCTCGAGGATACGCCCCGCAGCCGGCCCCCATCCCCTGTCAAGGAGGAATCCAGTGATGGCCACTCGGACGGGGGCACCACATCAGAGCCGGTTCAGCTCCACCCAAGAAGGGAAGGCTCGACCGACCCCGACTCGATGCGCATGCGCACTCCGCGCAAACGCCGGCAGTCTCTCGCTCCGTCCGAGCGTAGCGCGCGCAGTTCCAAGTCGGTCACGGGTGGCTCGCAGGTGTTTGGTCACCCGGGCATCATCAGGTTATACTGCACATTTGCCGACAAGACCAGTGTCTGTGAGTGCATCGAGCCATGTCCACGCACTGACATCAGACTATGTCCTCGAGCTCGCCAGCAATGGTGAACTTGCCGCTGTAATTCGCAAGTATGGCTCGCTGGACTTGGCTTCAACTCGGTATTATGCGGCGCAGCTTATCGACACCCTCGAGTTCATTCACGAGCGCGACATTATCCATCGTGATGTCAAGCCAGAGAACATTTTGCTGGATAACTCAATGCGTCTCAAAGTCACAGACTTCGGGAGCGCAAAGATCCTCGGTCGGAAGGAGGAGCCTAGCGAGACAAGCAAGAGGTCATTCGTGGGTTCTGCAGACTATGTCAGCCCGGAGGTTCTGCGGAGTGAGCCCGCTACATTTGCGTGAGTTGTCCGTGAGACACCCCTGCTGATCATAGCTCTGACATCTGGGCGTTTGGAGTGGTTCTTTTCGACTTCATCACTGGCAAATCGCCTTTCCGAAGCGCCACAGAGTTCCTCACCTTCCAAAAGGTATTGAAGCGGGAGCTGGAGTTCCCTGAGGGATTTGACTCCGCCGCCCGCTCGCTCGTCGAGCATTGTCTCGATCTGGAGCCGAAGGGACGGCCCTCTCCGCAGGAGATCAAGGCCCATCCCTTCTTTGCCGGCATTGATTGGAACAACATCTGGTCTGCACCTGCGCCCAAGATTAGGACTGGCATGTCTCCGCCCCAGAAAACGCTCGCACAGGTCGCACTAGATTCAGATGTGTGGGCTGCGTTTGAGGATGACGAATCGGACGACGAGTTTGGCGACCACAGCCAGGAGCCTCAGTATGATCGCTTTGCTGCTGCTTCGGCTGTCAAAGCAGTAGACTACCCCGAGGACGAGTTCGACCCTCCGCGTCCTGCTTGGCTCGTAGAGGAAGTTGGTCCGCGCCCTCCTCGTGAGCCCAAACCTCGCGGGTGGTCAACGAGTTCGAGCTCGAGCGGTGGGAGGCTGAGCGGTCTGCTTGATACAATGGGCATTAACCCCACGTTCGCCAATCGTGCTGGATCGGGACGCGTAAGCCGCACCAGCGACCGCGGATCGTATGATGATCGCAGCCCGTCGCGGTCCCGTACAAGCTCCCCCGAGGCCAGGTATCGGGGCGTAGCTCACACGGATAACAGTCGGTGGTACGTCGATAGCTTTGCGACGCGGGCAACCGCTGACAATCAGGATGCCCCTTCTCGTTGCCAACGAGAGAATCGTCCTTTCCACGGCCATGTCCGTGAAGCCAACGAATGCCGTCCCTCTGCCTTCGTTCCTGCTACCGTCGGCCAAGCGACGCCAGCTCATCATGACCGATCTTCCTCGCCTCCTCGCTGTCAAGGACGATCCCGAAACCGGGGAACCCAGGGTCAAAACTGAGTTCCAGTTCGTTTCTCACCCTATATCGAGTCACATGAAGGCCGCCGTGTATAATCACGGCGGCAGAGATCGAGACGAATCAGCCATTCAGTATATTCTCGAGGTTCAAGAAAAGGGCAGCAAGCTGTTTATCCTCCAGACGGTGAGTCAACATTCACCACAAATACTAACTCTGTCAGGCCACTCAAGCTTTCACATGCATTGCGGACACCCCTGACATACGGGCTGCGTGGATGCACACCCTACGCAGGGTGGTGTAACTCTGTTGTACAATTCTCAGCCTTCATACATCTACGGCACGTGATAATGCATGAATCATAATTGCGGTTCCCGCGTTTCAGGTCGCAGAAGGCATGCTTCCAGCGTCCCGGCGTTCGCCGCACTTTCAGTCGATGGAATGGTCATCCGATCGAAGTCACATATCTCCACCTAACACCTCATCATGTCCACATCTGGCCAGATATCACCAACCACGGTCCACAGAATGGGCACTGTGAATGGGGAACCTTACCTTCCGCTTCCCACCCATGCCCATGTCGTCTTAACACCCTTCCGCTCGGCAGACCAGAATGCCATGGTGAGTCAAGCTAGGCATGACTACCATCTCATTCCAGGTGGGGCTGTGCAACATCCCGTCAGTCGGAATGTGGTTTTACCACCGTGCTTATCCATATGCGGCCTCCGACTTCCAATTAGAACTGGCCAAGACTCTTCCGGAGCAAGAGCAGGCGATTGCGGCCATCAAAGCCAACGAGCGCCCCTCTACATTCCCTTTCAAGGTCATCCGGGATGTCAGAACCAACAACTTGATCGGCGAGGTCGGCATCTTTCCTTCGCCTGAGCACCCTCCCAGCGAGGAAGTATGGGAGCTGAGCTACACCCTGCATCCCGATTACCAAGGGCAGGGCATTGCCCGGGCAGCAGTCCGCGAGTCAGTAGAATGGGCGCGTACTGTTTTGGGCGTGAAGAAGCTGGAGGCCGTGAGTTAACTGAAGTTTGTGGCGCGTTGACTAAGACAGTATGCCCAACCCCGGAACTCGCCGTCGACCAAGCTGCTGGACAAGCTCAACTTCAAGGTACTGGATGTTAAGACGTATCCTTGGCCAGAGGAGAAAGGAGGCGGTGAAGCGACGGCTGCGCGGTATATGAAAGTGTTGTAGAGTTGTATTGCGGCCAAATGATCTGTACACTTCCTTATCTCGGCTATCATCATATAACTGCTGCGCCTATTGAGCCTGACAGGTGCTGACTCAGTCTGTCTGCTGCCGATTGCTGCTGGTTGCTGCCTGTCGCTGCAGATTACCACACAGTGCTGCAAAACGCTGCGGCTGGTGCAGACCGCTGCTGACTGCCTTCGTCTGCTCTTTCATGCTAGGTCCGAGCCACTCCGCCAAACCCATCAACGGGGCCACAGACCAAGTCCAACTGACTGTCCACACACACTGAATTCTTACGACGCCAACGTAATCACCTCTCAGGCATTGCAGCGCCCCACTGGCCTTCTCCAGCGGATTACGGAGGGACTCCGGCTCAGTGCCATGTCTGTCTCGCACTGCAAAATCGCCAGGGCAAATTCGTCAAGTCCCAGATTGCTCCAAACCGCAGATTGATCTACAGAGACCAAAAGTAACAATGACGGCCCGTGGGATTGGAGGGCCCGCAGTACACCAGGTGCCCCATAAGACGGCCGCAGTTCTGGGCAGCCGAGGTTGAAACAGAGCCTGAGGATCAACACGTTTGTCTTTCAACTTGGAAAGGTGTAGTGCATGACAGCAACGTGGTTGCGTTGCGCAGTACCCATTACCGGTTACTGCAGTCCGGGAGAGTGTGATTATCACGAAGAACATTGCGTTGTTGTTGGAGCTGCGAGTACGCTGAGGTTTCCTTTGTGACGAATTACCATATAGGACTGCATCGCCGCTGAAGCCTCTTCAGCAACAGAATGGTATGTGCTCATATATTTCACCAATCGCTCGTTCGTTTGGCCAAGCTTTAGTGCCTGTGGGCTCTATGCCGCCGCGTGTTGTCAACGAACAAGATGTTACTGGTATGGATACCCGTACACAACCGTGGGTTAAGTTCCTGTGTCATCTACGTAGGTTCCGCATGAGTGCAAGCGGAAGAGCATACTCGCTTGATCAGACGCTGCCCTTACCCAATCATATGCAGGGCAGTTCCCGCAAGTAGTGCCTCACTGACAGCTGTTCAATTTCACCGTAGTTGCGTTCTGAAGTGTTACCCAACATACCCACAGCCCCGCCCATCTCCTACAAGTAGGAAGGGCTTGTCGACAAGATTCAACAGGCACTTCATCACAAGCAGCATTATGCCGTTGCGTGCTTCCTGAGGAGCGTGTAGGTAGAAGAAGAAGAAGAAGCTCCATGTGATGTGTGCGAAGAATGTTTAAACACAAGGCCAGCTTCTTGCGCTTGCTATTATACTCAGCTACGGTTTAACACGGGTCGGCCGGCTTCTTGAAAGGCGTGCCACCCTCCGTGACGTCAGGGCATTGCCTGTCAACATGATTGCGTGCATGCACGGTCTATCACGGAAGCTTCCATCCTCAGCGGTCACCCTTCAACAACATTGGGACGTGCCTGCTGTCGGTGTTTTGCAATGTTACAGCATATGTATGGCAGGGTCCTACGACAACCAGGTTCTCCGGCCCGTGACGTCTTTTCCTGCTTATCTTGTGGGAGATTCAGAGGGGTAGCTTAGAGAACATGAGGGACAGGTTTTGTGGCCTGAGGAAGGGCCGCAAATGGAAGGTTTGGCATAGAAATGCGTACTGACTCTCAACTTGATCGTGGAAATGTCTGAAAGGCCGCTCATCGTGCACGACGGCAAAGCACACCAAAGGCGCGACTGACGTAAAGCTCTCGTGAAGTATTCAGCTTGCCTCGTGTCAATGGGAGAATGTATAAAGTTGTCGCTGTTGTGATGGGAGTGATGCTCGGAGGCTCGCTTAGCCGTTATCCCGTCGACAGAGGGAGGAAAGTCCTGTGAACGTGGACGTCCGAACCCCAAAGCGAACTCATGTAATGGTGGGGGCCTCGTTGTGAAGGAACAACCTAGAAAAGTTTGACAAATTGAGTGAACATGGTGAGAACACTAGCAGCACTCGAGAACGTTTTTCGCTGCCTAATTCGCTACACACCTTACTACTACCATGTCGATCCAGGCCTGATTGGGCGGAGATCCTGCGACATTTACTCTCCGGTGCTGCCTATTCCACAAGGGTGGGTGGACCTTTAGGTCCAAGCGGAGAAATTGACCACAATGCAAGAGGTTCCAGGGCTCGTGACAAGTCCCGAACAGAGACAACAAGGTCGTTCTATGGCCGAGGATGTATTCAACACTCAATGGGTTATGACATGCCTCAGCCACTCTCCGTACTCTCGATGATAGGCACACAGCTTGTTGTTCTCCACTCTCGACAACAGTGGCAAGGTGTGTATAAGAACTGCACTGTCTCAGAGCTTCAGCGCCTCATCGAATGACACGGCCGTAATGCACCAGCCAAACCCATACCGTATGTACGTCGCCGCGCTCCTCCTATCAAGGCATCATCAGGCGTCGGCTGTATTTATAGTTGGCACAGTTTGTGTTGGTCGCGGCAGTATGTATGTTTGGTAAATCGCGTATTGTGTTGGTGTTGGGCTGGCAAGTTAGCATTACAGGCACCGCGACGCCTAAGAGCGACGGTGAGCTTCACATGTATAATAGATCGAAGGAGATTCTGGGGCACTGGTCATAGTGGGAGTCGAGATGCAGCACTTTACATTTCAATCACATGAGTCAGAGAAGAATTTGAAGGGAATTGGTGCTTCGTGTCTTGGGGGGCCATACGAATCTTCCTGTGGGCTAAAAAGGCCACTGATTGATTCTGGTGATTGCACAGGAGTCCAGTCGCCTCTGGCGCCACTACCGCAATGTACTTGCATAATGGATTGACACTGCATAATCATAGGGGTTAGTGAGACAGGTGCTTGGCGGATGTATTACAGTGGCGCTGGTGAAACGTCGTGATTGAAAGACTGTCACAACTCTGCACGATATCCCAAATGGCTAGACAGCTTTGCATGTCACCGAGCGATGACATATTAGACGTGATCTAGAATCGTGTGCTGACGCGGCATTAGGCGCAAGGTGTGAACGGACAATTCGAGGAGTCTTGATGTTCACTAATGATATACTTGATTAGTGTATCAATCTACCGCTCGATCCTAAGCCAATATTGACTCGGTGGGAGTCACGCGCACGAAAGAGAAGGCATACTATCTCAGCTGTGACCAGTCTGTAGACTCGAGATTGCTGTGCGCTATGCTCTTATGGTAGCTGCTAATGCGTGATGTCGACATCATAGACGCAGGTGTTGCTCAAGCTGTGCAAATGCATGAGTTCGCCGGCAGGCTCCCTCCAAAGATACTCGAAGGAGCCTTAGGTAGGTACTACCAGGCGATAAGGGGAAAATCTGAAGGCGTTCATTTGCCGAGGTGAAAAGTTGAATGACCACGGCATATCAACGACCTTCGGTAGCTAAGTGTTCGGGAAGCTTTTGGGTGTTGCGATTAGCCTTTCCAAGATCCACTGGTGTCATGCATTGATTGGGACTGGCTTCTAATGCTATCCTCATACCCATCATCTGAACGAGTTGCAAACCAGCTCACAGGAGCACCGTAGGGTGAAGATGCCGTGTGGATGTTTGGTCGGAGTACCTATCTATACTGGTCGGATGCAGTCTCATAAAATGGGAGCTTTCAGGGGCTTCATCAGCGGCCAACACATAATGTGCACGACTGCTGGATTCCTCTGAGTTCAATTCTGGTTGGGTTCAATGTTAATAGCAGTAGGTCACCTGTGCGTGTCTGCCCAACGGCATGGTGTAAATCACGGAGGTCAGCAGAAATCCGTCTGCGGCATGTTTGAGAGCCGAACATGCCGCTGACCTTCTTCGGAAGGTCTGTCACTCTTGCTCGGTGTGGTCTTTCCTTCAAACGGAACACTGTCAGTGGGGTCCAGCACTGTTAGAACTCTCTGCCTGTCCACTGTTGAGAACTCAAAACCGCACTCTGTGGAGGATGGCGAGCTGCATGGAATGTTGTGAATCTGGCGTTATTCAGTATGCATCTTGAGCCGAGACTATGCACCCGAGGAACGATTTCGGACCATGCTAGTCCGCAGGATAAAGCTACGCTGGTCGCCTCGTTTAATACACAACGCTGGTCCCGTTGCCTATGACATCGGATGCCTTTGAACTCCGACACGAAGTTCATTTGCAGTTGACTTCATGTTGCGGACCGTTTTAGTAAGAGAACGACCACTGGAAATGCTGATTCTTTGGACGGCATTGCCGCAGACCAGCTCACGCCTGCCGCCTGTCGGCGGCCTTGGAATGGTGTATGTCCACATGATATCGGCTACAAATGTGCACCAATGGTCGAAAGCGGTGAGAGTGCCGATTCACGTTGTAACCCGCACGGGAAGCAATGCACCGTAGTTCTCCCAGGACATGCGCTCAGCTTGACCTCATGGTCCATTTTGTGCTTGTGTGACACAAAAATACCAACTTCGGTAATATTTGGGGGACCTGAACAAGATTACCGGTTTGGGGAATAGTCGGCAAGGCATCAGAACTCCTCGCTCCACTCAACACTCAAGGATGGCATGTTCAGAATTGTCGCGGGCTTTGGCCAAACATTTCAGCGGGACCAGAGGTGATGCATCTGTTGATGTGAATGCCTCCACTTGGGAGGTGCAGTCTCATAAGGATGGACGGCATGAGAATAATCTCCCTTCAAGACTGAGTTAATGCCCAAAGATCAACCATGAAGGCTGAGTCTAAACGACATACAGCTAAACGACATACAGCCTTCACATCGGCCTTGCCGGCTCTTTGTTATAATACCTATGTTGCCACTTGGGATGAGCCATGAGAGGGTTCTCTGTTCTTGCACCTGCGTCGTGTGTTCTATCAGAGTGCTCGGACTCTGGTCGCATTTGATGGCCTTGCCAAGGATTATTGGAACATTTCCCAGACAATAGTCTCGCTGAGAGCATCGAGACGCGATTGACCACAATAACCCTCTTCGCGCAGACTCTTCCTCAATGCGTATATACACGCCCCAACAACGTGGGGTCTAGCGCAAATCAGTTGACCCTGTTCTTAGTTTCCATTGCGGGGGGAGCCAAACTTCATCGGTACATAAACATCAACGTGCTCTGCGCACTTAAAAGCATGAATGGACATGTTTGAACACAGCACACCACGTTCAGACAGCGTGCAAAGATTACCAATCTACAACTCCATTACGAACTGTTGCACCATTTGGAGCCACTGTTGTCGTCAACCATTAAGCAATCCTGTGATCAACCAAACGTCGATTGTTACCCCCCAAACGTCCTTCCCTCCGCTGCCGTAGAGTACTTCTAGAAATTCACTAAGCACACAAGTGATACCATTGGCTTCAATACTGCACGATCCAACCTGAGCTGGTCGCATCTCGAAAGTCTTCCCTCTGGCTCGATGAACTTCGTAGAATGCTACGAGATCAACTACATGCGCAGCGATTTTGCAACACGCCTTTTTACACCTGTGAGTGTTGTGGCTGTTAAGATATACCCATGACTAATATCAGGTCTGTTTCAGCTTGGCAAACAGTTCTCTGCATGCATTAATCACTTTTCCACCAGCGCAACTCAACGCGAGCACAAATGTCCTTGAACCTACTGAGGCGGTATGGATCGAGACGTGTTGTGGGGCCTGGGCACATTCATTTCTCCCCTTCATTCGGCTTTGTGCAGCACTTTTGTCGTGGGCACCATGGATATCATTCGCGACTGTAACAACCAAGGTCAAGGTTTGCTTCCACATTCACAGCACCAACATGTCGAAATAGCATCTGGCATCAAGATCAGGCTCCCATTCTTCTCTCCATCTTCAATGCGGTTCAAAAAAGCAGGTGAAAAGTTCTGGGGCAGACCACAGTTGTAGATTACAGTCGGCGCAGCGCCGCGGATTGAGAAACATCAGACGATGCCGTTTTTCTCGCGCGATAGCTCCATAACTTCTGACCCCACATCCTGTCAATTCTTGCAGCAAACGCCATAGGCGGTGTTATCACTGAGACAACGATTGCGCTGCTTCCGGGCTTGATGCTCCTTGAAGGGTACCTTGCCCTATATTCCTGGGGTTCGATGGGCGATTGAAGGGGTGGCAAGATTGGTATGATGATGATATAACACTCGTTCACGAGTTCCCTACTCGGTGACGGGGGGTAGCAAAAATAGGGTACGCACGTCTGCATGCTCGTTTGCAATCGCAGGCAGTTGATTGTGTCAGCCGCCAGCTCATGGCCTGCCTTGCGCTACCTCCAATCGGCCTTCATAGGCGTGCTAACTCATCCACTAAATGCACGTACTTGATGATGGTAGCCAGCTCGAGTGCTTCTGCTGCCTCCTGGACATCATTTCTGTCATGAGATTCAGAGCCTTACTCCGCTGTGGCAACATCAACATCTTTGGTTTTGACAAACACGTCACGGAAACGTAAATCTGCCTCTGACGGCTATCTCGCAGAGATTCATCGGTTGACTGGTCAAGGGATAGGTACTGGGCGGATGTGCACTTGGCTGCGTAGATGCAAACATCAGGCGCTATTGATCGCACTGAGGCCGTGAAACTAGCATATAGAAGTTGCCCAGCTGTTCTACCACATGCCCTTCTGCTCGGACACTACGTTGGCGAGATAGCCAGTCTCCAACCCTGCTATCAAATTACGGATGCAGAAGGCTTCCATTTCCTTTTGGGTCTCGAATGAAAGAGTGCCAATGTGTGGTAGGCAAACAGCGGTTGGGTGTTGCAGCAATCGGGCAGGGATAACAGGCTCGTTCTCGTACACGTCCAGCCCGGCGCCAGCGATTTCACCTGCCTCAAGAGCCTCGATGAGAGCAGGCTCATCCACGACTGCGCCGCGAGCAGTGTTGATGAGGATTGCCGACTTCTTCATCGCCTTGAGCTCTGGAGCCGAAATCGTGTGCCTAGTGTGCGCGTTGAGAGGGAGGTTTAACGAGACAACGTCCGAAGTTGCCAGGAGCTCGTCCCGCGAGACATACTTGGCCCCCTGTTCGAGGTCCTCCGGCAATCGGTTGCGATTGTGATACTGGACCGTCATGCCGAGAGCCCTAGCACGCTTTGCAAATGCTCGCCCGATTCCTCCCATGCCCAGAATGCCGAGAACCTTGCCATGAGGATCGTTAGACAGGGGGAGATTCTTGTGAAAGGAACCGGCCTGGGCTTCCGACAATGCCTTCGGGAACTGGCGCAGAACAGACAAGAGCAGAAAGGTGGCAGTGTCTGCAGTTGGGTTGTCTGTAACGAATGGGACATTGGACACTTGGATGTTACGGGCGGAGCAAGGTTCCACCGAAACTGCGGTCAATGGCCTGCCGTGGGGTTCAGAACAAACTTTGATCGTAACCGGCTCCGTTCGACGTGATGAAGCGGAGGGTAGGCGGGAGCGCAGACACTAGTTCCTCGTCGAAGCGTCCAGTGACCTGGGTCTCAGTATGGTTTCTCCATGAAGCTGAAGGATCGCCAAAACTCACATTGATCGAGCCCGTGCCCTTGAAGTGGCGGTAGATGCCGGTGATGCCATCATACTCGCCCCTCAAGTCGTTGATGAACGAGGAGCGATCAGAGCTCTTGAGAGGCTACCATGGTCAGCGGTTGGCAACGGTTGGTAACTTCCTCAACTTACAATCAAGGTCGCCTCCTGCTCCAGCTTTGCAAGCTCAGCCTTAGCGAGGTTGATGGGATCGAGCATTAGCACACGCGGCTTGGCCGCTGTGCTGGACCACCGAGCGAGTGCGAGCACACCATGTGTCCTAATCGTCGTCGTACGGGCACGCAGGACGCCAGCAAGCATCGTGCAGATTGTGCAGGTGATGAGGGAAAGCTTCGGACAACAAGTCACCTCTGTCAAGGTGCCGAGGTGCGGCACACCTCCACCTCGTCCCGGAGATGGCGTGCGGAGACGGCCGGGATGTGCGGCCGGGATGCGGGGCGACTCGGAACTCCCGAGGCCCACGGACAACGATCGACAAGAGAATCTACACGTGTGCATTTAGTGATACCGCACCGGCATTGTTGTTGTTGTTGACCACCTCTCATCCACTACTACCACGTCTTCGGGCTTGCAACTCGACGCCGACATCATCAATACATGGAGCTGTTTCCGACAGATTTCTCACAAGGGGGTGAGAGCGTTCAGCCTAACGAGGTAGAGGCGGTTCCCACCCCAGTCCACGACTCGCCCCAGCTGGAGCATCCCGTTGCGAGCGCTTCAGCCGCGAGTATCCCGCCCGAGTCTGGCACAGGCACTCCGGAGCAAGATCATTCACTACGTGGAAAGGCTGCCACCCACGGATTGACCGCGGAGGAGAAGAAGGAGCGGCAGAAGCAGCAGAATCGCCGTGCTGCGGAGCGCAGTCGCAACAAGAAACGCGAGGAAGTGTACGTAACCACACGCTGACCAGATTGGATGTTGACCTGCATCAGTACTGCATTGGAGATGACCGTCAACAACATTCAAGAGGAGAACAACCGCCTCCGCTCGCGTCTTGCGGCCTTGGTCGCTGTCAAGCCCGACACGCAACCTGATCAGGAAACCGCTGGCAGCGCTTCGTTCAACATCGATGTCACGGCCGTGTCGAGACTTCAAGGAGAGCTTGCCGCTGCCAAGGCTACACTCCTGGAACGGGAACTTGAGCTGGGGCGTGTGAGTAGCCCTACAACGCAAGCCTCAACGGGCTCTGACGAAACGCGTCGGGTGCTCGCATCCCGCACCGCCGCCCTTCAAGAAGCACAAGCTGAGGTTCGCGCTTTGAACGCGGTCATCAATGAGCTTCGGACAGAGCATGAGTCGTTGATCCGTCGGCGGGATGTGGTTACCCGCGAACTGGAACTGCGCCGATCCTTGCAAGATACCCCCGGCGAGTCTGCCGCGCTTTCCCCCTCACGCGCAAGTGGCGTCGAGCGAACCCTCCTCGAACTTCGGGGCCTGGTGGATGGCGTCATCAAGACTTGGGAGCAGGTGAGTTCGTTTCCGGAAGTTACTAACGGCTCCTTAGACTTCGATGATACCCGCTCGCCCAGATGATCCCCACTCTAAAGTGGTTGATGCGGCCGACGGTGAAAGGTAGTCTGAGGGGTCATGTATTGCTGTCTGTACGATGCATATGTCGTCTAATGTTGTGTCAAATAGTGCTACATATCCAACAACCGCTTCAAGAATTGCCAAGTGGTGAAGGATATGCTAGAGATGTAAGCGGGATCCAGAGGCACAACGATGACGCTACTCACCTTGTCATCGGGATGACCTTCACGTAGCCAATGCTCAAGCCCACAAAGAATCCTCGCCATCCCGACTGCGAGTAGATCGCCCCTACCGCCTGCTTCCAGTTGATACCCGGCCCACCCTTAGCGCCGCCGACCTGCATGCGCCTGCGAATCACTTCGAAGGGGTAGCTGGCGGTCTGACTGATGAGCCCCGCCACTGCGCCGCACAAAAGGTCTCGTTGTGTTGGCCTCTGTTTCAAGTAGGGCATGTACTCTGGAAGGTGCTTCTTGAGCATGTTGTAGGTGAGGAACGACACTCCTGCGTAGGGCACCATGCCCATCAGAGTTACCGAGAATCCTCGATAGAACGGGTAGAAGGGCAACGAGCGCGTGAAAGCCGACACACCGCTCTGCGCCCCAGGCTGGTTGAGTTGCGCGCGTTCCGCGGCAATCATCTTGATGGCCTGCCGCAAAGTTGTCCGCTCGGATGGAGACGTCTGGTACGCCATGCGGACGCGGATGAGCTCCATCGGGTAGGTCAACATAACGGAAGCCACCCCTGCTGTTAGTCGAGAGAGCCGAATCGAGAGACGCAGGCTCACCTGATGAGGAGCCTGCCAGGAAGAACCGTCCCGGTGTCGCATATTCTGGAGTGGGAACAAGGATCTGACCCGTAAGCTTTATCCCGAGTAACGCAGCACACCTTCTCAATCCAGTCATAGAACATGAACTTGATTCCAGCGTAGGGGAAGACGCGCAACAATGTGGCTGAGTGGCCCTGCAACAAGCCGCGCACACCGTTGGTCCGGTAGATTTTGCCCATCGCGTGGAGCAATCCCATGGTTGTCCCTACGAACGTCAGCGCGTGTTTCGGCCAAGCGTAAAGCCGCACCAGCATACTGCCTGAACTCGGCGTTCGACGTTTGGAAGAGAATCTTTACGCGATCGAGTGGTGCAATCGCAGTCTTGGCCTGTGCACGCGTTCAGTACTCAGTCAGACGGAGCGCATTTGAGACTCACCACACAGCCTGCAATGCCGCCGACAACGCCACTGGTGATCACTGGAAGAGGTAAGTACTGGCGGGCCGCGGGTGTGAGCGCATAACGACAAACATACCGTAGTCCCAACTCTTCTTGTCGGTTTTTGCGCGGTGCCGGCTCTCCAGCCACAACCTTTTGACGGTCCGAGGCCCGGTCCCCCACGCTGGGGACGCTGCGTCCCCTGCGGCGTGACTGGCCATGGTCTCAGTCGTCGACGCTGTCGATTGAAAGAAAGTAGAAGAGTCGACGGGTGGAGGCGAAGGGCGAAGAGGATGATGCAAAGCTGGATTCTTGAGTGGTCGGGGTCTCGTGGGCACGCGAACTCGGCATTGAAGTTTACTTTACCCGACGCCGGCCGTGCAGTGCAGCCAAAGAAGCTGTCCAGGGCCAGATATCGCACAGTGCGGGGCAAGGGGTAATACGAGTTGGCAGAGGATCTCACCAGGGAGCGGGGCGGAGAGGCTCAGTCTGGATGCCCGAGGGTCGTCGGAGGGTCGGAACTTGGCGTCCAACTGCGGAGACAGAGCGGTGACATTTAATCCAGGATAATCATGTTCCAAAATGGCGTGTCAAATATCAAAAGCACAACCACGTGAATTACACGTGGTCATTAAGGCGACGCGTCGTTGCGTCAGTCCTCCCGTCATGTTCAAGTGAACAAGGAAAGGGCTCGCTCAACAACAACACCTCCCTCATCAACCACCTCTCAGCCATGGCCGATGACAGTGTGCCCCAACCCTTTCCCAACCTTCAGGTTTCCCAGTGGCACTACCAGGTTGCCAATGTCGAGCGCTTGAGGGATGAGGCGAGCTCGTCACTGTGGAAGGCAATCGAGCAGGATGGTGAGTGTGTTCACTTATGCCTGGGTGCTCAATTGACACCAGAAATGGCGCCCTACGTGCGGGCCAACAACCTGAAGCCTCCCAGCGAGGACCTTCTCCCCAAACTGGAGAAGCGTAACGCTGAAGAGCTTGAGTCACTCGACACAAAGCTGAAAGATGCGGAAGAGAATCTCGGCGAGAGTGAGATTTCAGAACTGTTGCGATCCAAGGCCATGTACCTGTGTCGTATCGGTAACAAGGTAGGTCCTGCTTGTATACACCCAGAGTCAGAACTGACTTGTCCTAGGAGGCTGCGATCCCCGCACTTGAGACAGCTCTGGAGAAGACGACCGGCCTCGGAGCTCGCATCGACCTCGTTCTTGCCATGGTCCGGATGGGGTTGTTCAGTGCCGACACCCAGCTCGTAGTCAGCAACATTGCTCGGGCCTCCGAGTACGTTCTGATTTAAGTCCGGTGTGCTGACTATCAGCCTGATCGACTCTGGGGGCGACTGGGACCGTCGCAATCGCCTCAAGGTCTACCGCGCTATCCACTGCATGTCCATCCGTGACTTCAAGGAAGCAGCCGAGCTGCTCATCGACTCCCTGTCGACTTTTACTGCCACCGAGCTCATGACTTACGAGGACTTTGTCGCCCTCGCCGTGCTTGCCGCTGCGGTGGGATGCGACCGCAAGACCCTCAAAGCCAAGGTGAGCGCAATATACAGCCACTACTGACCGTGACCAGATTCTTTCGAGCTCAGAAGTGACGGGGTGTCTCTCATCCATTACTGAACTGCACGCCCTAGTCGAGTCGCTTTACAAGTCGAGTTACGCGGCGTTTTTCGTTGCCCTCGCCAACGTGGAGCAACGCTATCTTTTCACCAACCCAATTCTTGCACCCCACGCTCGCTACTACATCCGCGAAATGCGCATCAAGGCGTACCAGCAGCTTTTGGAGAGCTATCGTAGCTTGACTCTGGAGCGAATGAGCCGCTCCTTTGGCGTTAGCGAGGCTTTCATTGACCGGTGCGCCTACCCACTTCTGTCTATGCTGACGCTCAGCGACCTGTCACGCTTCATTGCCAGCGGGCGTATTGCCTGTACGATTGACAAGGTCAGCGGTGTCATCACCACGGACAAGCTGTCGTCGCAGAACAAGACCGCACTCTACGAGCAGTTTCTGAAGCAGGGAGACCTCCTGTTGAGTGGTAAGCAAACAAGTGCTTCGGCGTTGCTGACTTACAGACATGCACAAGCTTCACCGCGTTGTTGGCTAGATGATATAGGCATCGGCAGTAAGATGTTGCATAGGCAGATGCATCCGTAGGCAGCATTGGAGGAAGAACCATGTTGTGGACTCATACACTTGAAGGATCACGTGATGATATACCTCCACTTCGCTCTCAGTCTGAACGAATGTTGTTGCACTCTTGAACAGTTCTTCTCCTCGCTCCCCGCTCCCATTCCACTCTCCGTTCACTCTTACATCTAATGACATCGTCGTCATCACTAAGTCTCGCGAAGAAACTGTGTCGCCCGCCCTTTCCCGGAGGCTGGTCGTCAATCCCCATGAGCCCGAGCAATCTCACCCTGGCCAACACTCTGCCAGTGGGCCAATCCTTCCTTTGGCACCGACATCAGCTGCCCGATCAGACGGAAGAGTACTCGCGAGCGGTGGACAACCCTCCACGCGTCGTTTGTCTTAGGCAATCACTTAACGCACTGTACTTCACAGCTGTGCATCCGACTGTCGAAGCATCCGAGGCGGACCGTGCTGCTGGGTTAACTCGCTCATGGCTCGAAGACTATTTCCAACTCACACGCTATCCAGACCTCGAGGCACTGTACGCGGACTGGCGCATACGCGATCCCAACTTCTTTGGCAAAGTGGATTTGGGCGAGCGGGCTGTCGGCGTTCGCGTCCTGCGACAAGATCCTTGGGAGACACTCATCGCGTGGGTCACTACTTCGGCACAACTAACTCAGATTCATCACCTCGACAAACAACCACATTCCGCGCATCACTTCACTCATGCACCGTTTGTGTGAGCGATTCTCCCCCCCTCTTCTCGCGCTCGACAGCCCAGCCGGGGAGGAAAAGGTCGTCTATCGTCTCTTTCCCCAGCCCTCCGCATTCCCGGAGGAGGGCTTGGAATTGATCCTGCGTGAGCTGGGGTTCGGGTACCGTGCAGGCTTTTTGGACGCCACACTGGCCGTTTTGCGTGCAGAGGGACCCGTAATCGAGACGCTCGAAGCTTTGCGTGGCGGTGACCTCGCCACGACGAGGGAACGGCTTGTTCGCCTCAAGGGAATTGGGAAGAAGGTCGCTGACTGCATAGGCCTCATGTGCATGGATCAGGTTGGTAGATGTCGGGGTATAATTATCTCTGACGGTAGCCCTCCCTCATTCCGGTCGACACGCACATCTATGCGATCGCGGCGCGGCATCCGTCCTTCCCTTCTCATCTGCGAAAAAAGACTATGAGCCCAGTGCTGTACGATGACATCCAGTCCTTTTTGGCTGAGCAGTGGGGACCACTAGGTGGTTGGTGCCAGGCCGTGGTGTTCGCAGCGGACCTCAAGCCTGCAGCGCCGAAGGTCTCTCGCTCCGCGACGCCCATTAAGTCTTCGGCGACGCCGACGCCAAAGAAGAGGAGATCGCCGTCAGAAGACAAGCCATCGCTTCTTGCGGCGTCGCAGCTGGTAAAACTTGAGACCAGCATCGATGTCTCAGAAAGCGATAAACGCACGGTTGCCGAGTTGGAAGAGAAGCTTGAAGTGGTGACGCAGCCGGAGCGGAAGAGGCCGAGGAGAAAGGTTGCGGCTGTATCATACAAAGTCAAGTAGAGAAGCATTGTAGCATACATGTTGTCTGTTGTGGAAGTCATTGAGGACAATAGTGTTTCGATCTGGCCCCGTTTTATCGAGCAATCCTATGTTGTCAAGGTCAGGGGTTTCGTCTCACCAAAGACGATCTCGTGAGGCAGTCCAGTTCACCTTGCAGAGTGCAAAGACGGCTCAAGGTGTATTCAGGCATACAAGCCCCGAGAATACGCATCTCTCTAGCACATCCCATCAGTTCTGGCGGCAGACCTGTTGGACATCGGAAAAACAGAAGAGGCTGAGATGCAACGGTGTCTGAGGCATGCGAGGGTGCGTCGTTGCGGACTGCGACAGCGCTGAACTGTCCCGCCTTACTTCCCCTCACTTTCCTTACGACGCCTTCTTCGCCACATATCACGAAAGTCTGCGCGGCCTTCGTTGGCAAAGGGCATATGAGTGTTGCTGGACCGTAGACGAGTCCAGTGTTGCTTGACGGTAGCATCCTGCGACGGTCTCGCCGGTTACTGTCACAAAATCTGGCTAGGACTCACAAATGACTGGCCGATTTGATGACGTGAAATATGGATGCGACGAGACTTGATCCCGAGGACGGGGGCTGATTTGAGCGACAGCATTAACAATTGCACGCGATGCTTAACGAGACTCAGACGTCACGGTGGGTTCCCATTCTCTCTGTAACTCGTTACCAGGATCATCTAGTGCTGATTGGGATGGCATTGAGCGGCCTTGCCGAGATCGCCTTCATCGAGGCCGCGGAGACGGTCGTCGGTCAGAATGGTGAATGTTTGCCCGTCGGGTGCGTGGTAATGATGCTGCTGTGGGGAGCGTTGGAAGCCATGGCAGAGATAATGCGATTGCACCAATCGGCTGTGATGGGAAGATGGCTGCAGCCACAAAGCATTTAGTAAAGGTGTGGCACCAGTGCTGAGGGTGGGAGCATGCGGGCTTGTCGTTGACGGGATTGGTGTGTGGTTATGGAACGTATTCCTTTTGCTGCTTGTGGCAGGACAAGCTCTAAGATGGTGGTTGCTGCGGTAGCGTCCGCTGTTGCAATACTACATCTGGGAGTGGCGGAAGCATGGAGGAGCCTCGAAGTTAGGTCTCGGGGTACGGCGAACCTTTTTCGCAAGACAGCAGCTCCCCCAATGTCGTTCCTCACAGCGTTATCGTCGTATTGTGGTAGCTTGGCTACGCTTGTATGAGAAGGGAGCTCATAACCTGTCGGACGTCAGAAGCTTTTGCACCGATACACCGCGGCCGTGGTCGAGCGCGATGGTGGGTGGGGTCAAGGCGATGACAGGTCAGCCTCATTATGAGAGAGCCTTCAGCTCGCGATCAGGACCAGTCAACATCGCAAAGACAGGAATAATGCATTTCAGTACCAATCTCTTTCGTGCTTGAGAGGGTATTTAGAAGGCGGAAGGTGAAGGGAGCATTAGAGCACAATGTGGCTTTGATACACCGGCGGGTGGAGAGTATCCTGCGACAGTACAGTCATTTAACTTGGGCACGCGAAAGTTGTTCAGGCAACGATGTAGCTGAGGGCGATGACCGCGTAGAGGATTATGACTTTTGTCAGCGTTACGTCCGTCACTTTACTCACGCATCAGCCCCTCGAGCCAGTTGGTGCGGCCGTCCTGGAGGAGGAGGTTGACAAGCAACACAGAGACAAACATGATGATGGTGTCAAAGTTGTGGAAGAAGAGGGTGAGGTCACGGTGGAAGGGCCAAGCGATGATCACGAGAAGGGGGATCATGCCAGCTGCAATCTGGATGGACGAGCCAACGGCCACACCAATGGTGAGCTCCATCTTGCCCTTGCAGGCCATCCAGACGGAGGTGACGTGCTCAGCAGCGTTACCGACGAGGGGAAGAAGAATGATACCAATGAAGCTGAGTGTCGTCAGCCACAGTTGTCTCAGTGTCACGGCGCCTAAACGTACCGAGGAGGAAGGTGCCACTGCTCAGCAGTCTCGTCAATGCTGCCAACAAGAGTGTCGGCGGCGAAGGCGGTGATGACGGTAACGATGAGAAGCCAAACGCCGGCGCTGTACTTGTCCATGTCTGGAATCTCCTCCTCCTCCTCCTCAGCCTCGAAGAGACCCGAGTGCGTGCGCAGCTGGAAGATGAGGTAGGCAATGTAGGTGCCAAGAAGCATGAGGGCGGTGCCGCGAGAGAGGATGAGAAGGTTAGACGACGGGGCTGGCTCGGGGTCGGTGCCAGGGCTGAAGGACCAGGTCTTGCCATCGGCCTCCGAGGCGTGGTACGCAGCGGGGATGATGAGGGTGATGCACGACAGAGTGAGGAGCGACGAGCTGGCCTGCGCAGCAGTGACCTGGAAAGTAGACTCGTAGAAGTAGAAGCCAGATCTGGACAGTTAGTCTGGATTGAGAAGTGGGTCATTCAATCGACGCACGCGAAGAAGCTCATCCCGAGCACCAGGAGGAGGTTGGACAGGACCGAACCGAGGAGAGAGGTCTTAACAAGGTCAAGCTGGTTCTGAAGAAGAGCAGCGATGGCTACAATGAGCTCCACGGCGTTGCCAAAGCTGAAGGTCAGTTCAGTGTGGAAGGGTGTTTGCTCACGTAGCGTTAAGAAGACCACCAGTGGTCTGACCCATCTTCATGGAAAGTTGCTCGGTGGCATCGCCAAGAAGCTGGGCGAGTTAGTGACCGTCTATTCTTAGTTGCAAGAGAATACAACTGACCTTGGCAAGGGGGATGATGGCGATGAACGAGGTAACGAATCTAGCGACGGCACTCCAGTGGAGAGCCTCTGCGACGAGACAAACTGGGACCGCGATGAGGAAAACATTGAGCCATGAGTTGAAGAGAAGCCAGCGGGTGGATTTGACAATGTTAAACTTGTCACTGTCATCGGTGTGGTGGTCTCCGAGGAGGGGCGTAGACTCATGGGGCGGCATGGCGTGTACTTTGATGCACGTTGATGTGTGCTTGAGTGGATCGAGTGGAGGGGGTGGGGAGATTGAAAGAAAGGAGAAGATGAGGGGCCGTGCGGACGAATGAGAGAATGAAGGGAGGGTTAGTGTTTGATTGACAGGCGGACGCTATGTGCTGCGCAGTGCTGCGCGAGCGGGAAGGGGGAGGGGATTAGAGGAACGGGAGGACGTGGGGGCGGCGGCGTCGGAAGACGGGAAGTCGGAAGACGGGGCGACGAAGTTCGGAGCGGAGATGAGGAGAGAGAGAGAGTGGATGTGATGAGCGGGTGGCTTGAGTGAGGCTTGGACGCCAAGAAGCGAAGCGGGAGGGGGGGGGGGGAAGAGAAGGGTGCATGTTTGCCCACCCACCCGCATGCGGCGACCTGGAGCTGGATCACATGACGTATGACCAAATTGAGCTGCCTCCACCTTTCCACCCCATCGCATACATTCCCGCTTGCAGCGTCCAGCGTCGATGGACACAGGTGCAGCGTAGCAGCAGCTGACGTCGATCGACTTGCTGTGCCTGTCCCTGATCTAGACTCACCCAAGTCTGTCACCATGCCATCGGCCGCGGACATCTCCTCATTCTCCTTCGTCTCAAGTGCAGCGGATCAGCGGAGATCACGGCAAACCCGCACGTGCAACCCATCTGTCATCTTTCGATATGATCGATAGCTTGATAGCTCGATTGATTGATTGATTAGCGCTCAATCTATTGTTTTGAACTCGAACCGTCATCGTTCTGATTAACGCAACGCAACCGTAATACGCAACCGTGATGGAGAAGCATCTGGAGCACAAGTCTTCTGCACATTATTATCGTTCTCCTACAGCTTGCGGAACCACGGCAGCCATGATTATCCCGCGGCCAGAGCAGTGCCCAGAGGAGCGTCGGTCATGTCCGTTGACGATACAACTTGAATGACGGAGAAAGCGCCGCGTAGTCTCGGGGCGTCGGCTCGTAGCCGGCGAGAGCCGGAACACGACGTCATGCAGTTTGCCACCCTGCGCTGACCTCCATAGCTTGTTAGCTTGAACGATCTCGAACTAATGCGAGGGGTTGATGTTTGGACGCCATGATGTACGCCACCGACGCATGACGCAGGCGTGTGGCCGTGTGGCGCAGACGCAGGCGTTGGGTGGGTTGGGGCCATTCATGGCCATGTAGCCAGCAGGCAGCTGGCGGCTGGTTGAGCAAGTCGCCACCCAATGCGTTGAGGGCGGGCGCGTGGGGAGACATTACACCGTGCACCAGGCACACATCATCGCCTCGACCCTTTGCTCACTCATCCTGCTCTCTCGCTCACTCTCTTCTTCTCTTCTCCTCCTCCGCTCCTCTTCTTCTTCTTTCCTCCGGCCCCTCGGCCCTCGGCCCTCGGCCTCCTCTCTCCGGTTCACAGCCGTGCCACGCGCGGTCGCTGCTGGTCTTACGCCTTTCATCATCCGAGACAAGGAACATACGAGGGTTCGGAGATCGGAGACAGGACTCACTCTCCATTACAAGTTACCCTTCGCACCGACTCCCCATTTCGTCCAACCCGCGACCCGCCCTGTGCACTCGCCCACTTTGTCATTTCAATCCTCGACAACATGTTATAACTACTCGGCATCGCCCCGTCAGGCCGTCACCTCCATCCCGTCCCCGCGCCCCGCATTCCCATCTGACCACATTCCCATCCATCACACCTTTTGGTGGCGACTTGGTGACATCTCGACCCCTTGCCTCCGCCGTCCATCAGCGCCGACCGACCCTTGGCGTCCTTGGTGCCCTTCGTTGGTGACCTCGTCTCTCTTAAATCTCTAAACCCTCGCGTGCTCACCACTCGGACCACCGCCCAGGATTCTTGCACCGTGGTACTGCCGACAGGTGGCCAGGTGGGACGTGAAACCCCCAAACCACTTGAAACCCCACGCGCTCGCTCGCTCGCACGCACGCACACACACATCCAATCCACCTCACCCCACCTTCCTTCTCTCCCCACTAGCCCCACCAGCAGCCCCACTGCACCCACCCACCCCACGCCCATACTCGCACATACTCGGTACACCTCGTACACCTCACCGCTTGTACCGCTTCCAGCTTGCAGCTGTTTGTTGAGACATCGAGTCATACAGACAGTCGACCACGCACGCGCTCTTCTCTCCTGTCCCACTCATAACCCCTCGCTCGACTTCCTCATCACTCATCAACCCATCCACTCCCAACATCCCCCCTTCTCACAATGTCCACCGCCGTTGAATTCCGCAAACATCCCGTCTCTCCCGCCCCGGGCTCTGACAGCGAGTTTATGAGCAGCGATGGCCAAGAGCACCCCAAGCCCGTCTCTCTCCTCAGCTCAATGATGGCTGGGCAGACATCGCCACGGCGCAAGCTTCCCTTCAGTGGCTACACGTCCGGTCCATCGGCGCCGTCAACCGCGCCATCGACCGCGGTCTCAAGCCCACGGCCACAGGAAGAACCCGTCTCAATTCTCCGACGAAGCAGTGTGGGTTCGGACGGCGAGCCGTTCTTTCTCCCCTTGGCCCGTGTGTTGCCCACCTCACCCGAGAAGCCAGAACTTGTGAGTTCAAGCGACAGTGCGAGACGGCCCCCCACTGCCTTTCTCTTCTATTCCTCCCGACGCACACACATGATTGACTAGCTAGAAACAACCTCGTCCCAGCGCCCTCAAGTTCGCGGTAACCAGTCGCCCAACTGAGTTCGAGCGCCAACCCGTGGCCACAGTGCCGCAGCACGACGATGAGGAAGATCGAGGGACAGCCACAGACAAGGGCTATGAGGAAGACTCGGAAGACGGCTTCTCGTCGGACGACGAACCTTCCTTCATGATGCAGGCACACCACAAGATGGCACTTGCACGCGCTCGGGAAGCACAGCTCGCCGCAGCACGACCGTCTTCGACCTCCCCGCCTCCCCGTTCCGCCGCTCTTCCTCCACGTCGCGGACGTGGACATGTACGCGTTGATCCGGCCGTCACTGCAGATGACAGCGGACGCTGCAGCCGTCATTACAGCCCGCCTCCAGACACTCGGACGCGCTCTGCACCCCCTGGCCCGCGTGACGGGAGGGCGGGGAGCCCAGTGCCAGAACGCATGGACGTTGACGACGATGATGATGACGATGATGATGATGATGATGGTGATGATGATGACGAGGAAGAGCAAGAGGAGAACGTGAAGAACGATAGCCGCAACAGTGGTGATGTTGCCCTCGGGAACGATGTTGTCGCCGACCATGCCTCAAGTCCTATCTTTTCAACATCAACTGAGCCATCGGCGGCCATGGCTTCATCAATTGGCTCAGGCATGCGCAACATGCTGCGCCGCGCGTCTGAACACCTACCGTCGTTCCGTCGCCCATCATTCACCGCCCCCATCCTGGAAGAGTCAGTCGCGCTCGACGATGACGATGTGTCCACCGACAATGGCCGCGTGTTGCTGTCAAGGGCACATTCACTGGGGGCGAGAACGAAGCCGGCCGCCATGAGCGTGTCACAGGACAATGTCACCAGCATCCCTAGCCGTCCGATTGCTTGCCCTACCACGCCCCGCACTACGCCACGTACATGACTTGTTCCGGACACGAAGAACCGCGGCGACCCCGCGTTTGTAGCGATATAGTTGGTAGTTGCGAAAGACGACCACATCGAGTTGAGTGTACATACGAATCCAATACCACCCATGTGGTCGTGCTGCATCGATATGCGGGTAAAGCGTCGAATCCACACGGCATTATCACCGCAGGATCAAGGTTGACAAGTGAGCATGTGACCGATAGCTTGGAATGCAGGGCCAGTTGCTCGGGCTGTCATTGGCGGATCACAAGAGCAGCCCGGGCCAGACGTTCGGCCCCGGTGACGCATTATACTATTAAGCCTGGATTGTGGGTGCCCCGCCTTGGCCCTATTCAGTTGGCCTTTGTTCATGTCTACGTGGGAGTAGGTTGGGAACGGAGCAGCAGCTGCGAGGACAGGACACAAAGCGGCAGAGGAGGGGAGGCATCGGAGTCAATCGCCAGACGGGGCTGTCCGGAACATCGCGAGAAAGCAGAGCAGTTGGTGGTCCGAGTGACGACAATGATGGGAATGTGGCCAGCGCGGGGATCTTGAGAGTCCCAACGGCAGCGGCAGTTGAGCCCGCCGTCGAGTGCCGAGAGCCGTTCCTGCGGGCGGCCGCACCACACCCTATCACGACTCACCCTCGCACACCATTCGATCACTGTCCACTGCATCACACCTCGAGATCGTAATACACAACTCCACTTTCTCACTAAGTCTCTCTACACTTGACCCATTCCATTACTGTCTCACATTGGTCGCTCGCTCCTCATTCCATGATGGAGCCATCGCCGTCGAACCCGACCCACACACAGTCGCACCGCCGGCGTCCCTCCCTCCAGCTCCCTCCCGCCGCCTCTCCGCGCTCCCTCCCCCTCCCCTCCCCGCGTGCCATTCCCAACTCCTCACCCCGCCCGATACCCATCACTTCGCCGCGTGCTGTCCCCCTCCCCGTACCCCAGCGCCATGGCAGCATCGTCGGCTCGTATGGCTCCATGACAGACTTCACGGCGATGTCGCCCCGCCAGCGCCGCCGGGGGAGCATGAGCGGCAGCTTCAGCGGCTCCGCATCGCTTGGCAACTCGTTTGTCCTCGGTCCCGCTGTGACAGACGAATTTGACAGCTGGCTAGATGTGACGGCCGAGGATGTGCTCAAGGCTGTTGAGACGGAGACACCACGGGTAACTGGTGACACTGGTCTCGAGAAGGCCACGGAGATCCTCATCAAAAGCGGTGCGAGTTGCCTACTTGTTGAGACGGGCGGAGGGTTCGGCCTCTTTGACGTGCGTGATTATTATTGCAGAGCTGACGCCAGTTCTCGGATCTCAACACTGTTCTTCTGCTGGTCTTGCTCTCCGCATCGCAGGATGCGACCGAGGAAATCTTTGACGATCGTTCCCGCGAGCTCATCAACTACTTCAAGCGCGGCATTCGCTTCGGTGTCGGCGCCGTCTGTGGTGCGTAGAAGTCTCTGGAACCGTCGCTCTCCGCGTCCTCGGCTAACAGCAGACATCTCGCAGAAGAATCCCTGCCACCCGTTCCCACCCAGCACACCTCTGCGCCGCCTGTTGCCACTCTTCGCATCGGGCATTCACCGTGTCGTCATCAGCGGCGACACGCCGCACATCCTCTCGGCGACCGCACTTCTCGCGCACCTCACGCGCAAGCCCCCTCCCATCTTCCGCATGCCGCTCTCCGAGGTCGACCTCCCCCTGCACCAGCTCGTCTCACTGCCTCAGACAGCAACTGTGCTGGACGCGATGCAGGTCATGAGCCTGAATGGTCTCAGCGCGCTCGGTGTGACTACCGGCGACCCAGACCGCGAGGGCGAGCTCTCATCCCTCATCGGCGTCGTCACGACCACCGATTGCGCCAAGGTCGTAGTCCCCAGTGAGGGCAAGCAAGCGCTCGAGATGAGTCTGGCAGACATGTGCAAGGGCGTCCTGTCCGAATACCCCGGTAGCGACCTCGGGGAGGAGCGCGTCCCTGGTGAGTTGACCGACCGTGTCCAGCTGACGCCAGTGCACACCATCACACCAGCGACGACGGTGCTGCATGCCGCGAGCCTCATCCTCGCGACGCGAAACGAGCGCGTCTTCATGCGCACGCTTCCCGCTGCGTCCCCGCCTCTGTCCCCCGTCTCATCGCTGGACAAGTTCACGCCCCCGGCCTCGCCAGCCCTCGAGGGTGTGAACGTCGGCCTGCCCGCGCCGCCACCGACCGTCCTCTCGTCGCAGTACGTCATCTCAATCCTGGATATCCTGGCATGCCTTGCACGTTCGTGCCATGGCAAACTCTCGCCCTTTGAGCCCACCGCTGGCTCCGAGTCGTGGGACATGCTGCCTGACAGCGTCAGCCGGCGGCGCCGACGTGCTAGTAGCTCTATCTCGGGCTTTGCGACGTGGCGCTGGGCTGGTGAACTCCCGCCGTTTTAATCTACTCGTCAACACTTCCCCCTCTCCCCCTCCCCCACTCCCCCACTCCACTTCTATTCCCTCGTGTCCCGCTCTAGCTCTCATCCATCCCATCATCCGGGCCACTGTTGCAATCATCGAAACACAACATCATGCAGTCATAAAGTTACGTCGACAGTGTAGTATGCAAAAGATAACTGTTACGGGGTGGTAGCTAGCTGTGGGATACAAGGGCGGGGGGTACCGCTGGTATTGTTCGGGACGCAGTTCAAGCTCAAGGAGTGTGAGGTTACAAGAAGTAGTGAATCGCTCCGGCTACGGCAGCGACTGTCATCATCCCGCCCGCGCCAAAAGTGGCGATCCAGTCGTGAGTAGAACTGTAAGTCAGAGTTATCTTTGACCCAACTCACCGTTGCTCGATGGGCACCACGATACTGGGCATCTTCTCGTCAATGTCGTCGGCGAGCATGCGCTCCAACCGCGCCTCCTTCTCCGTCCACACGTTACGCAACCAGAGCTCGAACTCGCGCCCCTCCTCCGCCGTAGCGAGTGGCGTGATCTCCGCGCTGTTATACGGAGGCTTCGGAAGCGACGGGATCTCGTCTACCGAGTAGAGGTGCAGGTGCAGCCGCACCGTTGGGGGCGGCACGCCGTGGAGGTACACCGAGCCCAAGCCGTACCACTCTTGTGGATACTTGCCGAACGGCACGCCGGGGTACGCGACAGTCACGTCAAGGAGTTGGATGTCCGGGATAGAGGGAACGAGGGTGCGGAGAGCGAACAGCAGTCCAGTCGAGCGCGGGTGGAGCACGCCGTTGAGGTCCCGGATGTTCTCGCGCGCGGCGTACTTTGCACTCTTTGCGCGCTGGGGTTAACACGAACAGAGAGTCAAGTCACCTCATTGTCAGACACAATCGTGCCTTCGGGGAAGATGAGCAGCCACAGCGGGTTCCCAGCGGCGGACTGCTTCCCCAGTCTTGTGAGCGAGCGCGTGAGATGGTCCCGGTCGGCGGCCCATGAGCGGTGCATGAAGATGAAGCGGAAGAACTGCATGCCCCACCCGACGAAGGGGATGTGCTTAAGGCTGGCTTTGAGGAGGATCGTGAGACCGCGCGCATGGCCAGCATAGCATGCCAGGATCCAGAGATACATCCAGTCCGTGTACGCCTGGTGGTTGGCCATGAGCACCAGGCGCGGTGGGAGGTTGATTGTGCCGTCGGGCCCGACCAGACCCGACAGCTCGGGCGGCGCGTTCGTCGTGATGGTGAGCGAGGTGGGCGCGCACAGCACCGTGATTGCGATGACTACATCAGCTGGGACCGGTGCGGGACGTACGCAAGCGGCCAAAGCCGTCCTTGGTCCAGTCGATCGCGCGCTCATAGTACCGCCGTCCGCCAGGGAGCAAGAGGAGGAGTGCGAAGAGGAACTGGGCGCTGTTGATGCCCAGAATGCCGAGGTCGAAGATGAGGGGGAAGACAATCTTGTTGAACCAGCTCCCATGCCCGGATGGCCGGTCCGCGATGGGGATGGTATAGAGCGGTTGCATCGCGGTGGGCTGAGACAGTCGTGCGGAAAGCGGGAGTGAGCGTGACGGTGACGATGCGGAGGGGGAGGGGGCGCGCGGCGCAAGCTTATAAGACCCTCTATCTGATGCTCGTTGCGAGTGATGGGGCGGCGACGCAAGATGAGATAGCGACGAGCGGCCTGCGTATGCAATGAGGCGATGTCGCGTCCGCATGATACAGCTTCGGGCCAGAGTGGCCGAGTGGCGGTGGCGACTAACGGCTAATATGGGCTCAATTGAGGGGTGTGACGTCGTCGATCGATTTGCCACCCATTCTAATGAACTCTTAATGCCTTGGTGCCTCAAATTGTCGGTGTGCCTCGATTCCCAGAGAATCCAAGGACGCGTCTATACAGTGGCAGCAGGAATTGAATCGGCGGTATACATGCAACATGGCAGAATGAACAAGATGGAACGAGGAGAACGCTTCGGCGGAAATATCTGTTGCTCGAACTTGGCGAATCCCCATCTTTTGGCGGTCGAGGATCAAGAACATGCTTCGCAAGAAGTAACCGCTGCTCTTGAACTTCAGAACCGAGCAGTGGGAAGACGACGGAGACGAGCCGTCGGTCCGTCGGCCAGCTCAGCCAGCTACCGAGGGCACGGTCTCGCAGCATGGGCACGGGCCATGCTGCACGTCCTGTCACCTCTTTATGACATTCTGTTAATCTTCTGTTGGAGCAGTTCACTCCCCTTCGTCCTCTACACGTCCAGCTCCTACGACTATGCCCATACTCACCATGCATCTGCCCCAGCTGTCGTACAGGCGGCACGTCGCTCTTTTGGTGGCCCTTGTCCTCTCCTCCCTCATTCTAGTGTACGTCCTCTCGCGGAACTGCTCACTCAGCACGCTCATCACCTTCTCGTCGCCCTTCATTCCAAGCATCTCGTTCCTTCGCGGCCCCGCCTCGTTCGGCGTGTTTGGCTACTGCGAGGACGGCTGCATGCGTGGGGCTCCTTACGAGTGTGTGTCGACCGGGTCGTTGTTGACGGAAGGTGGAGCCCGGCGATCAACGCCTCGCTCACGGGCGTAATGCTTCTCTGGCCTATCTGTGCGTTCGTGGGTGAGGAGCAGTCTAACGCAGGTATGGCAAGCAATTTCCTTGCGCTCGTCGTGATCGGTTTCTCCTGCGTGCCTGGGAGCCAAGTCCCGTTCTATCTCGCCATGGTACGTTGCGTATTCGGAGATACTCAGAGCGGAAGCCGCAGAAGCGCCCGGCGGAAGCGCCGCTTGACCGGACAAGAGCCTGAGAACTGATACCAGGGCGTCAGCACCACTACCATGTACCTTGCTTGGCTCCTTGGCATCTTCGGCTGGAGTATGGCGCGGCGCGGTCTCGCGATCGGCGAAACCAAGTCAGAACTGGGGTGAGCTTTCCGCGGATGTAGCTAATGTAGCGCGGCGCACTGGGTGGGTCTTGTGGCCATGATGTGCTTGGGATGGTGAGTTTGGCGTGAGTGTCAGCTTACCCCAGTTCGTGGGTCGTCGGCTGGCCAGAGCCGCCTGTTGGCGTGACGGAGCGCAAGACTCGAAGGAAAACCGTGCGCCATAGAGGACACGGGCCTGCGCAACAGACGGACGAGTATTACCATTATAGACGCACGACGCGCGAGTTCACGCCTGCGACGCGCGTGTGATTGGTATAAGCAATGCAGTAAAACTTGTAGGAAAAGATCGACGAACGTATAGATGAGACTAGCAAGACAGTATGAAAGCATGCCTCGCTGATCACGCCGCACTGACGTCAGACGGACGAGTGACCCCTTTCAGGCCGCGGCCTAATATGAGGCGCGGGGCAGATACCGAGCTCAAAACACGGCCGGTAGATCGGCGGAGGAGACATTCCATGCGGCCGTGAATAACTACGTGCTCTTAGGCCAACGACGTCACCCCTCCAGCCTCCCCGTGATAAGTAAAAAGAGCGTGCTCGCTGCTCGACGTGTTCTACATATCTTGCGTTCTGTTTGTTTGGCTTGAACACTTGGTGGACACTCATACGATCACATCTCAAACCGGGCCGTCAACGACTCCATCAACATGTCGATTAAAACCGCCGATAAGGCGGCTGTTGCTCCCCTCACTCCCACATTCACCGCGACCGACTATGCCAAGTTCTTTGTGAGCTCTAAAGCCTTTGTGAGCTGACGGCAGACTGCTGGCGCTTTGTGCTGCACTCTGTGAGTAGCGGAATACCCGTGCTGGGGGGCCGGGACGTGCCCCCGCCGGTCGGCGCATCTGCCTCGGAGATGCGGAGGCCGGTGGGAGGCCTTGTCGGCCCATTACCGTGTACCGTCCATCCAGTCTGTTCAGCGCTGACCTGCAGCTCCCATGGATTCATGACACGTGAATACCTCAGTTGGCTCCTCGACGCCCGCTAACCCCAGCCATTGATGTCGTCAAGACCCGTATTCAGATTGACCCCGGCCTTAAGGGCTACGGTCTCGTCTCCGGAGCACGCAAGATTGTCGCTGCCGAAGGACCTAGAGGTCTCATCGTGGGAGCAGGTCCTACGTTTGTAGGGTACTTGTGAGTAGGAAGGAGTTGTGGAACAGCAAGGTGGTCTTCCTGTTTGATGAGGGACTCATCGAGTGCACCCCAGTCCGTAACCCACGTCTTTTGGGTGGGGAGTTCTCCGGGGCCACTATGAGCTAGCTTGCGCAACCGTTGAGAAGTATGTCCACTGACGCCAGCCTCCAAGGTGGTGCCAAGTTTGCCGGCTACGAGGCGGCGAAGAAGTACCTTGTCGACCTCTCCGGCTCGCGCGAGGCCGCGATCCAGAACCGTACAGCCATCTACCTGGGCGGCGCTGCGATTGCCGAGTTCTTTGCAGACATTCTGCTCACGCCCGCCGAGGCTACGCGCATTCGCCTCGTCTCCAACCCAAAGTTCGCCTCGGGAATGGTCCCAGCCTTCACCAAGATCCTGAAGACAGAAGGCATCGGCTCGTTGTATGCCGGCTTCATCCCCATCCTGTGCAAACAGATCCCCTACGCTATCGGACAGTTCACGGTCAACGAGCGTTGCATCGAGTACATTTACGGGCGAATGACCCCGTACCAGCGCGCCCACCTTACCAACACCCAGCACTTTGGCATCACTCTCACCAGTGGTATCATCGCCGGTTTCGCCGCTGCCATCCTCTCGCATCCGGCTGACACGCTGCTGTCCCAGATCAACAAGGGACATGGGCCGGAGGGATCGCAAGTGTCACGTCTCGTCTCACTGGCAAAGCAGGCGGGCTTCAAGGGCCTGTTCGCCGGCCTTGGGCCACGTATGAGTAAGTACTGGATGGCGCGAAGTGGATGAGCACAGCGCTGACAACCAGTCATGACTGCTGGCCTCGTGTCTTCCCAGTTCATCATGTACGGCTGGATCAAGAAGGCACTTGGAGCGCCCCCGGGCATCGAGATCCACAAGGAGACCAAGGCGCCCAAGTAGGACATTATAGAGTAGAGAGTGTGATTAGTTTGTCATATAGCCGGTTCTGTATTGGAACGGTGAGGAGAGATTCTTGGCTTGGCGCCGCTGATCTGATCTGATGATCATCAGATAAACCGATGATCACACGTGCGACGCCAATCGTTGCTCGGCACGATAGGTTCATGAAGCTCCATCCGGTATCGGGGCATTTGAGAGTAATAGGGCTGAGGAGAATGATGCTTGGACGGTACTCGTAGTGGTGCGCTTGGTATAGTAAAGGCCAAGTCGGATGTGAACGTATGCATTGTGGGCAGAGGCAGGGGAATCAACTCCAGAATGCCCGTCGAGTCGGCCAGTTTACGCACAAATGCTTATCAAGTGCCCGCAAGTGTCCGTGTGTGGAGGCTGAGTGGCAAATGGCACGATCTAATCGCGGCCGATCTCGCAACCATGCTCACGTCAGAATATCACAGACGGGCACCCAAGCTGTCAGTTCCCAGTTCCCACTTCCCCAGTTCCAGCATACGAGAATTCCCAGCCACACAGCCACAAGAGCCACGAGCGCAGCGCGTCGCGTCGCGTCCGCCTCAGTCGAAAGGTACCCTGAGGCCCGCCATGGGCCGTGGGGTGGGGTGGGGGAGAGGCGGCGGCCCCCTGTGCCTTGCCCGGCAGGAAAAAATAAAAGCGGCGGCGCTATGCCCGTTTGGGGCCGCCCCGCGCGCCCAGATTGTTCGTACGATGCAGACGCTCGCCTTGCCGCCTTGGCCCACTTTGGCCTCTTTGGCGTCAGGCCCCAGACATGCAGAGCTCGCAGCATGATTGCAGAGGCTACAATGGCTCCCTCCCCCTGGGTGGCAATGGTAGACCTTGTAGACAGGCGGTCAGGGCCGGCACATGGCACGATCACAAAGAGAGTACCCGGTCCCTGCCCTCTCGCTCAATGGTCCGCTGCAAAAAGTGCCAGCAAGACGCGCGCGCCCAGCATTGACCACGATCCCGGTGACTTGCTCTCGAATCTCTCTTTCATCTCTTATTTATATCTTGTACATCTTCGACTTTTTCCACTTTGACCTTTTAATCATCTATCACCGCCGTCATGCCCGCTCCCGACGCTCGTTCCGAGGCCCGTGTCTCCAACTACACCAAGTTCTGGAAGAAGGACTCTGCGCAGGACGGCGTCGACGACCGCTCCAACCGTCTCGAGAAGTACACCGACCTCGTCAACGGCTACTATGACGGCGCAACTGAGCTGTACGAGTACGGCTGGGGTGAGTGATCTCCTGTCGCTTAGCAGAAGCGGGGGGACGGGCGTTTCTCGTGTAAGCGTGCAAGGTGCTAACGCCCAGGCCAGTCGTTCCACTTCTGCCGCTTCTACAAGGGCGAGCCGTTCATGCAGGCGATCGCGCGCCACGAGCACTACCTCGCCTCGATGATGGGCCTCAAGCCCGGCATGCGCGTCCTCGACATTGGGTGCGGTATCGGCGGCCCCGCGCGCGAGATTGCGCGTTTCGCCGACGTCGAGATTGTTGGTATCAACAACAATGAGTTCCAGGTCGGCCGCGCACGCAACAAAACCGCCCGCGCCGGCCTCCAGGACCAGATCAAGTTCGTCAAGGGCAACTTCATGGCTCTCGAGGAGCAGTTCGGCCCCAACAGCTTCGACGCCGTCTACGCCATCGAGGCGACATGCCACGCCCCCACGTTCGAGGGCGTCTACGGCGAGGTCATGAAGGTCCTCAAGCCCGGAGGCATCTTCGGCGTGTACGAGTGGTGCATGACCGACGAGTGGGACGAGTCCAAGCCCGAGCACAAGAAGATTGCGCACGGCATCGAGGTCGGCGACGGCATTGCCGAGATGCGCACCCTTCACGACGCGCGCAAGGCGCTCAAGAGCGTCGGCTTTGAGATCCTTCACGAGGAGGACCTCGCTGCCCGCGACGACGTCGTTCCTTGGTACTACCCTCTCGAGGGTGACATTTTCAAGGCGCAGACTGCCTGGGACAGTGAGTTTTGGGTTGGAGAATTGGCTGTAGTGCACTGCGGTGTACCGTCTTGTCTTTCTGAGCTGTGCGAGACAGCTAGGCCGACGGATCGCACGCAGCTCGTAGCGAAGTGGCGAGCAGCGAAGCTTTGCGATCCGCACAACCCGAGCCATTTTTGGATCCCACTAACGCCAGTGCTCACCTGCTTCCGCACAAGCCGTCTCGGCAAGATGATCACGCAGAACTCGGTGTGGGGCCTCGAGAAGATTGGCCTGGTTCCTAAGGGCACGTACGATGTCGGAGAGAGCCTGATCACCGCCGCCAACGCCCTCATTGCGGGCGGCAAGACCAAGCTCTTCACCCCCATGGCGCTCTGGGTGTGCCGCAAGCCTAACTAGATGGTGTTTTCGGGTTCCGGATTTTGTTGTTGGCTGTCATGTCCACATGCATCGTGTCTTCTTAGTGAGGTGTTGTGCAGTGAGCGGAAGTGGGTGCAGAGTCCGCCGCGTCGTATCTATCTTCATCGGATAGCGAGATCTGGTGTCATAAGCCATCAGCCATCAGCCATCAGCCACCAGGCTGCCATCAAATCCATCAGGCCAACTTCAATATCCTCGATTAGCCAGGACACACGGATTTGCCACGGACCCCCAAATCCCGAATCTCCACCACGTGGGCCATGCCGCCCGACCTTGAACCGCCGCTCAACAACATCTTTCGTCACCCATCCCAAAACAACCATGAGGTGAGCCCCGCCGCGCCGCCGCACAGCAGCAACAGCGCTGACGATCAGTCAGTACGCGTCGGTCCCCAAGTCGGAGCTCGACGAGAGCCAGATCCGCGAGCTCGAGGAGTACGAGATCTCGCAGGGCCCTCTGAGCGTGCTGCAGCAGGCGGTGCGCAACAACTCGCAGGTGCTCATCTCGCTGCGGAACAACAAGAAGCTGCTGGCGCGCGTCAAGGCGTTTGACCGCCACGCGAACATGGTCCTGGAGAACGTCAAGGAGGTGAGTGTGATGCGCCGACGAGCGTTGCCTCCCGAGACAAAGGCGTCATGTCACTACCGTCCGCGCATGCGAAGCAGAGGTGCGACCGACGGCAGGCTGACTCCAGATGTGGGTCGAGACGCCAAAGGGCAAGAATGCCAAGCCAGTCAACAAAGACCGCTTCATCTCGTGAGTGTGCCAGCCTACATATTTGTAATCTCGCTGACAGGCAGCAAGATGTTCCTGCGAGGCGACTCGGTCATCCTCGGTACGTCTCTCGCGCGCTCTGGCGTCATCTCGATCACCTCGCGCCTCTGCTGACGCCAGTTCTCCGCAACGCGGCATAGAGTGTGATAGTAGTGTAGCGGCACGCGATACCCATGGATCCCTGTACTATTCTTTTGCGGCACTGGCGGCACTGGCGGCACATTAGGATTCGCTCCAGCAACGTAATACTGATACATAATCTAGCGGACTGCTCTGTTCTATGTCTAACCCTGTAGCGGGGCTAGCTGGTGTTGAGGACGCCGGCACCGACAGATGAGTGCCCGAACTCGACGACGGCGTTGACTGCCTTCATGTCGATTGGGCTGCTGAGGGCAAAGGACGTGAGAGCGCGCACCGTGAGGTCGTCCTTGACACTGCCGATGATCTCAAAGTACGCGCCCTCGGTAAGGTGCATGTCCTGGGGTCAGCGGGGTCCGCGGGGACGGCAAGGGCGCGCGAGCAAGGCGCGGAAGGCCTCATATAGTCAATTGATTACGCACGCGGGAGAGGTTCACAGCGACCTGCCGTCAGCATGAGTGCAACGCGCTAAACACAACCCACCTCGCCGCCGTCAGATGCCTCGACTGTCGCAGTGTCGCCGACGAGGTTGACGACCTTGGCAACCAGGCGGACCGTCTGCCCGCGGTGTTCGGAGAGGTAGCGCGCGTTGACGCGGGCTGGTGTAAGCGCAATGCGCGAGAGATGCAGTCGGACAAGGGCAGCCCACTACCGGGAGGCTCAAGTGTGCGGTAGGAGGACGCGCGGGAGCACGGCACGAGTAGTGGAAGCCTGTGACGTGATGCAACAATAGCGACGGCGGGTGCAACGGCTCGCACTCCATGAGACACGCATATGCGGAGCTTGAGAGAGCCAGATCATGGGTGCCGCATGGGATTCAAGACTCACGCTCTGGACCAAGACGACCAGACATTGTGCAAGGATGGAGGATGGAGATCGAGAAGTCTGAGATGAAGCCAAAGTCAGTCATGTCAACAGGTCCAGTCACCCGCGACGCGTCGTCCATTTGCTTCCGGGTGGAAGGACGCGCCGTTCTCATATCACCAGAGGAACAAATCCTCCATCGCAGCTCTGGCGTAATGCCAACTGCGAGTATATATGCGCGATCCGACTACCACCACCCCGATATCAGCGCAAAACCCGTCCATCAGCGGCCATCCCTCTGATCGCCGATCGCCGAGCTAGCTGTCGACGGCGCCGAAGCGCAGCCGGCCGACGGTGGCTGAGCCGCCATTTGGCCCCGCTATCAGTGCCTGAGCGGCTGGGCGGCAAATCTGCCTCCACCCCGCTTCTCCACACGTGACAAAATGTGAAAGTCTGAAATGGGAGGCCCACTCACCATCACCCATCACAACATGGTCTCATTCCAGTGAGGCGCCTCCCCCAATCCCGCTGACGCAAGGTGCGACGGATGCGCGGACACGGTCAAGAAGCCGCAGCTTGACAAGCACCGGCAGCGGTGCTGGGCGAGCTTTACGTGTCTGGGTGAGTGCTTCCGCACGTCTACGGTGTCGCCGGCCTTGGTGGTTGGCCATTGACTTGCTGGTATACAGACGCTGACCCCAGACTGCTCGACCACCTTCCAGAACCAGGAGTACAAGAGCCACACGTCCTGCATCTCCGAGGCGGAGAAGTACCAGGGCAAGCTGTATCGCGGGCCGAAGGGGTCGACGCAGGCGTCGACGCAGACGTCGGCCGCTGCGTCGCCCGCGCCAGCCTCCGCCCCCGCCGCGTCAGAAGGCGCATCGATCCACCCCTCGCGCCTGCGGCAGGTGGAGGCGGACAACTCGGGCTTCGACGCCGAAGGCGGCGGCTACGGGCGCGGCGGGTACGGCGGGCGCGGGCGCGGCTTCCAGCGCGGCCGGGGGCGCGGGGGCTTCACGGCGCCGCGCGCGTTCAAGCCCACAGGCGAGAACCTCGCGCAGCCCGAGACGGGGATGCGGTCGTGGGGGTCGACGCCGGTGCCGGAGCCGTCGGCGCCCGCCGAGGAGGGGAAGAAGAAGAAGCGTAAGGGCGACAAGGGCGGGACGGGCAGCAAGGCGAACAGTAGTTCGAAACATGTCGAGGAGCCGGCGAGCAAGAAGCGGAAGCGTGACGGCTCGGCCGCGCCGGAAGTGGCGCCGGCTGCCACGGCAGCGGGTGCGCCGTCAGACAAGGCGCTCAAGAGGATTCGCAAGCACATGGGCAAGCTCGAGAAGGAGGAGAGTATGGCCCTGTCGCAATGGATCGACAAGATTGCGGCGGCCAAGGAGAAGAGTGTGGACCGCGCCGACGTCCTGGCCGGTCTCAAGGTGTCTTTCGTGGACGGCAAGTGGCAGCTGAGCGCATAGATAGACAGAGACCCCGATGCATGCAATAGAACTACAGTGTGGCAACAGTTACTCGGACGGCAGCGCGGGCAGGGGCTTCTCCCTGCTCCGGTCTTTGTTCTCCTCATCCTTGAGTCTGACGGTGTCCAGCGGCGCTGGCTTGCTCGCGGGCGACTTCACCCCCGGCGATTTGGCGGGCTCAGGCGACTTGGCCTTGCCCTCGGGCTTCGGCTTCGGGTTCTCGGCATCCTTGATGGCCTTGGCGCCAGCGCGCGTCCGGCTCGGGTCCAAGCGCAGACGGTTTGCGACGGTGCGCGCGGCAGCCTGAGGACCGGTTTGGAATGCGCGCTTCGTCTCAGACGGCTCTGAGCTCTTCCACCTTCGCCAGCCGTCGAAGTCTATAAGAGCCTGATGTCAGCGCAATCGCAACAGAGCGGCTCACCTGCATACAGCCCCACTCGACCGTCTTCTTCTCGAGCCATTTGAGCGACACAGGCTTGGTCAGGAAGTCGTTGCATCCGGCTGCAAGCGCAGCCACTCGGTCAGTCTGCAGCGACGAGGCGGTGAGCGCGACGATGATGACAGACGAGCGGAAGGGCGAGGGTGGCGGCACGCCAATGTCGACTGGATCATCTGGGCGCGAGCTGTCACCCATCGGCGTACTAGGAAACACGCCAATGTTGTTGCTCTTCTCCAGCTTGCGGATCCGCTTAGTCGCCTCAATGCCGTCCATCACGGGCAGCTGAATGTCCATCTGTAGTCAGCTTGGAAGCGGGTCCAGCAACTCACCAAGATAAGATGGAACCCCCCGGTGCGCCACTTTTCGACCGCCTCCTGGCCATCCTTGGCCGTCTGGTGCTTGATCTTCTTACGCTTGAAGAACATGGACAGAATGTTCTGGTTGATAGGGTTGTCCTCGACGATGAGGACATTGATGGGAGGTATGACAACGTCCGAGCTCTTGGCCAACTTTGATGTCGACTTGGCTGCCTCCGCGATGCCTGCGAGCGGTCTAACGGGTGGCGGCTCGCTCGCCGCCGTATGGCGTCGCGTTATGGTGGACGACCGATTCCTACCCTGCACAATCATAGGCTTTATATCCGGCGGGGTCGGCAGTGTTTTGCGTCTCTGCGGCACCGGCGGTGGCGGCATGTTGCTCGGTGGCGTCACGTGCTCGGGCTGCTCAACAACGTCGCTGACGGCAGAGACTGCTGACAACCTCCTGCTACTTGGCGACTCACTTGGCGGGGTCATGCTGACGGGGTCGGTTTCGCCCGTCGCTTGTCGGCTGGACGCTGGGCGCCGTGGTAGACTGTCCGATCGATTTCCCAGTATCGCCAGGTTCAGGCTGGATGGCGGTTCGAAGTACATCCCAATGGGGTAGCCCTCAGGGCTCTGAAGAACGACTCCAGACGCCCCCGAACGATTCACGGACGGCCGCGAGAAATACTCTGAGGCTGGAGTGGTAACCAGGTCATCATTGTTGCTGGTCGACAATCGCATCGGATCGCTCGAGATGGCTCGCGGCTGCGCGGGTGGGAACTCGCCCAACGGGGACCGTGCCTTCAGGATGCTCGGCTCACTGTGCATCAAGGTCGTGTCGACCGCGTCGAAGAACCCCTCTTGCATAACGCCCGTTGGCGTACGATTACCAGAGGTAATCTGAGGCGACCGTGGGCTGGTGGCGATGGGCGAGAACGAGGGGTCTACCGCAGGCTGTCGCACAGCCGTGTAGAGTGCGGTGAGGAAGCGGCGCGGCCCAACGGGCTTCGGCACAACAATCACCTCGAGGTTGCTCAGGCTGCCCAACGATGCTACCACATCGCGCACCTGGTGGTACTTGTCCAGGCCGGTAAAATGAATCACGACCGTGTTGGGCGACTGTCGCACCAGCATGGCTGAGCGTGAACTGCGTATGAGGTTCGGCCGCCTAGTCGACTTGTTCCGGAGCAGCGATGGTGTGCTCTCCGGCCTCAACTTGCCCAGCTCGCGCTTGAGCACAGACACGTCCTCGTCGATGATGACAAAGCGTGAGCTTGGAGACGATATCTCGGTCGGTGGTGGGACATGAGGAGGCTCCTCCTCAATGGGTATGTGCGAGACATCGAGGCCCCAGGCGGTAAGGTAGCTGGTAAGATGTCTGGCGAACACGCTTGCCAAGCTCGCGTGGAGGTTGACCTTCTTCCCACGGAGCGTGTCAGCGAACTCTGCCAGCTCGCCCAGCGTTGGCTCTGGAGGCAGTGTGAGGTTAGGGAACGGCTGACGACCGCCCTCCTCCTCAGCGGTGAGTTGTGGTGGCTCTTCAATCGGCACACCCTTGTTGAGCACAGCGTAGAGCTCGTACGCGTGCCGAGGCTGGCCAAAGCTGCTGGGCGACGAAGGCACCGCATCGGTCTTGAGCCACGCGTTCACCTGCCGCAGCAAGCGGTGTGTCAACTGCGTGTCCAAGTTGGGTGTCGCGGCCTCCTTCTGCTCGGCTAAACGTGTGAAGGGGTTTAGTTCTGCCTTGGGTGTCGCGGCGTTCGAGTCCATGTGCTGCGCCACGTTGTGCACAATCTCAAAGACACACATGAATGGTCCGTGCTGGTCGTCGAGGGACGTCAGGCTCGAATTTCGTCTTTTGTACCGTTCCAAGTCCCGGTGAATGTTCGGAACGGAGCCGCGCGGCGCCACGCCGGACTGTGGTATTATCTGAAGGCCCAGCTCAAGCGTGTCACCTTTCCCGCAAACGCTGAGGATCTGGCGAAGGACCTGAGACGTCAGACAACCCCTCGGAGCGACTCACATGTCCGTACACGAAGGCGATGCCACTGCGATCGCCGTGCATATTAACATGCTTCATGCCCACGTCGCCATGGAAGAGGACGAGATCGACCTCAGCCTGGGCCGCCTCGCTGCTCAGCTGGTCGGCGACGTTCTGCAGCAGCTCGCCAATGTCAAAATCTTCCATGAATCGTACAGGCCCTCCCTGTCCCCCGCAGATGGGTACGAGGTTGGCCGACAAGTAGTTGAGCCCGCGCAGCGATGTCAGAAGCGCCGATACAGAGGTAGCTGGGACCTGGATTGCGCAGCCCGAATACTGCTCCTTGGCGCTGTCGAGAAGGTGTGGAGGAGAGACATATATCAGTGTCTGGATGGCGGTTTGCAATGAGTCAACGAGCTCTGACGAGATTGAGCTGTATGGGTCCGGGTTGCGGGCAGCTCGAGGCTGTAACAAGCCGCTCACTCCTTTGGACGATGAGAAACTGCGATTGATGGCTAGTGTGAGCGTGCGCTTCTCGCGACATGGAACACGCACATCCGAGGGGAGGTGGCTTATCTGGGACAGGCCAGTTGAGTGGTGTTGGTTGTGGTCGCATCACAGGTACTCGGGGATCACAGTCGTCGCCAGAGCTGCTCGAACTTGACCGACCGAACGGATCTTCCGCGAAGCTCGTAGCTGTGTAGAAGGGATCTGGCCTGGGCGCAGCGGTGGACTCGGGTGGCCATCCAAAGCCCCTCGATTCGGACGATGAAGAAGTTGCAGACAGTTGTGAGTGTGCTCTGCGGGTATCACATACGAGTAGTGGTGGTTCGGGTTGAGGGAGGGGAATGTCAAGGGGTGCTCTCAGTGAGGACGAGGACATGTTTTTGGGGGACAGCTCGAGTGAATCAGAATCTCTTCGCAGTTCCATGGAGGGACATGACTGCGAGTCGGACGAGTCCCAGGATGTTGGGACTTGGATTATGGCTGAGGGATGGGAGGGATGGCGAGACACATTGGTGTCGACTGTGAGGGGCGGGGTTGAGGTAGACATGTCGCGTCTCCTCGGGTCACCAGGACTCCGGGTTGAGCGCGTAGAGGGAGGGGACGGGGGAGGGGGAGGGCGGGGCTGAAGGGGATTGGAAGAGGATGAACGGGAGGACGAGCGGGAGGAGTAAGTGGGAGATGGTGATGTTGATGAAAGCAACGTTGTGGATGAGATAGCTCGACCGTCATTCACTCCGCCAGTGACCTAACTCGCCCTGACACCGAGAAGTGACCGGGCCGAACCTCCAACGGCGACCTCCACACGACGGACTCAATTTCCTTCCACCCTCGTAGTCCATAACAATCCATTGCAAGCGCTCGGTTGACATGTGCAAGTTGGCCAGAAGACAGACAATACATATGCAATGCGAGTACGTATACGATAGTATTTTCTTGCCATTGACCGCTCAGTGGCTCACGGCTCTTGGCTCTTGAGACTTGGCACTTGAGGCTTGACACTTTACCCCCAATGCCACCCAACGCCGCCTGATGACGTGTGATGCTGCTTATAGACTAGGGACGCTGAAACGACACAATCTCGTCGTACAGCATCCTCCGCAGCTGTTCCCGCGAGATCTCGTCCTTGTACAAGTCAAAGTCGAAAAAGTGCTGATCCAAAGGCTTGGCCGTCGGCTCATCCTCGGGGTCGTGGTATGCGTCGAGGTACGGGTGCTCGAGGCACTGCTCAACGGTGTACCGCTTGCGTGGGTCGACTGGGGTTAGCTAACACAACACTGATGCAGATGTAGTGACGCACAGGTGAGTGTTTTGGTGAGGAAGTCGATGGCGAGCGGGTTGGCCTTCGGGTACAAGGTCTCAAATGCTCTCTTCTTACGGAATGACATGGTGCGGATGTACTCCTTGGAGCGGCGGGAGGTGATGGCGTAAAACTCGTCGATCGTTGGCGTGCCGAGTACGTCAAGGATGAGGGATAGCTGGTGGTGACTAATGTTAGATTTAAAAAGCAGCACAGCTCACTAGTCCTTGCCCGGGAAGATGGGCTTACCGCTGAGCATTTCGGCGAGGATGCACCCAATGGACCACACGTCGATGGACTGGCGTCAGCTCATCCGTCGCGCCATGACCCCTACCTTGGTATACATTCTAAAGGACAGCATGACTTCTGGTGCACGGTACCACCGGGTCGCCACATCTGTCATAAGCGAACCGCCACGCCAGATCTCGGTATGTCACGCTCACACTCGGTCATGAAGCCTTGCTCCTTGTTGGGAAAAGCGGTCTGGGTGCTGCGTGCAAGACCAAAGTCGCACACCTTTAGATCACAGTTGGCGTTGAGCAGAAGGTTGGATGGCTTGAGGTCGCGGTGAATGACTTCTGTCAAAATCATTCTAACCCAGACTCACTCTCCGCCGAGTGGAGTGCTTTCAGCGCTCGGCACGTCTGATAGATGAAGTATTGGCAGTGGTCATCGCTGAGGTCTTGTGTGCGAATGACGCGGTGCAGGTCAGTCTCTAGGAGCTCCTGCACCAAATAAACTGAATCAGCGTGAACAAGGGTAGTGGGGTACCTTCTTTGAAGTGTTCAAAGCTAGGTGGTGGGATGATGTCCAGGATGGTGATGATCTGGGTCAGCGCTATCAGCCAGGACGGGTACATTTTCGCTAACGCCCTCTTCGGCAAAGTACTTGAGCAGCTTGAGTTCCCGAAGAGTGCGGAGAGCGAACATGGAGTGGTCGAACGGTGCAATCTTCTTAATAGCGACGCGTGTGTTGCTGGGTCGGTGTATGGCGCTCACCACGACACCGTAAGCACCCTCCCCGATCACGTCCACAATCTGGTACTCGCTCCCTGTTGTCAGCTTGCGGTTGATGTTGCGAGGTGCATCGTTCAACATACCGACATTGAAGCGGACTTTACGGGGCGCAGCCGCACTAGACCCACGTGTCGTCTTCTCTTGGACCGACATGCGTGTACGGTTTGCAGATCGCCGTGTGGTGGTGAGGCGGGGGAGGTATGCGGGAGAGGAGCAGAAAGTACGTCGCCACTGGCTGGAACGGGGTTGGGGCCTGTACGCCGGAGCTGAGTCAGACAGAAGGTTGATGAGGGCGATGATGCGGTCTCGGGAGATCCTTCTGGTAGCGGTGATGCGGGGTGCGAGCGATGGGGTACAGGCAGAAGGTGTGCGATGGCAATAAAGGCCAGGAGAGGTCAATCAGAGTTGGAAGCAGTGGTGGAGATGGCGAGGCGTGTCGTTGACGTCAAGTTTTCTGCAAGATGAACTGCTGTGATGTTTAAGAGTAGAGATGCGCTGGAAGCTGTAAGTCGAGGACGATGTCTGTTGGGAGATGGGAGAAAGCACCGCGTTGGATGTTGCACAAAAGGTCATGCATGTGGTGGACTGTGCGTACATGTGCGTTTTGCCTCCCATTCGCAGTGGGTGGGGCTCGGATCGCTCGGACCTCGTCGACCAAGGAGAGTGATGCGCCACCTCCTTCATTGCTTGACGGAGGGGTTGGCGACAGTTGGCATCCCATGAGGGAGCGTGCGGAGGGACTGATTAGGACGAGGTGGAACGTAACGCATGCAATAACGGTGAAGACAGAGGCGGCGGTTGTCTTGACTTGACAAGAGAGGAGAGAGGAGATGAGGAATGAGTAGAGGCAGTGGAGTGGTGCACGGCGTTAGAGAGAGCAAGGCGACGAGCGAGAGAGCGACGAGCACAATGATGGCAAAGGGACGCACAGACGCCAAGGGGTTGGTCGCGGCGTGTGGCGCACCATGTATGCGCCTCGCTGCTGTCCACGCTGTCCACGCCTGTCGCATGTCCGCTCGGCGCGATCACTTTGCTTGGCGTCACCCCCTGGGCGTTTGGGCGTCCTGCACACGCCCCCCTCGCCATCCATGCCTCAAAGGTCGGCTGACGCGCGGCGTCATGGTGAATCGAACTCACAACATTCTGTTTTTGCCACATGGAGGCAAAGTGACACCGCTTAAAGTGGAAGATTTATCGGATATGGCCGACGGTCTCAGATTACTTGATTACCTTATCATTCCAGATTCCGAGCCGAAGTGGAGTGGTGGCTGGACTCGACGTACTCGGCCTCCCCGACTCCACGCAATCGAGTCCAGCTTGTCATCTTCTCTCTATCTCGCTCTCTATCACCATCTCCTCCGCACCGCATTGTGAATCACAGCCATGAACATCGACACCATCCCCTTTGTCGCCGCCCCGCCGGCGCCCCGCGCCGGCCTCCCCAATGCCCGCGACATGTCCCACCACCTGAACAGCATCACCAAGAGACGCCAGGCCAACAAGCTCAAGGCAGGTTGAACGCACCGCCATCACTGACATGTAGGAGCTGTACAAGTACGCGGCGCTTCCAGGAATGGTGCCGATGGCCGGAGGGGTGCCTTCCCCGACGATATTCCCCTTCGAAACGCTCAGCGCCGACATCCTGCCCTACAACCATTTGCCGCTGGACCCGCCGCGCGTGCCGAAGAAGCAGGGGCTGCTCGAGTGGCTATTCTCTTCATCGGCGCCCACGACTGAGAAGATAAGCATTCCAAAGTACGCTGCCGACCCGAAGGACCCGATGGCGATCCAGCTGTCCACCTCGCTCCAGTATGCTGCGGCGACGGGCCCGCCCGCCTTTCCCATCTGGTTGCGCAAATACGTCGAGACTGTCTTCAAGCCGGCCTTTGCCGACTGGGACGTCCTCCTCGACGTAGGCGCGACCGACGCCATGACAAAAGTCTGCAACATGCTGCTCGTGGAGGGCGACAGCGTGATGGTCGAAGAATGGACATACCCTGGCGCAATGAACGCGTACCTCCCGTACGACGTGAATGTTGTTGGCCTGCCAATGGACAACGAAGGCATCATCCCCGCGGACATGGACAAGGTCCTGTCATCGTGGAATGAGGAGAAGCAAGGTCCTCGCCCACGCCTCCTGTACACTGTGCCCACGGGCCAGAACCCGACGGGCGCGACCATGCTCGCGGAGCGCCGCAAGGCCGTGTACGACATTTGCAGCAAGTACGACGTCGTGATCGTCGAAGACGAGCCGTACTACTGCCTTTTCATGGACGCGTACGTCCCGCGCGATGCCAAGTTGTCTCCGATGGACAAGGCGCAGCGTGACGCCGAGAAGCTGGAGGGCAAGAAGGGCAACGAGGCGTTCCTCAAGTCCCTCCCGCCCAGCTTCTTGCACTTTGACACGGACGGACGTGTGATCCGGTTCGACGTGAGTATGACCCCCAGTGCGAGAATACGAGGATGAGCTGACACCAGACATTCAGCAAGACGTCGTGCCCCGGCTCGCGGCTGGGATGGATCACGTCGTCGCCCATCTTTATCGAGCGCCTCACGCGCATCGCCGAGTGCGGGACGCAAGCGCCGTCGGGCTTCGCGACGGCGCTCACGCTTACGATGCTCAACCACTGGGGGTGGGACGGGTACGTGCGCTGGCTGCGCGGCATCAAAGCGAACTACCGTATGAAGCGCGACTGGATGCTGGACGCACTCGCCGACTCGTTCCACCTCGAGTCGGACGGGTCGTCCATCAACCCCCTCGTCCTCTCCACGCCCCTCGGGCGGGGCTACACGGCCTATGCGCGCCCCGACCCCGCGTCCCCCGAACGGCGGTGGGACGAGAAGCGCGGCGTGCAGAGCGCGCATGGCGCCCCGCTCATCAGCTTCATCCCCCCGTCCGCCGGCATGTTCATCTTCCTCGGCGTCCACCTCAACACGCATCCCGAGTACCGCGGCCCCGACGATACGCGGACGCTCATGGACAAGCTGTGGCGCACACTCGCGAAGCACCACGTGCTCTTCGCGCCCGGGTGGGCGTTCGACGCCAACGGGCCACACAACATTGGCGGCGACGGGGTGGGGTACTTCCGCCTCTCGTTCAGCATCGTGACGTACGAGCAGACGCGCGAGTCGATGGAGGTGTTTGCCAAGGTGCTGAAGCAGTTCCTGCGGGCGTAGGTGTCGGAAGCAGTGAAATACGATATATGCATGATCTAGATTTGGTGTGCGGCGTATGGCGTACGGCGTATGGCGTGCGGCGTGCGGTGTGTGGCGTACGGTGTGCCGCGGGGCGTGGACAGTCTACAACTCGCGCCCGAAAATGTAGTCCAACTGACACTCGTTCCCCAACCAAAACTCGTGCTCGCCCACACGCGCAAACCCGAACTTTTCGTAAAACTTGGTCGCGCGCACATTGTTCTCCCACACGCCGAGCCAGGCGTACGTGTATCCCTGTGCGCGCACCATCTCCATCGCGGCGCCCATGAGCGCCTTGGCGACTCCGCGGCCCTGCACGTCCGGATCGGCGTAGACGCGCTGTACTTCGATGCGGTGGGGTGCGGGGATATGCTCGACGCATGGTTCAGACGATGCCGTGTTGAGGACGAGGAATGCGGCGACGCGGGAGGCGGGGGCGGGGGCGGAGGCCGAGGCCGAGGCCGAGGCCGAGGCCGAGGCGTCCACGGCCGAGGCGTTAGAGGTGGAGGCGTCCGAGGTGGGTGCGGAGGGCGTGGGGATTGGGGAAGAAGGCGACGACGCCGGGACACACGCAACATGCACGCTCTTCGCCGCGTCCTTGAGCTCCTGCAGAATCACGGCCTCGGTAAAGTTCTCGCCGAGGTACTCGTCCATGTCTTCCTGGGAACACGTGTGCGCAAAGGTCGCGTGGAAGACGCGCGCGCCGATGTCCGCGATAGCGGCGGCGTCGGCGGGGGTCGCGCGCCGTATCACCACGCCTGGGGGGGAGGGGGCGCGCGAGGGCGCCTCGGACGGGCCGAGGTTGGACTGGGCGGCGGAGGTCTGTTGGAGGGCTGGGTTAGGGCGGCCAGGCGGGGGGGCTTACTGGTCATTCGGGAGATGGAGCGAGAGAGACAGAGGGAGACAGTGGGAGACAGTAGGAGAAACGGAAAGACAAAGAGAGACAGAGAAGAGACGTAGCTGTAGCAGGAGCTGGACCAAGTGTGGCGCCGAAAGTCGAGTCAGTCACTGCGGCTTATGGCGGCTCGCGGCCTGGCCCGGTCGGAAAAGGCCGAGGATTGCCATCGTGATCGACGAGTCCAGAACTTCGGCATCGCTTCGAGTCGATATCGCATCAGCAGTCACCTCCCTCCCCCTCAAGCCCTCAAAAGCTACACGATGCATTGTCCATGGGCATCAACACCGCCCACCCCCACCCTCCACCTAGCTACTCTGCAGATACCTCGCGCCCAAACGAGTACAGCTCCTCGATAATGCACAGCACCGAGAGGAACTGCATGAGCAGGGTTTGCCTGATGTCAGCCCGTCCACAGCGCAACTCACGCTCGCTGCGCTTGCGGCGACGCCTGCGTCCATCCCTCCATGAGCTGGATCGCGACGTAGCGGACTGCTGTCAGCAACGGATACTCACCCACTCACCCTTCTGCACCAAACTCGGGCCATTCACAGCCACGCACTCGTGCGGAAGATTGTTCAGCCCGTCGAGCAGGTCGAACGCAATGTCCAGCGGCGTCTCGGCGCTCTGCATCCCCGCCAGCCCCGGTACCGCCTCTGGGGGCATGTTCGTCAGAGTACCAAGTTGGGCGAGAAGCGCCGTGCGCGTCTGCAGCAGAACAAGGCGCACGACCTGGCGCGTGACGAGGATGTTGCCCTGCATCACCTTGAAGCTGTTCACATGGTCCTGTGCCGTCACGTCCGCGAAAAAGTCGCGGATGCGCGCCGTCATATCCGCTTCCCACCCCTGCGCCGGGGAGGCCGCGCGTGAGTCGTGGTCCAGCGAGAAGCGGATACGTAGCGGGCTTGCAACCTTGTTCGTGAAGTCCGAGATGTCATGACTCAAGCGCGCAATCGTGTGCAGGTCGGCGATGATGCCTTCCACCGTGGGCGGCGTGCGTCTCCGCTGGAGCAGCAACGCGTCGTTTAGCACGCGGAAGAGATTGGTGACAATATTAAAACCCGCGATCGTGGGTGTGCGCGTTGGTGGCTGTGGCAGAATACCATTGGCTGTGATCTGCTCGTCGTCGACCTCGGTGGGAAGCCGCAGACCCGGGGCGTCGTCGAGCCGCAGATTGATGGCACGGTTGCGGTTGCATGCCGTGCTCTTGTCGGCCTGGAAGAGGAGCCAGTAAATGCGCCGTCTGATCTCCGACTCGATCGGATTCAAGTCCTCATAACTAGACTCCTCGTTCAGCCTCAGGGCGAGAGCGCACTGGTTCGCCTGCGCCGTCACAATCACGTGTGCAGTGTTGTTTCCCAGAATCAGGTGCACGATGCCCTCAAAGTAGAAGATGACGATGAACTCGGAGCGCATAGGTGATGGCTCGTCCCAGATATATGAGATCTTGTGCCGGGCAACCCGCACACAACGGCGCGCGAGACTTTCCACTTCGTCCTTCTGCAGGTTTACGAGTTTGCGCGGCACCTGCACGAGAGTGGAAGCGAGAACGCAGAGCACTAGTGCAAAGAAAATGGGATCGGTCTTGTCCTTGCGCGCTGCGAGGTCCGCGAGGAACGTCGGCCGGTGTAGACACGGCGTGAGAGGGTAGACGTAGTTGAAGAACAAGTCGATGATATTGTCCACGACCGTTTTGGACGCTACATCGTCGAGATTGTTCGTCGCAAGCATGTCGACGTTGGGGGACGCACCGGCAAGCAGGGGGAATGACGGGGACGGGAGTGGCAGGGGAGGTTGGCTGCTGTCGTGGCTGATCATTGGCTTGACCTCTTCACCTTGGCCGCCGTAGCCGTGCTGCGCATCCGAGATGGCACTTAGGTCCCTAGTTGTTAGTTGCTAGACAACGCGCGTAAACTCACACTGGGGCCGGTCCCTTGCGCCGGGTCACACGCAGGCGGATGCACTCGAGCGCGAAGCGCCGGCATCGGGCGCAGGGGAGCTTGGCAGCGTCGGGGTGGTCGGGAGGTACGAGCGGCGACGGCTCACAGCGGCGCCTGGAGTTAGTCTCTGGGGTTCTTTGCGCCTTTCCTCCTTCATCTGCTCGCCTCCCACCCCGGCCAGCCTTTGTCATCCCTCATTCACGCCGTTCACCCCCAATCCGCCCGAGATACCCACTTGCCCTTCCGACATGTCTCGCAGCCTGGGGTCAGCCTCATACGCTCCCGATCAGTCAGCGACTTGGGCCTACAACTCACTCGTCAACGACCCAGACCTGCGCCCCTCCTCGTCCGGGCTTTGCACGCTTTGGTTCGAGTTGCTGCGCCCAGGCTTGGGGTACGGCCCCGAGCGACGGCGCTCCTCGCCATTGATGGAGGACTCGCCGAGGGCGCCGTTCATGGGAGTGGGATGGAGTAGTCGAACCGAGTTGTGGGGTGGCCTGGCCGGTGAGGCGCGGGCAATAGGGTGGAGGGGGGTGGAGGGGGATGTTGAGGTAAATGCGATTTGAAGCCAGCAAGTGATGGATGGGATGACAAGAAGAGCAGACCAAGACGAGAAGAGGATGAGTAGGAGACGGGAGATGGCGAGCAGACAGTAAATGGAGAGAGAGAGAGAGATTGAAAGGTGAGTGGGATGTCACGAGTCGGATGCGCTCGAGGGGAAGGGGCGGGGGACATTCCGCGTCTGTGCCTTCCCCCCCCCCCCCCCCCCCTGCCCTCGCACCCCTCGATTCCTCATCCTCCCATGCCCCTCCCAATTTCCCAACCTCCGTATCCCTTCTTTCCGCAACTTCCCGCTCATCCATCAATCTTCTTTCAAAGAGAATTGCGATGCACTCCTAGGTACAAGATTGTCGATCATTTGAACCCACTCTCTCTCCCATTCTAGCTTAATAAAGCATATCGAACACGTATGGATCTTGGACCGATCTCGGACCCGGGGCGATGCCGCCCACAGAAAGGGCATCACGTGGTCAGGGGAGCCCAGAGCCGTTTACCCTCCACATTCCGCACCTCCCGAGGACAAAGTGAACGCCAAAATAGACCCGTCCTGACCCACCACTCTGAACGCTGACAGACTTCTTGTTGGGGTCATGTACAAGCATCATCGAGCCGAGATGCAAACTCAACTTGCACTACTCTCGCTGCCAAATAACGTCTAATCTCGCAAGTACTGTGCCCTGGGGTTAGCATGCCCTCTTCCACACAACGAACCAATCGTGAATTCGGTCGAACATCGTAGTCAAATACGACGTCTCACTCAGAAGCGCCTCGAACTGCTTGATCGCATCCTCTTCAGGAAGGTCGAGCATAAACTTCTCCTGCACTTTCCACACGGCCTTGTCCGGCTCTAGTTGGATGTCCTGAATCCCAGCGTCGACCATGAGCGCCACGAGATTCAAAATGAGGTTGGCGTTCTTTCGAAGATTCACAAACGCCGTGTAACATAGGCTTTGAAACCGTGCGTAGTGTGCGCTTGCCTGCCCACCCATCGCGTCGACCATCTCCTTGCACACCTTCACGGGCGGTGGGTACGGCTTTGGGTCGCGGCCGAGGATGTAGCCAAAGTCAACATGGAAAAAGTGCCCGTCAGGAGCCAGCATCAGGTTGTCGAGATGGCGGTCACCAACTCCAAGGATGTACGTCAGCACTGAGTAACCGGCTGACGTTAGCTTCAGGATGAGACCCATCAACTCACCACAACTCCTGATGAAGGTGTCCATGACGCCGCCCTCGATGCCATATGACCCTAATGCACCCACGTCCGGATGGTGCTCCCGCAAGTAGTTTTGCAGGCTACCATGCTCGGCCATGATCGCCGCCAGACTTTTGCTGGGCACAAATTGAATCATTCCCTCCGTCGTCGAAGTGGCTAGGACCGCATAGGGACTCAGGCGCAGGTCGAGATTCTCCTTGCGCAGCAGCCGGTCCATCAGGTTGAACAGTTGGATTACGAGCTGATCTTGCCGCAGATCGTCACCGTTCTTAAAGATAATGGGGTAGTCAGGCGATACAGTTTCGGCATCCGGTTCTTCATCCTGCCCCACAGTCTCGAACCATAGCAGTAGTGGCAGGAGGTTCGACTTGAACACGGACGACTGCTCTGCATTGATCGACGACGCAGTCACGCGCGGATCTAGGGGGAGTGGAAGTGGTGACGGCAAAGGGCAGAGGTTGTGCCGGCTATCGCCAATGTAGGACTTGAGCTTCTCAATCTTGCGCGAGCGTGAATCCTTGGAGCTGCGGATCTCCTTCGCCCGCGCAGAGAGCGCTTCAACCAGGGCTGCTTGTCGTGTAAGCACGTTTTGCAGCGCCAGACCCTCTTCCGTCTGTTGTTAGAACCACGTATGCCTCAAGGCCTACCTCGCCCAACTTCGTTTGTAGTCGGAAGCCGACTTTTGTGAACATCTTTCCGAAGGGAGTGTGGAAGTTGCACTCGATTCCGAGATACCAATGAAACTTGGTGGCAAAGATGGGGTTGGCCACAGCACGATCAATGAGGAACTGCGCAAGTCCGCTGTCGCCGACATCAGTGGCTGATGGCTCATCTCGTCGGCGGGAGCGCTTAGTTGGCACCGGCTCATGCTCAAACTTGAGCGCTTGGACGAGCTGCAGGAGGTAGAGCATGATTTCCTGCATATTAGCGGGCTCAGCATGCGAGCCAAAGCTCACCTCGTCGTCCGCTCGTTTCAACCGCTCGACAGCGAAGGCGCGAACCCTTCGATCTGTGAACCCAGGACCCAGCAGTTCTAGTGCGTCGTCCATGCCCACCTCTTGGCCCCACAATGGCAACAGCTTCTCCGTCGCCTGCTTCGCTTCTACAGGATCCGACCAAGTAACGCATTTAAGGAACTTGGTAAGTGACCGTGGCGAGCGGAACAGGGAGAAACGGAACTTCCACAACAGGTCCTTGTCGTTGGCCGACAATTGCGCGGTAGGGGGCATGCTGAATATTTCCTGGTGTCAGCTGCCATCTTCGTCCTCGTACGCACGTTTAATCGGTCGCGATCGGCAGGTCCGGGTTTGAGGTCTCTCCCCTCGTCGCCCAGGCGTTGCGAACGTAACAGCTTGCGATGCTTGATCTCGACAGGGTTCTCGCGCCAGGCGTCCGGATCGTATAGCCGCCAGAGATGTTTGTCGTTGCTCAGCGAGTCGGGAGGGAGCGCGGGCGTGTGCTGATTTGCCTGTGGTTCGCGAGGCACGGGAGCTGGAGGATAGGGAATAGGACTTTCGTGCTCGCTGTAGACGATGGGGAAGTCGAAACGAGGCAAGTCGATGTAGAGGTATAGATTGTCAGATTGCTTTGCCTCGGCAGCATGTGCGCGCTCGATTTGCCGAAACGCGATGCGGTCAAGCCAGTCAATCTTGGGCACATCACCCCGCTCGTAGTCTTTGACGAGCCGCTCTAAGCGGCCCATCTCATCCTCGGCCGACGAGATTTCACTCGAGGTTGTGGTTTCTGGTGAAGGATCGGCTTCCACACCGCGGTGCACGTAAAGGCGCTGCTGACCACGGCGGAGCGTTCTTACGTTAGCGTGCAAGACCCGTCAGCCCACCTGTCTGGGCGGAACAGCCGCATCGTTGTTCCACCAACCGGCACGGCCTTCCCCGCTCCCTGCACGTCCCAAATCGTGAACGCCAGCTGCGACGTTGGTTGCAAGCTGGGATACGTAATGGGAAGCACAATGCTCTGATTCCAACTATCATCAGCAACTCAAGGCCTAATACGCAACAGCCGCACCTGTACGAGCGCGCAAAGTCCTTCCATGTCGTGCGGAAGGGAAGGCAGTTCGCTTTGCCATCTGTCCACAGTTGTACCGTCACGTAGAGGTCTGTGAGGCCACTGGCGTCAGCGCGCAACAACGGCTTTCTCACTCCTGGTCCGTTCCAGAGTGCCGCAGGTCCTCGTCTTCCAAGATGTCGGTGAACGAGTGCTTCTGTACCCTTCCCTCGAGGGAGACACTGCTGTAAGCTCCTTCAACGCAGTAGCTACATTTTGATGGCAATATGCAAGCTGAGGTCGCTTAGTTTAGCAAATGAGAGATCCTTGTCCCTCGACGGATCTTGCATGATGGTCATGCCATGGGTGAGTGATGAGGAGTGATGGAGTGAGCGGTGAATGTTGACGCTGACGTCGGAGTGGAGGTTGGGTGGCAACTCGCGGCTCGGTGATCTGTATCATAATTCTGACGTGGCTTTCTGCCGGCGTGTGGACCTCCACTCAAAAGTTGAAGACGTCGTATTTGGCTCTGGTCAGATCACATACACCCACACCATGGCCCCCTCCCAACTCGCGCAGCTTAAGGCTGCGCTCTCAACGAGCGGGCTCAACCGCAAGACCCAGTCGAAGAAATCCAAGAAGTCTGGCGGCAAGAAGGGCGGCGCGCAGGATGTCGACCGCGCGAAGAAGATGGCCAAGCTTGATGAAATCCGCGCGCGGTTCAACAAGTTTGACGAGCGTGAGACGCGCACCAAGCACGATGTTGGTGGGCGTAATCTCAAGGGTGTGACTGGGCGACCCACTGCTGCTCGCTCTGCGGGCCTGGAACAGGTGAGCTCAAGCGAGTCATACACAACTGACGGTAGCGCCGTCAGACCCTGCTTGGCGAGCACCACCTCCGCGATCACCGCGGCTCGTTCCGCGACCGCCGGTTCGGTGAGAATGACCCAAGCATGTCACTTGAGGACCGGATGCTCGAGCGATACACGCGCGAGCGTCAGCGCGGACAGGGCAAGAAGGGCATGTTCAACCTCGAGGACGACGAGGGCTTTGACGACGAGGATGGGTTCGCCTTGGGCCTGACACACGGCGGGCGTAGCGTCATGGACCTCCCAGGCGACGACTTTGAAATGATGGGTATGGGAGAGGAGGACGAGTTCAGCGGTGCGATCAGCAGGCAACGGGTGGCAAGGGAACACTTTGGCGGGTTCCGCGACGAGGACGAGGAGGAAGGAGAGGTGAGTCGCCGCATAGTCGTTGAGAACCATGTTTGGGTGACGGGACTAGTGCAGGATAGAGCTAATCTCTCCAGGAGCGCAAGAAGACGAAGCATGAGGTCATGTCCGAGATTATCGCCAAGAGCAAGGAATACAAGATTGAACGGCAGAAGATGCGTGATGAGGACGAGGAAATTCGGGCTGAGCTCGACGACGGGCTTGACGAGCTGCGCGAGCTGCTGGCTGGCAGTGTTCCCACCAAGCCGGCAGTACAGTTGCCCGGTGTGGAGCGCGCTGCCCCGATTCCCGACCAGAATGACGACAAGGACTACGACCAGTTTGTTCGCTCCCTTGCATTCGAGGCACGCGCGAAGCCGAAGGACCGCACGAAGACAGAGGAAGAGGAGGCAGCAGACGAGGTCGCACGCCTACAGGAGGCTGAAGCGAAGCGGCTGCGCCGGATGCGTGGGGAGGATTCCGATGACGACGAGGAGGGCGGAGGCGGGAAGCGGCGCAAGAAGGACCGTGCGCCGGACGCCGACGACCTCGGTGACGACTTCATGGGCGAGGTCGACGAGGAGGGGAATCTTCTGCTGGGCGAGGGTCTCACGCGAAAGGCGATGGAGGAGATGGCCCCAAAGGACGAGAGCGGGGAGGAGGACGGAAGTGAAGGGGAGAGCGACGAGGGCGAGTCCGGCGAGGACGAGGACGTGGACGGCGATGACGACGACGACGACGACGACGACGACGAAGATGACGACGAAGATGACGAGCTCGAGGACCTGGAAAGCGACGACGCCTCATCGGACGACGAGGTGCCGCAGCTCGTGCCCGTCAAGAAGAAGCGCAAGGCCGTCACCTCCGAGATTCCTTTCACCTTTCCGTGTCCGGCGACACTCCAGGAGTTTGAGGAGATCGTGGAGCCGCTGGCGGAGTCGGCGCTCCCCACAGTGGTTCAGCGCATCAGGGCGCTGCACCACCCCTCCCTTGCGCAGGGAAACAAGGAGAAGCTACAGGCTTTTCTCGGCGTCCTGCTGGACTTTATGCTCGTTCTTGCGTCCGAAGACCGCTTCGAGTCCATTACAGCGCTGGGACCACACTTCGCGGCTCTAGTCAAGCTGAACCCTCTCACCGCCTCCTCGCATTTCATCGCCAAGCTGGCGCTCATGCAGAAGAACCTCACACGTGGGTTGGCGCGCGGCGCGTCCAACCCGACTTCGAAGACCATGCCCGGCGCGCCAGAGCTGACGCTCCTCCGTCTTGTCGGGGCCACATGGTCCACCTCCGACTTCTCCCACCCGGTCGTACAGCCCGCCATGCTCCTCATGGGCCAGTACCTCTCGCAGAGCCGGATCCGCTCCACAGCGGACCTTGCGTCGGGGCTCTTCCTCGTCTCCCTCATTGCGCAGTACGAAGGCGAGAGCCGGCGCCTCGTGCCCGAAGCCGTCAACTTCCTCGCCTCGACGATCCTGGCCCTGCTGAAGCGGAAGAAGGATGCACGCACCGTGCGCGCATTCCCGAACCTCGTCGCCGCTGAGCTGCACCTCGGTGCAGGCGTTGCACCGCACCACCCCGTCAACCTCCTCTCGGCGCGTACAGACGGGGAGCAGGCGCGCTCCAACCTCCTCGCCGTGTCGCTGCGATTAATCCAGTCGTACGGGACGCTCTACGCGTCTCTCGACGCCTTTGCCGAGCTCTTCTCTCCGCTCGCCTCGGTCCTCTCCTCCTCGCGCATCAAGCTGTGTCCCGAGCTCAAGGCGCTCTTCACCCAGACCTCGGCGCAGCTCGAGAACCAGCTGCGCCTGGCCATGTCCTCGCGCGCACCCCTCGCTCTGCAGGACCACAAGCCGATCCCGATCGCGTCGTACGCGCCCAAGTTCGAGTCCGACTTTGCGCCAGGGCGGCACTACGACCCGGACGTGGAGCGGAATGCGGCGGCCAAGCTGCGCGCAGAGTACAAGAAGGAGCGCAAGGGCGCGATCCGCGAGCTGCGCAAGGACAACCGCTTCCTTGCGGCGGAGCGGGCGCGCGAGCAGGCCAAGAAGGACGACGAGTACAATGCCAAGATGCGCAAGGCGCACGGAAGCCTCAATGCCGAGCGCGCGGAGGAGAAGGAGATGGAGCGGGAGAAGCGGCGCGAAAAGCGCCGCAGGGGCAACTAGACGGCCACATAGACATCGCTGTACATGCATATTTTCACGAGGCGAGGTGTGGGATGATGGGATGACAGGCGCACATCTCTCACTCCTACCATGACCAAATCGAGGCAGAGACAGCATGGGCCCCTCCCTGTCGGTGTCGGTGCCAGTCTGGGGTGGCTCGTGAAGGTCATTCTGAGACCACAGTGATGGCGCTCACAGAGCTGCCCTTGGCATTCACCACATAGAATGCAAAACTTCTGACCAACATTTCGCTTCAGTCGCTCCTTTGCTTGCCCCTCCGGCCCCTTCAGCACCGCTCCTCATGTCTCTCCGTAGTCCACCAGCGACGGGCGGCTGTGGGAAGGAGTACCACCCTCGCTCCCCGATGTCCCACCACGCGCGACACCTCCTGTGGCCTTTGCACCCAAGGAACGAACAGTCCTCGAGAGTGACTGACTGCGTTCCCCTCGCACTATCCAGCTACACGTCATCCACTCAGGAGTACATCAGCTGTTCCGCCGGACATTGTCGCCGCGCACGCCGCTGCCGCGCGACCCCGATCCGAAGGGGGACCGCGGCTCTGGCGGGCTGGCCGGGTCGTGCGCGAACCGCTCGAGATCCTCGATGCTGACGTCGCGCAGCGTGTCGAGCGCCGTGGCCGCGAGGTCGACGCTGGTGTGAGTGGCCGCGACGCGGATAGATGGCCCGAGCGGGGGATGCAAAAGATGGAGGAGTGGAGGATTGAACTCCAGGCCTTCTCAAGTTCGGTGCAAATGAGACGCTCTGCCACTGAGCTACACCCCCGCGGCGACGGCAGGGGCGTGCTCAGCAAGGCGTAGCAGACGGAAGGAGCAGATGGGACTGGGCGATGAGAGCTGGAAGAACGTACCGCGGGACAACATGTCCTCCGAGCGTTTCGGACGCGACCAACGCCTCTTTCCATCTTCATCAGCGTGTTCGGAGACGACGCACCGCTCAACACAGAGACACCACTTGCATCCCTCCGAGAGCCCGCGGAACCCGGGGCGGCGGGACGAGAGGTCGTTGCCTGGCGTCAGACTCGGCACTGCGCCTCGCCGGCCACCGTCGTCGCTCGTCGTCGCTCGTCATCGCCGTCGCCCATTGCCCCCGGGCCCGTCGCCATCCCCGTCGCCATCCTGGCCGCCGCCCCCCCTCGGCCTTCACCCACTCACCCCGGCTCTTGCTGAACTCCAAAAACGCCTTGGACACCACCGCGCCGACGTAGTGCCGCCCCGGATCGTCGGGCGAGCCCCAGCAGTATCCGTCGCGGAAGAAGCCTGTGGGGTGGGACGCATCCCCGGGGCGCGTGAGGGGTTGGAGCGGGCCGTGGAGGACTGGTATGAGGCGTGTCGTGGGCGGGACTCACCACTCATCCGCGCCGTTTCGAGGACCATCGTGCTGGCGTTGCGTGTGAGGAGGCGGGACATGGCGAGTGTGAGAATGGTGGGTTGCTGTGATGGTCAGGTGTGGATGACGTCGGCACCTTATTTGGTTCCCAACTTGTATCAAGTTGGCCGCGTACTTTGCTCGCTCAAGCCGCTCATGATGCATGCACCCCTCAACTACGATACCCTACGTAATGCGCCTCGCCTATGCAGTCTTCACAATCGCAGCCTCAGCCGCCGCACACGCATCCACCAGCCTACCCAGCACCATCTCCGCGTCGCCCTCGGCCTCTGCTGCCCAGCTCTTCGCTTTGGCCGCCACCGGCGCCAGCCACAGGTTCCGGAGGCCGGTCAGGCGCGTCAGGTCCCCGAACCCGCTCTTGTTCTCCCCGTCCACCTTGAGTATGAACCACACGAGGTTGGCGCTCTCAGCGAGCCAGACCGGCCAGAACGTTTCCAGTACTTTCGGCAGACTCAGCTCCAGCGGCGAATCCACTTGTGGGAGGCGGTAGAGGAGGGGCGTGAGGGTCTGGGTGAGGGCCGGGCAGAGGAGAGATGGGGTGGTGGCGAGCGATTCGCGCAGTAGAGAGAGCGCGAGTACTCGGATGTTGTCGAAGGGGTTGATGGGCTCGAGAATCTGTCGTTAGCTTGCCCACAAACATCTGAGAGAAGTGAAGGGTTGAACACACCTGTTCGTACAGCTTGATTTGATGCAGTGGCGACTTGACGGCGGCAATCAGTGCGCCTAGTAATTTGCTGAGAGCCAGCCGCGTGTTCGGGCTCTGGTGGAGCTGGATTAGAGGCATGATGTGCTGAGGTTAGCTCAAACTGGGTTCGAGTCGGACTACTCACCTCGAGCAAGAATGTGACCTGGTCATACTCGACAACGACGCCAGCGCGCACAAGCGCCCACAACAACGCTGTTCCAGCATCAACAGCACTCCCATTCAAGCAGATGTTGATGACGGGCATGGCGTCCTCCAGTGTGCTCGCGGGGAACGCGGTGCCGGGATTGGAGGCGAGGAGGAGGAGGGACGCGATGGAGGACTGTGGGCGCACAGCCGAGCTACTCCTGATCCGCTCGACGAGTCCCGCACGGTCGATGCCAAGCGCGGCGCACGACGACGCAGCCGCGTCCAGCGCGGCTTGGCCGCCCTCCCACCCCTCCTCTTCGTGCAGCGCAAACCTTGGGTTCGCCACGAGGAACTGGCGCGGCGTGAGTTCCGCGCACACGTTGGGCCCAAACACCATGACGGCGTGGTGCAGGATGTCGGTTAGCACGGCATTCTGCTCGCCGCCCTTGTCCTCTGTCCCAGCTTGCCACTTCCACGCCGCGTCGACGAGCGTGGACGAGCGCAGAAGAATGGAGCGGGACAAGTCGACGGCAATGCTCGGCGGCGCACTGCCCGGAACAGCTTTGATGAGGGGCACAAGCACGTCCTGCATAGCCAAGAGGGTCGGCGTGCTCCGCTTCACCGTGAGGCGCGGGACGGCGGCGGCGTACATGTCCAGCATGGCTTCGAGCTGTGGCTGCGCCGACGCCCAGTTGATTTCGTCGTCGTCGTCGCTCTCCCCATCACTAACGGCGTAGGGATCGGCCAGCTCCGTGATTTCGGCCAGCGCCAAATTCAGGGCGAGCACGACTTCGCGCGCGTCGCCGTGCTGGGCTAGGAGGTTGAGGAACTCTCGCGCCAACGGCTGCTCAGGAATGAGGGGGAGGAAGGGGGGGATGGTGGTCAGCGAGGCGTCGTGCAGCACTGCCAAGCGCCCTTTGTCCGCTGCGTCGCCGACGGGCTTGAGGACATCGAGCACGGCTTCGAGGAAGGCCTCGCGCATCACGGGGTCGCGCGAAGTCAGGAGGGCGGCGGAGAAGCTATCCAGCACAGCGGAGAGCTGCACCGGTTCTGTGATCAGCGGCCGGCGTCTAGCAGCGTACGAACCGTCGCCTTCGCCCGCCGTAAGGACTATGTCTCCGAGCGACTTTGTTACGTGCGCGAGGTCGGCCATGCTGGGGGCCTGGAGGAGTGAACGGAGCGTCAGAAGCCTCGACGTGTCTCGCGTTTCGGGACCACCTCCACCGCCGTAACGGCGGGCCGAATAATTCACTCGATCACAACAACAACTGTGCTGTCGTCCTCCCTTCGTCTTTGCTTGCGGCCCACCATGACCCATCCCCTCCGGCGCATCTCCACCGGCTCGCTCTCCTCTCTCGCGCGGTCGCAGTCCCAAGCCTCCCCGTCGGGGCTGGACTGGCTCGAGCCGGCTCTCACCGACCTGGCCGACGAAGCGTCTACCCTCGCAGCGAACATCGCGCGCATGAACGAGATGCACGACGCGCTCGAACACTTCAACGAGGGCTTTGCGGCGTACTTGTACGCGCTGAAGATTAACGCGTTCTGCGTCGAGTGGAATGAGGCGCCAGATGCGAACAGCTGGAGAAGGCTAGAGGAGCTGAGCGGTGAGCGTTGCGATGAAGGTCGCGGACGAGCAGTGGCTGACGCTAGTCCCCGAACCTCCACCTGCACCCAGGCCAGAACCGAGTAGAGAGCTCGCGTCCAGCACCCGCTCGCACCCCACTTCGCCGAATGGCGGGGATACGACGTACGCGACGATATATGCGCACTCGCCGGAACCGCGCGCTCCCGCCCGAGGCGGGTTGCGTGGGCGGGGCAGCGCTAGGGGGCGGGGCACGCGAGGGGCGGCGCCAACAGCGGCGGAGCGCCGGGCCGCGATGGGCGCGAAGAAGCGGCGCGAGGTCGAGATCTCTAAAATTATCGACACACAGCTGCCGCTCGAGTACCGCGGAGGCGATGCGGTGCGTCCATGTCGAAGATATGGTAGCGTGCTGACGTCAGGATTTGCGGCTGGTGATGGAGCAGGTTATTGACAAGCTTATGGAGGCGGAGGTGGGGTTGGCTAGTGAGTTTGGGCGGCCACAGCTGGGTCTGCGTGGAGGAGAGAATGACGGGGATAGGCCAGGAGGTGGCTCACGGCAGTCGGCGCAATTGTTGGGCAACCCCCACTTCTGCACTCTCGCGTAAACAAGGCGCTCATTGCGCTCGTGGCGAAGAAGCTTGTGACCAAGACGAGCGACAAGGTATGTACGCAGTGAGGCGCGGCTGACGGCAGGGCAAGACGATATACGCTTGGGAAGGGTAGAGCGAGATGTGGCACAGCATGCACGGCGCGGAATGCGGGTCAGCGTCTGCTGCCTCTACGTGGGCTAGGTGACTTGGCATCAGAGTCTAGGAATGCTAGAGCTAGAGGCAGTGGTTGTGGGGCCGAAGACTGACCGGCTCCGCTCGCAGCCACTCGGTCCTAAGGCGATGTTGAGCGCTCACGCTGCTCGGACGAAGAACGGCAAACGTGGCTTGGCGCGCAATGTTGTGATGTGCGCCAAGCCAGGCAGAATCGGCGCCTCTTCTGCACGTCGTTGCACTGAATATGCAGCAGTAATGTTGGAAAGTCGAGCAGAGACATGGTGAAGAAGATGTAAACGAGCAGACTCAATACGCGTCGCGTGCTGCATCGACGACTACTGTAGAGGTAGAGTGCATGTGCGGCATGAGCGGCAACAGCGGCAAGCAGCAGCAGCCAAGCGTCGAGCGTCGAGCGTCGAGCGGAAGCAGAGAGGGGGGGCGCGCGTCACCAGCGCGTCTTGATTGGTCCCTGGTGCGTGCGACGCCCTGGCGATCGAGGTGGAGGTGGCACCCAAAAGATTAAAGGGGAGGGTGGAATAAGCAACGTGCGTCACCCACCGACCGTGTGTCTGCTGGCCCTCTTTGAGCCGCGAGCCGCGATCACCGTCAGGGTCAAGGCCGAGTTGGGAGCGCGGCTCTTGAGCTCGTCGCAGTCGGCCACAACGCCGACAACAACTTTGATCCTCCTCTCTACTCTTTCAACATCTGCATCTCTACTCCATTCCACATCTCATCTATAGCTACATAGACACTCTACACGCCCACACACACACGACTCTCACGCCCATCACGTCGTTACTTTGGCTCGAGGTCTCGCATCCCTCCACCGCCTTCGTGACACCCATTCAGATCCATATCGCGCGTCGCTGCCCTCTCCTCACACAGCTCAGCTCACCGAGCTCACGCATCTTCACCACGTTGCACGCCCTCCCCCCAACTCCTCCTCCTTGACCCACTTTCGCCCCTCCCCTCAGCTCCTGCACTTGCCTTCTCGCGGCTAGCTCCCTCGCTCCGCTCGCCCCGACCACCCCCATCCCCCGTACCCCCCACACCACACCCCCCGCCATGCCCTCAGGCTCTTTCTCGACAAAAGACTACGCGCCCCTCGCGGACGAGGTCAATCCTCCGTTTGGAAGAGTCGCGCCCGCCCCAATCTCGCGCAACGGTACGATCGTGTACTCGAAACGGTCCAGCGCATCTGGCTCTGACACCTCGTTCAGCAGCTACGACAGAAAGGGCAAGGGGCGCGCATACGATGACGACGGCGATATCGGGAGCCGCAGCGCACACCATGCTGCGGGATCCAGCAACTCTTGGCAAGGCGGGGGGCCATACTCTCAAGGACGGTATGACGCTGCAGAAGAGCCAAGCTACCCTCCACTCAACGAGACGGAAGAAGAGGAGAAGCGAATCCAAGCTGTGCGTTGCCGCCAACATTTTCATGCCGGCCTGCCGGAAGGCATGCATGCTCACGCCAGAACCTCGCCAAGTTTGCTGCGCGAGACAGTGCGCGCCGCAAAGCCGCACGCGTGAGCAGGATCGGTAGCTCGCCGTCCAACTCTCGCCCAAACTCGATCACGAGCACCTCGTCGTCGTCGCATCGCAGCCAGCCCATGAGTCCGATGAGTCCGCTCTCGCCCATCTCAGAAGGCAAACGCACCAGTCTCCTTGGCCTGAGCCGCAGCAGCAGCAGCAACAAAGGCAAGGAGCGCGAAGCCGAGGTGAGTAGCCCCGCACCCACACACTTGCACGCGCACCTGAATCTGACGCCACAGCCGCTCGCACAGACGGACGCCCAGCGCACCCATGCCCACGCGGACGCCAACGTGAACCCGTACGCACCGTCGATGCATAGTTCGAGCCCGTTCGCCGACCCTGTCGACCTGCCGCCGACACCGACGGATGCGGACGGATATGTCGGGCCGCGATGGCGCGGCGGGGCGGCCGCGACAGAGGCGCCGGCGCCGCGCAAGGAGCGTTGGTGGCACAGCTTGTGCGCGTGGGGCGCTGACCTTGATGGAGGGGACAGCAACCAGGCAGGCCGGACGAACCCGATGGAGTAGGGGTGGGGTAGCATGGGCATGGGTAGGTAGAGATAGAGTTGATGTTGATTTGTACACGCATGGCTAGATGTGGATCATGTCCAGATGACAACTGGAGAGACAAGAGTCGTCGAGGAGCATCATGGACCACGGAGCGTACGGAGGGATCAGTAGATCGGATGAGATAGCGGCTAAACGGTCTCTGGCATTACGGCTCAATTGGCGTCGAGTGGTGGAGAGCGCATGCATCAAGGAGCAAGGAGACTGGCGTGCAAGCGACGACAGGGGCAGGACGGAGCTCCATGGCGCAACGCAACGCCTCGACGCACCCTCACCAGCAACCACCGCCACGACGTAGATGCATGCATTCAAGTAAGAAGAATGCATGCATGCAGCATGTACAGGATGGGCGATGAAGCGAAAGCACAGATTAAACGTAGGGTGGTGAGTGTGCCACGGGAGGAAACGCCGTATAGGCCCGAGGGGTTGGCCACCGTACAGCATTCCCACTCACCCAACTCTCGCCCCTTCCTTCCCCGCTCCTCCCCCCTCGTCCCCCCTCGTGCCGTGCCACCCACCCTCAAGAGTCCTCGGCGCGTCTCCTCCGTCCCGCCTCATCATCCACACGTCCAACAACAACAACAACAACAACAATACCTTTCTCCTCATCATCCCCAGTCTCCTCAACGGTAATCAGTATCCATCGCCATCTCCTCCTCCCCCGTCTCCTCGCGCATCCCTCGCCCACGCCACCGTTATCACCCGCGGCCTTCTCCTTCAACTCGCCTCCCAACAATCAACAATCAAAACCCCCAAGCGCATCCACCTCGACGAGCCACCAGCAGTCATCAAACTCCAACGCCTAGCGGCAGTCGCGTCAATCCGCGTCCATCCACAAACATCGCCAGCAACAGCGATACTCCATTCATCCTTGATCACCCCGCGGACAATCATCATTCGCAAGCACCAAGCACCCACCCCCAGCTGCTTCACCAAGCATCCATCCCGTCCCATCCCCTCAATTCACCTAACCATACCTACTCGCACGCGACCTTCATAGCCTCATCAGGCCCCGCCTCATCATGGTCCGCGAGACACGAGGCTCGGCTGCGCGTGAGGCTGCGTCGCGTGAGTCCCCGCCACTCATCCATCCACTCACACCAGACCCCAACCCTTCCCCCGACTCTGGGAGCAAGCGCAAACGGCGCAGCTCTGAGGCGTCATCATCTGCAGTTCCCAACGGCGAAACGCCAGAAAACAAGCGCGTGCGCACAAATGGCAAGGCCGAGACAATCAAGGAGGAGTCCGAATCCGCGTCCTCTGGCCGGCTGTTGACAAAAGACATCCGCGAGGCCGTCGCGTTGATCCTCTCCCAGTATGTCTACAACGCATCCTCGCCCTGACGCGCGCAGAATGGCCTCGGGCCTCCCATTTCCCATCAATGGCATCCTCTCTTTGGCCCTGCCTCCCGACTTCTCGAATGCAGAGGAGAACACGCTCGGATGGCTTCTCCGCCAGGAGTCGCTTACGTGGGAGAAGCTGGTGGTGAGTGGCGCCGTTTCTTTCCTCAACTCACAACAGTCCATATTCCATCTCTTCGCCGGCCACCTCCTTATGCCAGCTTCCTACCCCAACCCCATCCCCTCGCTTGATCGATTCCACCTCCCTGTTCCCCCTCTACCCTCCCACTTCGCGCCCATGAACGTGTACACATTTTGCCGCGGGCTGTACGCCCTCCTCCTCCAGGTCGAGGAGCAGATTGGCGGGACACCTCCCGACGTCAAGCCCACCGAGCGCTGGGCGCTCATGCAAAAGACACCAGGTCACGGGCTTGGAACATCCGGAGGCGACTGGTTTACCGCTGCCGCGGACCTACGCGAGGTCGAGGCCGCACGCAAGCGTATGGGCGTCAAGAACGGTGAGACATTACTGTCAAAACTCGCCGCTGGCGAGAAGAAGTTCGGCGCCGCCCAGCCGCTCGTCGTTCAGGCAACCGAGCCGCTCGGAAAAGGCAAGGGCAAGGTGCCGACTCTGTCCGAGTCCCTTATACGTCGCGCAAGTCTCAAGGCGCAGCGGTGGAAGGAGAGTTACGCCGCGAGGCGGAGGAGCGGGTTTGGCAGCATTCTTCATGAAGTGACGGCCATCCCGCAGAGCACTGGATGGACGCCGACATTTGGCCCAAGCTACGAATCGACCAACGCCCAGGGCCTCGGTTACTTCTCGACCCTCAGCCTCATGCACGAGCGCCGCCGGAAACACCTCCACCAGGAAGTCACCGCCAAGGTACTTTCTGTCGCCGAGGATGACGGGTGGTACGGCACTCTGCCGGCGGAGGAGAAGGAGAGCAAGTCTGCAGACGTCGAGATGAAGGAAAACATCAACGGCGACGGCGACAAGGAGGTTGCTGCCAAGACGGATGTTGACGCCATCCTTGCCACAAACGCCAAGTGTATCGAGGAACTGCAAGAGTGGCAACAGGTGCGCGTGGCTCGTGGTGATCCCGAATGGGTGTCGGAGCGTGAGGGCGCCATCGCCGATGTGGTGTTTGGATCGCTTGTCAAGTTGGTCGAGGACGCGTCTCTTCCTCCATCGGCCCTACTCCCCGACTGGAAGGTGGACGCGGATCAGACCGACGCCGAGAAGAAGGAGTCGGACAAGAAGTCATTGGGGCTCGCGCACAAGCTCGCTCGCCGGCTGATCGCCAACCGTGCTCCCATCATGCGCGGTACACTCGACCCCCGCCGTCCCCAGGCGCTACACGACAACGTCACGCTTCGTCTTCGCGCGCAGGCCCAGGCGGCCATCACTGCTCCCGCGTCACATGGAGTTAACGGCGCGCCTCACGCCCCACCACCAAAGGCGTCTCCGGGCACACCAGGCTTCATGCCACCTCCATCGTCGACTATCCGCGAACCGCCGCCCCACACAATGCCAAACAACATCAACATGCGCTACTACCCGCAGCAGCAGGGCCGCGCACCTTATCCCTCTCCCCAGCAGCAGGTGCAAAAGTCGCCGCACCAACCGCACCAGCCGCTCACGCCACAACAGCACCACCAGGCGCTTCCTCAGCACCAGGGAATGCAGCATCCTGGCATGCAGCAGCACCACGCGATGCAGCAGCAGATGCAGGCTCAGCAGGCGATGCAGATGGGGCTACAGCACGGACAACACCAGATGCCGATGGTACCCGGCGGCTCGCCCGCGCACCCTCATGTGCGCCAAATGATGGGCATGATGCCACAGGGCGTCCCGCAAGGTGTCCCTCAAGGCGGCATGCCGGGTGGTATGCAGATGCCGCAGCAGTTTGCGCACGGATCGCCCCAGCAGCAGATGTTCCGACCACAGGGCGGCATGATGCACCCACAGCAGCAGCAGATGCAGCAACAGCACATGCAGCAACAGCAACAGCAACAGCAAATGCAGCAACAGCAACAGCAAATGCAGCAACAGCAACAGCAGCAGATGCAACAGCAACAGCAAATGCAGCAGCAGCAGCAGCAGCAGCAGCAGCAGCAACAGTTCCGGCCCATGCCTGGGATGAACTCGCCGTCTCCGGGCGGCATGGGATACCCACAGCAGCGCATGATGTCGGTTCCTTCGAGTCTGCGGCAGCCATACGGCATGCCTGGAACGCCAGGTCCGGGCACGCCTGGCACGCCCGGCAGCATGGGCACGCCAGGCGGCATGGGCACCGCGGGCATGCCCATGCAGATGTACCAGCCAGGGTACGGGAGTCCGATGCCCGTGCGCGTCGGCATGCCTGGGGTGAACAATGCCGTGCCCATGATGGGGCAGATGCAGGTCATGCCTGGGCAGCAGGTGATGCACCGGTAACAGGTTAGAGGAGGGCGAGTCGGCAGTGTCCCCCCACGCATGTGGGCATGTGGCGACTTGGGGGGAGACGTCTATCGAGCGAGCAGCATGGCCGCGCCCGCCACCAGGCCAAGAAGGGCAGCATCCGCAGATATGACCGCGCCGCGATCCCCCCGCAGCAAATGGCGACGATGAGACTAGCAGTTATGTTATATTGGGTATATGCAGCGACTGAGAGCGCATGGGGGTGGGTGCAGTAAACGGTCAAGTTGATGCGGCAGGAAGACGCCACGTGAATTGTCACGTGACATACACGTGGGCGATGATGCGTTGCGCTTGCGCGTACCGCACAACGTCAACTTGAACACTCGTCGCGTCTGACATCGTATCCTATACCTCAAACATCATGGACGGCATCACCAACGTCCCCATTGCACACCTCAAGAAGGGCGAGGTTAACCTCGGTGTGAGTTGAGTTGGTGCAGCGACAGGCAGCGACGGAACTCGGCGGGTGAAGAACTCGCTAATTCCAGACCTCGATCATGGCAGTGCAGTTCGACGGCGGCGTGGTTATTGGCGCCGACACGCGGACGACGACGGGGTCGTATATTGTGAGTTGGCCAGACCTCCATCATCGGCATAAACTCTTCCCAGTAGAATGTCTCGGGCGCCGTTTTCATCCCCACTCGTCTCCCCCTCTACCCCGCCATTCTCCTTCCCCTCCTCCCTCCCTCCCCCTCCTCTTGACCCAGCACCTCCCCAGTACACCCCCCTGACCCCAGGCAAACCGCGTCACAGACAAACTCACGCACATCCACGACCGGATCTACTGCTGCCGCTCGGGCAGTGCGGCGGACACGCAGGCCGTCGCGGACATTGTGCACCACCACGCACAAGTCTACACGTCGGTGTACGGCGGCGCGCCGAGCGTTGCGACCGTCGCTGCGCTCTTCGAGAAGCTTTGCTACGAGAACAAGGACCAGCTGAGCGCCGGCATCATCGTCGCGGGCTGGGACGAGGAGAAGGGCGGGAGCGTGTACAATATTCCCCTTGGCGGCGGGATCTTCCAACAGCCGTGGGCTATTGGTGGTGAGTTTGGATGGGGATGGTTGGCGTTGAGTGGAGGCCAAGGAGTTGGGTCGCGGAAAGCAGGCCAGTGGGCGGTAGATCTCCTGTTGGCAGCTCGGCATAGGTAGTCGAGCCTCACCCGCAACCCTTGTCCAGCCCTCGCTTTCACATCCCCTCGCACCCAACGCATCGTGCTCACCCCAGGCTCCGGCTCCACCTACGTTTACGGCTACTGCGACGCGACCTACCGCGAGGGCTGGGGGGAAGAGGAGACTGTCAACTTTGTCAAGAACACTCTCGCCCTCGCCATGTCGCGTGACGGCTCGTCTGGCGGCTGCATCCGCATGTGCGTGATCAAAGACTCTGGCGTTCGTCGCATCTTCGTGCCCGGGAACGAGCTGCCACGCTTCTGGGAGGGCAAGGAGGTCCTGGGCTCGAGTGCTGGCGCGACGGCGTCGGTGCCAGGCGTTGTTGCGGCGTAACGAGCGCCGCAAGCGAGCATACAGATGAGCCCAGGGCATAGAAGTGTAATGATAGATGCAGACGCTATTTTCAGACCGGGTTGGTGCTGAGACATGGTGGGGTCCTACTGTCTCCCGACCATGGCTGATCGCGCTGAAGTGGGCTCGAGGAGGCCGAGAATGTTTGATGCATGGTTGATGACATGAACGAGGTGTGGGGTCGAAAAGAGGGAGACGTGGGGGGAGTAGAGGGGGGCTACGGTGACTGTCCTGGTTGCCCGGTGCCTTCTCTACCTCCACCCTGCGATTCATTCATCCCGTACGCCATCGCCCATCCTTGCTCGGCGTCGTCCATCTTCCATCTCTCTTTCTCTCCATTCTCCTCCATCCTCGTCTCCATCCTCCTCCTTCCATTGCCTACGACCTCGTCGTCATTCTCTTTCTCTCGGCGTCGAGCGCACACACCCGCCACCCCCTCGCGCCGCTCTCTCCACTCCCATCCAGACCCTGACTTGGCAACAACACGACTACTGACAACTTGCCGTCGCATCGCAGTCGCCCAGCTGCCAGCTCGTGCAAGGCGTCGCCCATCGGTCACTTAATCAACGTCCAGCACCCCGTCGACGGTGTGAGTCATACATCCCGAGGTCCGCCGGAAGACACCGCGGAGATACGCGAGATAACAACGCTCTCGGCATCGCGTACCTCTTCCCTTCCATCGGCCCCGTCTCCACCTCCATCCTCCTCCACCTTTGAGCATCACTCATCAGCAGCCCTCATCCGTTGCCTCGAATTCTACATCACACCGCGCCTCCTCACACCTCTGCCCCCTCTAGTCGCCCCCCTTTCGCACGCCAGGAGAACGCCCACCCCTTCCCCTTCCCCGCCTACGCCCCCACCCCCGTTCCCGCCTCGCCCGGGTGTGCCGGCGTTCCTCGCGTCCGCCACCGCCACTTCTAACACGACAAGTCTTGCTTCTGCAGCGGCGAGCACGGACAAAAGCTACTGGCTGGCTGCACTCTATCACTATCACTCATCATCTCCGCACCTACACTGTGCGGAGTTTGTTGTTCGATCCACTGTTCGACATCCCCGACAACATTTTACTGCCGCCATGGGCGCGGGGTGTTGCAAGCCCGAGGTGAGTGCGGTCCATCGTCGGCGGACCGAAGCGCGTAAGAGGGATGCAGATCACTCTTTTGCGTGTTAGCTGGCCGGCTGAACATCCACCACGGAGTCGGTGACTGCCCCGGTCGCATGACGGCTACATGCGGCGCTCATACGCGCGCTAACGCCAGGCAATCGACTTCGATGCAGAGGTCAATCTCTTCCACTTCTACCTGCTCCGCAGTGTCGGAAAAGGCGCCTTTGGCAAGGTGGGTTGCATCACTCCTTTCTCACCTCCTTCAGCTTCGTCCCTCGCCTCCCTCTGCGCCCTCGCCCTCCGCCCCTCCTCCTCTTGCATCTCCCGGTTTGCTACATATTCGCCCCAATCTCGCTTGCATTGCCTCGGCTTGCTCACACCCAGGTCCGCGTCGTCCAGCACAAGCAGAGCAAAACACTCTACGCCCTCAAGTACATTAACAAGGCAAAATGCGTCAAGATGAAAGCCGTGGCCAATATTGTCCAAGAACGGCGACTGCTTGAAGAGGTGGGACGCCAATCGACCACAACTGACGCCAGATTGACCATCCTTTTGTGGTCAACCTCCGCTACGCATTCCAGGATGACGAAAACTGCTTTTTTGTCCTCGACTTGATGTTGGGAGGCGACCTGCGCTTCCACCTTGACCGCGCCGGACATATGGCAGAGGACGTCGTGCGCTTCTTTGTTGCTGAGATCGCAATGGCGGTCGACTACCTGCACTCGAAGCGCATCGTACATCGGGATTTGAAACCGGACAATATCCTACTTGACGAACGCGGCCACGCGCACATCACAGACTTCAACATCGCAGTACACTTCTCCGAGCCCAAGCCGCTCACTGGCGTCGCAGGATCTATGGCATACATGGCGCCTGAGGTGCTTACGAAACGCGGCTACTCAGCCCAGGTGGATTTCTGGTCATTGGGTATCCTCGCGTTCGAGTTGCTCTTCGTCAAGCGCCCATTCCGCGGCAAGACAAATAGCGCGCTAACCAACTCGATCCTCCACGAGGCGCTGCACTGGCCGGACGACGCGACGGAGCGCTGCTCCACAGAAGGCATGCAGGCCATTCGTGGCTTCCTGGAACGCGATCCCAACAAGCGCCTCGGGTATCGGCCGGGCGGCGGTGGCTTTGAGGACATCAAGGCGCATCCCTGGTTTGCGGGGATTGACTGGGATGCGCTGTACAACAAGCAGGTTGTGCCTCCATTCGAACCAGATGTGAGTGTGCTCGGGATGGGGGGGCGTGCGTGTTCGCGGGGACATGAAGTGCGACGTCCAGTGTCTGTGAACACTCTTGGTGGAGCGTGACACCGGGAATCCCCCCACCGACCCCGCTGCGTCGTAATCTCCTCCCCCACTTTTCGACTTTACTGACGCCAGTCCAAACGCGCCAACTTTGACGCGACGCACGAGCTCGAGGAGCTGCTGCTGGAGGAGAACCCGCTCAAGGCGCGCAAGCGCAAGGATAATGCGGACACGGAGTCGATGAGCCCGGAGATGAGGATGATGGAGGAGCAGTGAGTACCGATGAAGCGAAGCTGGGGGTCGCGAGAGATTGGTCTGTTGCGCCCCACGCCTTCTCTCGAGTATTGCCTGCGCCCGCTCACACCAGCTTCACGGTATTCGACTACCAGCGCTCCCAGCGCCGGAGCTACTACCGCCAGCCGTCGTATACGACCATGTCGGGCTCGACCGCGGCGACGGGGACGGGACATGTGTTCACCCCCAGCCGGCCATATACGCCTAGCAGCGATGTAGGGCGGCGCTCTCTCGAAGCGCAGATCATGGAGGGCGGCGGGATGGCGCACCTCGGAAGTCGGGGCATGGGGCGGCAGCTCGACGGGGAGAGTCCGATCGAGCTCACGCCGCAGCTCACGCCACAAGGTAGCCGGAGGTAGTTGTTATGGGCGGCGCAGCCGCCAAATTGCGCCGCCACATGCAGTGACGACTGATAGCACGATAGTAATCTAAGTCTGGATGATGCATGCCACATGCTTACGAGCGGCACCATATAGTCTATCTTGCCTATTCTTGCCGACTCCGCTTAGCCCCCTCTTCCGTCTCGCTCCCGCCTTGCTCGGCGCCGAATGAGAAGCCTTCCCGCACAGCACGCTCCACGACGGCGCGCAGCGCCGCGTCCGGATCGCTCCCGTCGCGCTCGGCCTGCGCCATGATCTCCTGCGCTTGTGCGAGCAAGTCGTTGGTCTGGCGCGACGCGTACGCGTCCATCGCGTGTTGCGAGACGGCGTCTTCGGGCGCCGAGGGTGCCGCGTCGCCCGTCAGCGAGCGCAGGTAGGCTGCGACGGCGGGGTGGTCTTCTGCGAGGGATTCCGCGGCCTGGGTCAGTGGGCTCTTTCGGGTTTCCCGCCTCTGGACTCTCCCATCTCCACATGTGCCGTTCCATCCTCCATTCTCCATGCTCCAGTCTCCATCTTCCATTTCCGTCTGCCGCCCTCCCCTCTCCACCATCTCCACCCACCTCCCACCACCCTCACCCACCCATCCCAACCCCGCCCGCCTTCGTCCCGCGCCTCCCCTCCCCTCCCTTGACGCCTCCGCCCCGACCGCCAGCACTCACCGTCACGCCCTCTTCGTTCCGGTGCCCCACCTCCGCCCCATGCTCCACCAACCACCGCGCAGCCTCCACGCTCTCGCAGGTATACAGGGGCGTGTCCCCGTCGTCGTCGGGGAGGTTGACGTCCCCGCCGACCGAGACGAGGTACTCGAGCAACGCGAGGTGGGCGTACGACGCGGCGGCGTGCATCGGCGTGTACGAGTGCGCGTCGCGGTCGTTCGGGGACGCGCCGGCGTCGATGAGTGTCTGGGGTTAGTCGCGGGGCAGGAGTGGCGAGGGTGGAGAGGGGGCGAGTGGAGGACGCGACGTGCCTTGACGCGCTCGAGGTCGCCGTCGGAGGCGGCGACCCAGAGGTTCTTTTGGGAGGCTTGGACCATGGTGAGTTGAGAAGGAGAGAGAAATGAGAGTGGTGGAACAGAGTGAGGACAGAGGTAAGTGGGTGCGGAGCTCAAAATCCCAATGCGGAGCACGTGACGTGGTTGGGCTCATGCATGTGTCCAGCCAGGCTCAGCGGTGTCAATGTGACCACAGACTGCAGCGAGTGGACGCAGATGCATGGATTACGTCAGGTTGGTCATGTTTGGCATTTCAACTGCTTGAAGATGCATGCATGCATGGAAATCATGTTGATGCTGCGACGAGTGCACAGCGGGTGGCGACGGCTGCACCAAAAGGGGTGTACCCACAGCCGGCCGCTGCTGAGGTATCCTATCAGGAGCAATCTGACGACTGGGCCTGGAGGCTTCGCTCAGCCGTTTCCAGCGGACACTTGACAAATTCGTTTCCTGGGTGACGCGATGCAACCTTCAAGATTCGAACCCGTGGGCTCACGGGCAAGGCCACAGACTGCAAGATCAAGGATAGCTTGAAGCTTACAGCCGCTGTGCTATGACCCATCACCGGCTGGGGCACGGTGGAAGAGGAAACCGGCCCATATATAGTCGAAAGCAGGACAGATATTTCAAGCTGTGTGGGGTCAGCCCTGCCCCACGTCCTCTTCTGGCAACGCCGTGTTATCACTGGCGCGCAATCTAGTCCACGTCACAACTTGCTCAAATGCCCTGGGTCAAACAGCCGGCCAAGTACGGTGTGGAAGGATAGCCTGCGCACCGACATACCCGCCGTGCTTGCATAAAGGCCCTCGTCTGGCGGGCGATGGCAGGCTCGAGACCTGCAGAGGAGCATCTCCAGCTGCCCGTGATGTGGTTTCACTCCCTCTCTGTTGGGAGGGAAAATGGATCCCGTACTCTGCCAGTCCCCTGTGTAAATGGCGCAGCCGTGGTGCTCGTGGACGCAACATTGCCAGGGACGCACGGTCGCAACTGCCAACCGGTCTGTACGCGACGTCGTGGCGTCCAAATGGCTTTGTGATTGTGACGATACGATGCGAAGGCGGGTGATAAGCGTGGCTACGCCACGGCGGTGGAGGAGTGGACAATAACACCGGCCCGGTTGGCTCCTTGGTTGACTTGAAACTCCCAACACGTTCCAGATAGATCACAGATCCACAAATGCATTGGACTGCGCAGGATGTGCCCTCGCATCTGGTACCCGATATCAGCCCGCGTTTGACGCGGCGGCCGCCCACACGCAGCCACGCACCAGCCGGGCCTCAGGTAGACATAGCAGCGATGAATGCAACGCACGCAGACGCTTGGCGCCCTAGCATCATCTACGGCTGCACCAACACGCCGCTCGGCGCGGCGACGCGCACCTCGCGTCTATCCGCCCCTTCACCAAGCCACACCGCGACGTGCGGCAGCGCCTGCCACCCGCTCGCGCCGACAGGCACGGCGCCGAGGTCGACAACAACACTCTCTCCAGCGGGGACGGGGACGCGCGCGCCGCGCGGGCCGGCCCACACGAACGCGTCCGCCGTCTCGCCGTGCACGGTGAGCCACGCGTCCGCGTCGGGATGCGCGTTGGCGAGCGTGAGCGCGAGCGCGAAGGGCGCGTGTGCGCGCACCGTCGCCGGCGACGCGAGGGCGGCCGTCACGAACGCCTCGGGCGGCGGCGCGAGCAGCGCCCCGAGGGGCAGTGTTGCCGTGAGGAGCTGGGAGGGCGCGGGCCGCCATTGCACACGCAAGACGGCGGAGGCGGGCGGCGCACGCGCCGGAAGCGTGAACTTGGCCGCGAGAGAGAATGACGAGTTGCGGTCCCATGCTGCGGTCAGCTGCTTCCTCACCGTTCTTCGCTCCCCGCTCGACTCACTCTGTGGCCACGCCACGCTCCCAAGACTCGAGCTCGCGACCTCCGCGCCCTCCGCGACCAGCTCCATGCCCTCGACAACCACGCCGCGCGGCCCCCGCACAGACAAGGTGGCAGCGAGCAGCGCACCAGCCTTGACCGGTTGCGTGCTGATGCTGAGGGAAAACGGCTCGATGACCGACACGACGGCGGTATGCGTCATCTCCTGTTCCACCCCGTTCGCCGTGGAAATGAGCGACACGTCGAGCATTTTATTCTCCGCAGCCGGCGAGACGAGATGCACGACCGCCTCGGCCGCGCCGTCAACAAGCGCCAGGGGGATGTCTTTGAGGAGCGCCCCGCGCTCCTCGCCGTACGCGAGCGTGCTGCCTGCCGTCAGCGGGTTCGGTGCACGCTCACCGTCTGACTCCTCGCCCGGCTGCAGGAGCACGCTGAGGCTGAGCTGCAGCGCGCGCGCGTCCGTACTCGCCACCCGGATCGTGACGGGCACAGATTCGCCGACGAAGCCCACGGACGGGGGCTGGACTTCCAGCGAGATGGCGTGTGGCGGCGGCGCGAATGTGACGGACGGGAAGACGCCAGAGGAGGGCAGGAATGATCTGCCTCCCGCGCGCCACGATACGAGCGGAGACGGCTCAAGACGCCAGAGCAGCGTCCAGCCGTCCTGCGCGAGCGTGAGGTCCGCCCCAAGGACTTCGAGCTCGCCGTCCGACGACACCGTGCCTGTCAGCACGAGGGGCTCGGCGGAGGGGAAGGCGAGCGGCGCCGCGACCTCAGCAGTTCCGGAAATAGCGCCCAGCGAAAGATCCCGCCCGCTCCCGCCGTGGGTGACGACGATCTCTGTGCCGTCCGAGAGCGAGACACGGAGGCGACTGAACGTCAAGTTTGAGATGTACGCGCTGGGCGCCAGCACGAGCTGGAACGGCACAGTGCTGCCCGTCGCGGCCTTGGAGGCGCGGAATCCCGCGGTGAGAGCCACGACCTGGGCGCTGGAGACTATGGGGTCGCTCGACGCAGGCTTTGTCGTCGCCAGCAGGCCAAGGAGGTCGTCCTCGGCCTCCTGCGACGGGAGGGACGCGAGGAGGCGCACGGCTGTGTCGACATCACCCGTCGCGCGCGCACACTCGAGCCACAGCGCGCGGCGCTGCGCCGCGAGCTCCGCCCACTGCCTGTCCTCGTCCATCTCCGCCAACGCCGCGAGCGTCTTGCCCGCGGCCGCGAACAGCCCCGCCTCGGCCTGCACCTGCGCCATGCGGAGGGCGGCGTACATCGCGAGGCCGGGGTCGCCTGCCGCGCTCGCCTTGCCGAGGAGCTCGACCGCGAGGGCCGCGTGGTCCACGCTCTTTTCGTTCGCGAACCCAGGCGTCGCGGCGAGTGAGGAGCCCGCGGCGCGCTCCGCCGCCGCCGCGGCCGCGTACCGCGCCTTGCGCTCCAGCGTACACGTCGCCGCGGTGTAGAAGTAGAATGCGGGCGGCTGGAGGACGTGGAGCGCGTTCGCGCTCGACGTCGGCGTGTTCATCTCCTCCGCGGACGGCGGGAGCACGTTGCCCGTCGGCGGGGACGGGTACCCCGGCGCCGGGAGGGGCGGGAGGACGAAGCCGTGCGCGAGCGCGAGCTCCAGCACCTCGCCGAAGATGCGGTACTGCCGCGCGAGCCAGGACCAGAACTCGAACGTGTCTTCGCCGATACCCCAGCCGCGGCTGAGGTCCGCAAACCGCCGCACATGCACGTAGAAGGGCACGAGGACGCGCGCGCCCTCGTACAGCTGCAGCTTGCAGATGCGGACGGCCAGGCAGTCGGCGAGGACCTTGGCCTCGGCCCACCGCTTCGTGCGCGGCGGCAGCGCGCTCGTGCTCGCGAACATGCGCGCGAGCTCGTTCCAGCAGTCTTCGTAGTGCCGGCGCGCGAGGTCCAGCTCGCCGCGCACCTCTGCGAACCACCCGGCCTTGAAGTCGTACCGGATCGTCCAGCCCTGCTGGGAGAGGGGGGCGCTCGAGCGCCCCGCCACTGAGTTTGATCTCGGGCGCGCCCCGCGCCCCCGCTTGCGCCGCACCCGCTTGCCGTGCGCCGCGTAGTATTCGAGCGCGGGCTCGCGCAGCGCGTCGAACAGATTCCGCACGAAATCGGGCAACTCGCTCGCGCGCACGGGCGTAAGCACGAACAGCGAGGCTTTTGCGGACAGCTGCGAAGCGCGGCGGATCGCGGACAGACGCGCGTCGAGGCCCTCGGCCTCGAGCGTCGCTGCCGACGCCAAGAGGACGACAGTGAGGCGGATGCCGCGCTCGCCGAGCCGGCGCCGCCGGTCCGCGATCTCGCGCACAGTCGCTTCGTCCGCCTCGCGCTGCCGCTCCACGTCTTCCCCAGGCCCGGGCTCGTACAGGCGCAGAAAGAGGACGAAGACGGACGGCAGCAGTTCGGTGTGTTTCCGCACCCACACGGGCGCGATCAGCCCGTCGGGATGCAGCGGCGACGCGGGAGTGAGGGGGGAGAGCGGGGAGTGGCCTTCCGGCGCCTTGCGCAGCGGAAGCTTCACGGCCTTGTCGACGAGGACGACGCGGAAATCAGTGTTGTCCGCGCCCCAGACCCGAGGGGACGCAGTGTACGGCGCCAGCGCGGATCGGAGGTCCGTCGCGAGCTGTGCAAATTCGTCTTGTGGGAGAGGCGTGAGCTCGGGTTCTGGCGATGTCAGGGGGACCTCGGAGTTGGACGGCTTGCGCGTCGCGTTGGGAGGAGGAGGGGACGTCCCCAGCCCGCCCACGAACATGAGCGGCTGGGGGTGGGAGAGGAACTGATGTCAGCTGGGCGCGTCACGGATGGGTGGATGCGAGTAAGAAAGCGAACGAGACGATACTAGGCGAACCCAGTCATCATAAAGTGCGAGGGGACTAACCTCTGGTGGGTACGAGTTCATGAACGATACGGCGGCGCGAGGCGAGAGATGTTGAACGGCAAGCGCGAGATTGCAACAAGTCTCGGGCCGTGACGTCGGGGTCCGTGCCTAGATGGAGTCACTCTACCATCCACCTATCCACAGAAATCAGTCAGGCATTCATGTCGACATCCAACAACAGTCATGACGACCTCTGGGGCAGTGATCTCCTAAAGCACGACAACCTCACTATCCGTACCCGTACATGCAATACCCCGCTACAGGAAAAGCTCTATACACGCCCCAGTTTGCACACGCCGAGATCACGCCAGCAACGCCTCGACACTCTCGACGACCTCCTCCGGCGTCGTGACGTGCCATCCTGCGAGCGTCTTCTTGGCGCTTGGGCCGACCGTGATGCTGAACACGCCCGGCGGCCGGATCTGGAGGTTGACCTCGCTGAGCTCCTCGGCCTCTTCCGGCTCGAGCGCGGCCGTGACGCCAACAGGCGGCTTCATCGGCACAGGCTCGCCCTCGCGCGGCCCGCCCGGCGGGAAGATGGTGCGCAGCGAGCGGAACATGTCCTCGTCCGTCTTGTCGTCGCCCGCGCACATGATAAAGTCGGCGTCGGGGTTTTCGTACACGAGCCGGCGCACGATCTCGCCCTTGTTCACGGCCAGAGGGCGCACTTCGAGATTCTTCTTGCCCACCAACACCTCGATCGGCCGTCTCGGCGCAAGCGAAGACTCGAGCAGGTCCAGCGCCTGCTTGCACTGGAACTCTCCATAGTCGGGGTCGGCATTGCGGTAGTGCCACGTGATGCTCGCCTTCTTGAGCTCGATCGTCGAGCCAGTCGTACGCTCAGTGTAGTACCGGAAGATGTCCTCGACCTCGCTCATCCAGCTCATGTCGAGCGCCTCGGTCATGTTGACCCACTCGCCCTCCTCGGGCGTCTTGACGAACGAGCCATGCTCAGCCGAGAAGCCAAGGTTGTCCACCATTCCCCAGTGCTCCTCAAGGAAGTCGCCGTCGCGACCCGAGATGAGGTACACGACGTTCTTGGGGTCGGCGGCGAGTGCGCGTATGGCTGCACGCGTGCGCTCCGTGGGAATGGCATGCGACGGAACCTTAACAATTGGCGTAAGCGTGCCGTCATAGTCGAACAGCATCAGACGCTTCTTCGCGCCTTTGTACTTCTGGACCATGTCCTGAAGGTCAAGGACGGGCGTCTGATGCGCGGTGTGTTCGCTTCCGACGTTCTCAAGGAGGAGCTTAAGTACAGTCGCGGCCCACGTGTGCGATGTGTGCGCGAGCACGCTCTTGTACATGGCCTCACAGCGGCGCTCCTTCTCCTCCTCTGGCATGCAGAGACCCTTGTTGATGGCATCCGCCACCCCCAGAAGATCGTGGGGGTTGATGGTAAGCGCGTCGCTGAACGCAGTGCTAGTCCCCATGAACTCGGAGAGCACCAAAGGAGACTTGTTCGTCTTCTGCTGGCAAAGGATAAACTCCATGGAAGTCGTGTTCATGCCGTCGCGGAGCGAGGTAATGAGCGCGAGGTCGGCGACGGAGAGCAAGGCAAAGTACTCGTCACGCTCAATGGCTTGGTGGCTGCGGTCAGCATTTTCCGGGTCTGCGAAGACTTACTAGTGGTGGACAGGGGTGAAGTTGAGGCTGCCGTACGCGCCGTTTATGTGGCTGACAAGCTCGGCGACCTTGCGCTCAAGGGTCGGGGACTCGGACAAGGCCGGGGTAGTCACCTGGATGAGAACAACCTTGTTGCGCCATTCCGGGTAGACCTGCAGGAATTTCTCGAACGCCTGGAGCTTGTTGTACACACCCTTGGGCGCATCGAGCTTCTCGCGACCGACGATGATCTTCTTGTCGTGGTACAACTCGCGGAGCGCCTTGACCTTGGGCATGACTGCAGGTGACTCGCAGTCTCTGGCGACTCTCTTGATGTCGATACCGATGGGGCAGTAGCTGACCGCAACAGTCTGGCCATTGACGTCGACGCCATCGGACGTAGACTCGAAACCGCACACACGAATGCAGCTAGAGACAAAGTGGCGCGAGTACGAGTACGTCTGGAACAGTACAGCGTTGGCACCGAGCATTCCCTCGAGGATCTCGCGGCGTTCTGTAGTGAGCATTAATCACAGGAGAGGGGGCGCATGCTGGTGGCGTCCAGAAGAGCAGGTGAGATCATCTCTCACACATGCTCCAATGACGCCGTTGCGCAGCTCTCGGCTCGGACTCACTTGGCAAACACCGGAAGATCTCTGATGATGGCCACGGCGTGTGGATGAAGAGGCCGATCATCACCTCATTATGGGGCTCAGAGTGACTGTATCCATTGCTGCTGCCGTTCGCTGGCGTAGGCTTGAGGTTGTCAATCTGCTTCGGTACGCCCTTGACAGCTGCTTTGAGCGCGGCACCAACGAGGCCCTGCACGCCCCAATCCATTCCCCTCTGCTGCTGGGCCTGAAGGGAAGCGCCAATGGCGGGCGAAGGTGCCGCCGACGAAAGATGCCCGCTAATGCCGAGAGCAAGGTGGAGCTTGTCGCGGATGAGCTTGGGCGTCAGAAGGAGATGATAGTCGTGAACGATGATAAGGTCGCCGGGCCGGTAGACCTGAGCAACGCGGCGGGCAAACAACTCGTTGGCCTTCTGGTACGCGATCCAGCTCGGGTCGGGAGAAGGCACAGTCGCCGTTGAGTCGAGCCATAGGAGGTAGTGGAAAAGAGGCCACAAGGCTGGAAATGTCAGTGACATCTTGATTGGGGGTGAGGACGTACTTGTCTTGCAGTAGCCCTCGTAGTGGCCCTTGCTGACATCTGGGGGCAAAAAGACAGGAATGTAGGTGAGCTTGCCCTCTGGTTCCTGCTCCGACTCGAGCTCGGAGAAGTGGTGGAGCTCGTTCTCGATCTCCTGCTGCTCGGCACTCGAAAACTCGCCGTTGAAGACCATGAGTGGCGGGTCCTCTGCTCTGGCATGCAATTCGACCGTGTCCTCCAGCAAAAGCTTCGGCCCGCTGTCTTGGCGCGACGGCGGGGTGGGCGTTGGCTCCGCAGGCTGGAGAAGTACGTCACCGCTCCAAGCAACGACTAGCTGCTCATGACTCGAGCTCAGACTTCTAATGCCCGAGACCATGGCAGTGTGTCCGCGACGGCTGTGAATCTTCCACTTGGCGTTCTTGCTCTCAAAGGTGGTAGTGTCCTCGGGCTTAAACTCTGGTGTGATGGGAGAGCTGAGGCCACCGAGGCCGTCGAGCGCGTTCTGCCCATCGTGCGCAGGCTGGATGACGCGCACGATCTCTACGGGCAGGTTGTGACACACGTGGATAATGCGACCTGAGAGGTTGAGGCCTCGCTCACGGTGAGTTGCTTCGAGGCGGGCAACCTGCTCGCGCAGGTCGGCGAGAGATGGCAGGGGCGCCGGGTCGGGGTCGGGGTGCATTGCGTCCATCGCGCCGTAGTGGTGGAGGGCGCCTCGAGACTGAGCGTGCCAAACGTAGGCGTTGGGGGGAGACGAGGACATGAGCGAGGCGAAGCAATGATCGACGAACGCATTTTGCGGCGAGGAGCGGGAGTCAGTATCCAGTGCGTAGTTGTTGGGGAAGAGATGGCTGTTGGTGGTGTGGGAGCCGCCGGTGTTGGAGGGGAAGTGAGGTTCGGGGACTGTGAGGAGAGCGGACGAAGCGGGCCGCAGTGGAGCGGGCCGCTGTGTGCGCCCAGGGATGAACATGGGACGGTTGTCGGGATGGGGGAGAGCAGGATACGGATGGAGAGATGGATAAAAGGAGGACGAGATGGAGATGGAAATGGAGATGGAGGACGTACCGATTAGATTGAGAGGAAGATTGAAAAGAGGGGGTCTGAGAGTTGATTGCAGCCAAGAGGGTGACTGTGCGCAAGGGTTAGGTCGAGTTTGGCTAGTGCGTGATGGGGGGCGGGTGGTTAGGATGTAGAGCACGCAGAAGAGGAGTAGCGTTGAGATGACAAGTGATGATGAGATGAGAAGAGAAAGAGATGAGAAAGAGATGAGAAAGAGAAAGCTGGGACGAGTTTTGATTCAAGAGCGTGGGAGGGAGTAGAGCGATGAGGGAAGGTCATGCTCGCGTCAACCTCTTTCCGCCTCAACGTCATCATTTCCCCCACATCCAATCATCTCTTGCCCTTGTTCTCAACTCTTTTCCCACCCATTCCACTCTTGTTGCTCCGTGTCATCCGTGTCATCCGTGTCATCCGTGTCGTCCGTGTCAGCAAGCTCAGAGACAGACGCGTGCAGTTCCGCGTGCCCCCCCCCACTCGGAATGCTCGTCAGCTGTCGCGTCACGCCTGGCGTCTGTCACCTGCCACCTGTCACCTGTCACCCGGCACAACCGTTCCGTGTTTCGGGCATGCAACAGAATCATGGGCCATGTCGATCTTATTCACCACTCGACACATCAACCTCGGCAAGTGGCAAGTGGCAAGCGAGCACGGCAGCGGCAAGAATGCGATGGAAGCAGGGCAGTTGGAAGCAGGGAGAAAAGATTGAGAGAGTTACGTCTGTGGCTTGAGATTGAGCTCGAGAGCGAGAGAGCATTACGTACCGGATATTCGGACGAAGGGTACGAAAGTGTGTATATCCATTCTTGCCACGCGACGCCTGAAGACATCGAGGAGATCGAGGAGAGAGCCGTCTACATGAGGCTCCAGAGACCATATGATCGCTGGGCGTGAGAATGCGTACGCTGGTTGATGCTACACTCCCGTGCATGAGGACGAGCGTCTCGTCGCGTCTCGCGTCTACATCTATGCCGTACAATGCTACACATCAAAGCGTCCTCGCCTCCGATCTCCATACGTCTCATCATACACCGTCCGATCGCTGTCGCTCTCGTCGCCGATCGTCCATTCCCCGCCCGTATACAATTCGGGCTCTGGCTCGGGCTCATCACCACCCTCGCCCAATCCAACCCGCATTTCTCGCGTGAGAGCTCGAAGGCGCTCAAGTGTCGCC